CACTATACAATTGAGTGTGTAAACAAAAAAATTTTCAGTTTCTTCTGAAAAGAAATGTTATTACTTTCAAAAATTAAAAATCTAGGTAATGCATTCCATGCAAGCATAGCTTTATAGTGAAAAGATCGTTGAATTTGATTTGTTCTACTGCGTGGTAAAACACATTTCATCTCATTTATCTGTCGTGTATTATAAGTATGATTATCTGAAAAAAACAATAATTTGCTATGTATAATTTTTGGTGTTTTTGTAATTATTATTTTCCTCACAGTTGTTACCAATAAGTACTTCAATCTACTCTTCACATCAAGCCAAGCAAGTTTTTCATGCATGGTTCCCACATTCGTTCTGTAAGGGCAGCCTAAAACAATACGAGCAGCTTTATTTTGTGCAACTTGTAGCTTATGCAAATTATTTTCACTTGTACTGGACCAAATAACAGATGCTTGATCTACACAAGAAAGCACTAATGATTGAACAAGGCATTTAAGTAAATATTGTGGTATAAATTTGCAACAAAATTTAATTATGCCCATACCTCTCCCCATTTTGCGTAAAACATAATTAATCTGGCTTGTCCATGATAATTTACAATCAACTATAACTCCTAATAATTTTACTTCTTCTAGTTGTTCTATTATGTTGTTACTCAGGGTTAAATGTAACTTTGGCATCGTCTGTAAAGTATGTTTGGAGCCACCTATCATGCATTTAGTTTTTCCTGCATTAATCACTAATTTGTTAGCAGTTATCCACTGCTCGACTGTTCTTAACTCTTCATTTAATATTTCATTCAATGCACTCTCCGTATGTGCTGAAGCTAAAACAGTAATACCATCTGCATATACTGCTGTAGTCGCATGTTGCAGCACCCACGGAAAATCATTCAAAAAAATAGAAAACAAAAGTGGTCCCAAACAACTTCCCTGTGGAACACCACATTCCATCAGACCCTTTTCAGAAAAACTGCCATTGAAATAAAATTGATATTCTCTGTCAGTAAGATAACTTTTAGTCCAGTTAAGAGCAGATGTATGAAATCCATAGTGTTTAAGTTTTTGTAATAAAATATCATGATCTAAAACATCAAAAGCCGCACTTAAATCAAGAAATATAGAACCAATTAGCTTATTATTATCGATATTCTCTAAGCAATAATCAGTTATTTGAATAAGTGCAGTAGTGGTTGAGTGATTTGTTTTGTAAGCATGTTGATATTTTGTGTTCAATTCATTTACCTCAAAATAATCTTGAATTTGATCATATACTATTTTTTCCATGATTTTACTTAACGCTGGTAGCAAACTTATTGGTCGACTGTTTTGACCAGACAGTGGTTCTCTATTGTTCTTAATTAAAGGTATTATTTTTGCTGTTTTCCATTGAGATGGGAAAATACCTTCTTTAAAACTTTCATTTATTATATGAACAATAGGACATGAAATATAATCTACTACTAACTTTAACCATTTTATATCAATATTATCTATGCCAGATGGTTTATTTTTACTTTTTAATATTATCTCCTTAACCTTGTCTTCAGTCACTTTATCAAATTGAAATTGGCAGTTTTTATTTAACATTATTTTTTGTTTAATTAGTTGATAGGAAATATTTTTGGTTTGACTATTTTCCATAGAATCTCGTAACAACTTAATTTTATTAGTTAAAAACTGGTTTAAATAATTAGCAATTTCTGTTGGTTTAGTGAGATAAGTTCCCCCTACATCCAAAAAAGTTGGAGCTGACCTATTATGCCTACCCATCATTTCATTCAATGTACCCCATAATCTTGCACTATTCGATTTTGCATCAGTTAGTCTTTTTTGATAATACAACCGTTTTTTATGATTATTTAATTTAGTTACAAAGTTTCGTAATCTACGATACTCTTTCCATTTATCTGGACTATTAGTTTTTACTGCTTCATTTTTAAGTTTATCCCTCTGCCTCATATGTTCTTTTAATTCTCCATCCAACCATGGAGCAGATACCCTTCTCACAGCACGTTTCCTTATAGGAGCATGTCTGTCTAACACCTTTGTGAACAATTCATTGAAAACTGCTACTGCTTGGCCTGGATCATCTTCACTTAAAACCTGTGTCCAACTTATTTTCCTCACATCTTCTATGAAGTCATCTTCATTGAAATATTTAAACATCCGTCTGCACACAAATAATTGGCCTTTTTTAGGCATCTTTGTTTTCCTTGTTACCGCAATTAAATTATGGTCGCTACAGCCCACTGGAATCGAAACGGCTTTAGAACATAAATTTGTCATATTGGTAAAAATTAAGTCAATCAAAGTTGTAGAAAATTTGCCATTTTCATTTGAATTCTAGTATCAGCCTGCACGAGTTGTGATAAATTACAAATATTGGTAAATGAAAACAATTTATTCCTCAATGGACAATTTCCTGATTTCCAGTCTATATTAAAGTCACCTAGGAAAAAAAATTTCTTTTCTTAGATCACATGCCTTATCCAACATACCTCCTATCTGATCCAAGTGGTATATAGGAGCATTTGGTGGTCTAACAACATCCAATAATGACAGCTTTTAAATGAGGCATCTGCAATTCTAACCATAGTGTCTCAACTTCAGTTACCATGAAATCTGTTCTTACTCTAACTGGAATGTGATTTTGGACATAACAGGCCACACCTCCACCATACAAATTCCTATCTAGTCTATAAATATTATAGCCCCTAACCTCTACTACTTCATTATTAATTGTGTCATCTAAATGTGTTTCTGATATTGCTAACACATGTAAATTATAATTTTGCAACATTTCTTGAATATCCGCCACCTTATTTCTCAAACTGCACACATTCAATTGAGCTATTTTAAACCCCTTTTCCCGCAACCAAACATGATCTGTCATCCAAAATCTAGAATAAATTCCTGCCTGCAAAAATCATACTGAGCTTCCTGTAACATTTTTATAATTTTACCAAACACATTCATACTGTCATTCATCTCAAACTCAAACACTGTAATGAAATAAAACATTTTACACACCAGCTCTAGACACATAAATAACCAAATTATATAACTCTTATTATGCGGGCTATCATTTCCATCTTGCGATGTTATTTAATACTTATATAAAAATTAAACATAATCCTCATATAACCTAAACAGTAATCTAACAGTCCATCTTCACACTCATTAAACCGTTTTTAATTGGTCCATATTATTCTCCATCCTTCATCCCTGGTTCAATCACAGTCTTGTAGTAAGCTTCAGCCTCATTCGGTTCATTGAACCTTTTTGCCTCATTTTCAAAAGTCAGAATCAGGGTAGCGGGATGAATCAGGCCATGTCTCACCTGAGCCTTCTTCAGCTTACTCCTTATTTCCCAGAAGCCAGCTCGTTTTTTCGTCATTTCACTGGTCAGATCTGGAAAAATCTTCAGCTTCATACCATGCATGTAAGGCCCTAAAGACCAGGACCAGGATCTGAACCCTGAAGTTGACTGGCAGAAGTGGAGTGTAGACAGAAGAATTAGTTACTTATCTGAAAATGCTACTCAGTTTCTCTAGATCTTTCAGGGAATCTTAGAAAAAATTATTTAGATTTAATTGATTCTAATTGTGTATGGTGTTTTTTTTTTGCCAGATGTCTTAATTAAAAAAATTCATCTGTATGTCCCTTTTATCTTTTTTTTTAAAACAAAAAATAGACAAACAGAAAAGATGTCTAAACAGAAGATGCAGAAGTACAAATTCCAAATGCTAATCATTCATTTTGACTCAGAATTCTTAAAAGAAATTACAATTAATTAATATTTTATGTTTTTGAATTTCTACCACTCTGGAGTTGCTCCCACTGAGAGGTACTGAGCAGGGGTGGGCATACTGGGGTTTACGCCAGTGAACAAGAGGTTAGCCTCTGTCCGCCTGCGTGTGGGGGGACAGGTCCTCAGAGTAGACCTGCTGCTCCTCCACGTCTAGAGGAGTCAGTTGAGGTGGCTCAGGCAACTGGTCAGGATGCCTCCTGGAAGCCTACCTGGTGAGGTTTTCTGTGCATGTCCAACTGGGATAAGACCTAAAGGAAAACTGGATAAACAGCCGAAGATGGATGGATGGAGTTTTTTAAGTGCCCATGTTCTTCTAAGTACTGTTAAATAGGCAAGGCAGCTTTATTTATGTAGCATATTTCAAACACAGGGGTAATCCTATGTGTTTTACAAGTAGCATGAAACGGCACGACAATAAACAGGAGAACACAAATAAAAATATACACAGATAAAATTATAATTTAGAGCTAAAAGGAAAAGACAGAATTAAGGTTGAGTAATTACATCACAGATTACAGTGGAGACGATGCAGCATAAGAAACAATTCATTCAAAGGCTGATGAGTACATGAGGGTTTTAAGTTTTGATTTAAACAACACTAGAGTTGGGGCACATCTGAGCTGATTCCATATGTGAGCAGTATAGTAGCTAAAAGCATCTTCACCTTGTTTGGATCTGACCCGCGGTTCTACTAGCTGATTGTTTCCTAAGGATCTCAGAGCCCTATTGGGTGTGTCTACAGAAATGAGATCTGACATGTATTTGGTCCTATGCCATTGAGTGATTTATAAACTAGTAATAGCACTTTGAAATCTATTCTGTAGTTTACTGGTAACCAGTGTAGAGATCTAAGAACAAGAGAGATGTTCTCCATTCTCTTAGTTCTTGTTAAGACTCTAGCAGCAGCATTCTGAACAAGCTGCAGTTGCTTAACAGCTTTAACCCTCTGGAGGCAGGCGTTGCAGATTTTCAACAGTTAAAACCTACCTACCTGGTTACTCCACATACGTATTTCATAAGCTTTTTTTTTTTACTCAGAAGTACCTCTGAAGGACTTTATTGTTTGTCCTTTTATCAAAACTTATTTTGAGCCTGAGAGGGTTAAACTTTAAAATATGCTTTTAAGACGCAACAAAAATATTACAGATGATGCTGACAGCTTTTCTTTCTCGACCTATGTTGTTGTGCCACAGGTCCAGAAGCTACAGTGCATGTGTCCTGTGGACTTCAGAGGTGTCTTCCAGTTGGATCAGAGGAGAAGGGATGCTGTGATTGCACTTGGGATTTTTCTGGTTGAGTCTAACCTGCAGGTAAACACATTATTCTCCACTTCACGGTGCGTTGTGCTGCTGGCGGCTTGCTGTGGATAACGTGGGACGTTTGTTTTGCAGCACAAAGACGTTATTGTCCCCTACCTTATTGGGCTGCTTAAAGGACTTCCTAAAGTTCAGTGGATCGAAGAGAGCTCAGAACGCAAAGGGCGAGGTGCATATGGACAATAGAAGCATGCTTTGTGTTTTTATTCTGTTTATTTTGTACCATGCCAGGAATAATGAGTTGTTCATCTTCTGTTGCAGAGACTCTTCCAGTAGCAGAGAACTTCAGCTTTTGTCTTGTAACGTTACTCTCTGATGTCGCTCAGCGGGATGAGAATTTACGGGGACAGGTGTGTGGTTGAGTGTGACTGTGTGTATTAGACACAGGAATATAATATAACAGAAGCTAAAACTAAATAATAGCCTGATACAAATGGTGAGTTGCGTAGTGGACAAGTGAACATTTCCAAGCATCTTTAGTATTTCCACCTGTGGAGTATTCCACTCAGACAAAGGTTATTGTCATGCGTGTTGTTACTCTTTGCAGTCAGTAGCTTGGAGATAAACTAGTGTGGGAAATTTTCTGTCTGCAAAAACTGCAAAATCAGAATAAAGCAATAAAGCTAGATTCCGTCTATGCAAAGCAATGGACACATTTGCTCACATGTAGAAGTGTTTTTGCAAACTGCTGGTGCAGGTCAGCCCTATTCATAGTCCTCTGGTCCTCCTTGGCACTGACAGGCCTGTCTCCAGATGGCTGGGCTGGCAGTGTGATAGAGGAGTTACCGATGAGGTCAGACTGGAAACATTCCCATATTAGGACATGGACCTGAGTTTTAATTAAGACTAGACGTCATACCAAACAAAGGGAAAACATGTCCAGAAGAATGTCATATTTAGAAGGCACTGGTGAGCTGAAATGGTTTATGTTTTGCATGATTCGTAGTAGTTCATTAATAATTTTATTTATTTATTTATAGATCCGATGTGGGTTATTTACAAGCTATCTAAAAGTTTATCTTCCTTGCTGATGATTTAGCTTTATTTGCAGTTCTTTGTCAGCCTTTTTAAAAATAGAGATAGACCTTTATTGTCCACGGGGGAGATTGTTCTTTACATTCACTGTCAGAACCAGCACGTACAAAAGTGTTTTGGGGAGGATTAGCGTTTTAGGGAAGCAGAGAATTAGTCCTGTTGTAAAAGGCTTTATTCTTTTTTTATGCTGTTTATTTTCTAGTGTTTGGGTCTGAGATCCCCAGGTTAGAAGATGTACTTTCAGGATAAAAACTTTTTTCTATGCTTTACTGCTACGATTTTATTTTAATGGATAGAAATAATGTGTGACCCATAAGTAGAAAACTGTTTAGAAGTGTTTGAACACCAGCCGTTTTGTTTCTAGTCTCTATGGACCGTGTTAAGTCCAGTAACAGGTAAAGTGGCACTCTTCATGTTGTTGCAACTCAGTGATCTGTTGGGAAAACTTCCTTTGCAGTCGAATCACACGCTCTCTCCCTCACAAAGCTGCCCTCCCCAATAGTAGCAGTTTCCATGCCAACAAAACTCCATGTAGTTTAGATCAATGGCAGTTTTGCACATTTCTTGGTATTTGTAGAGGAGGCCTGTTTTTTGTCACTAAAATGTCCAGAAATCTAAATCTTGACTCCAGAGTGAAGCCTGGAGGGGTTTGGGTAAATACATGTTGAGGTGGTGAGGGCTGAGCATCTTGAAATGATTTTTTTAACCATTCTTTTGTTCTGTTATTTTGTTGAAGGGTGGTGATACTTTCACTAATAATTTAACTTTGTGTTTTTTTATTTTTTAGATTCTGGAGGCGATCATGGACATCATGCGTGTCCTTCAAGACATTTGCAAAACCCCAGACACTCGTGACAAAGGTTCAGCACTCTATTCTTCCTGTTCACAGTGCATGCAACTCATGGGTTACGGGTATTATGACCTCCTGTCTCCATTTCCCCCCTGTAGAATACCTGTGCAGGTACACTGTGCCCACCTTACTCGGTGTTGCCAGAGCGTTTGGTCGATACAGCAACACTGATGAGCCACTGCTGTCCAAGCTTTTTCCTCGTCCCTCAGCTCCTGGGCTGTCTGCGGGTGATGGCATCGACGCTGCTCCCCGGAGGTCCTTCAACGACTTTCGCTCAATCCTCCCGAGCTCTCTGCTCACGGTGTGTCAGGGAGACACGCTGAAACGGAAAGGCTCCTCTAACTCCAGTGTGTCTCAACAGGTAGGAACACTTATGAGGTTGAACAGATCAGGCGACTAAGGACTGGGGAAAACTTCGATTCAATTGTTTTTTTTTAGGCAAGTCCAGAGAGAGGAGCAGGTCTGACACCCTGTTCACCCTCAGGCCCCTCTGCTCAGTACTTTGAAGGTAAGAACATCAGATCATAAATGATTGGTGACTCACATGGTTACATGTTGGTAAGATGTTTGTTTTTTATTCTGAGGCTCAACTTTATCATAATAAAGTTGCCCCTGCTGAACAGTGAGAAAGGCAGGTGATAAGATCTGTGCTTAGCTGCTTGAGCTAAGTGAAATTATCGACAAATAATGGCTCAATCCCTTTATTTTCCAGATAAAGCTAAAATGTTGTGTATTAGTCACTCACAATAAAGTAATAAAAGAAAAGCTATAATCTAATCATTTCTCAACAGAATAGTTTAAAACTAACATTCTAGGTGCTGGTTGAAAATAATTCTTTCGAGAGGTGCTAGCCTCATAATTGTTTTCACTCAGCCATCTCGCACTCCTTTTCTCTCCCACTTCAGGTTCTTACCTCCCTGATGGCAGTGCCGTGGATCCGGATTATTACTTCTCCACCATCAGCTCCAGTTTTTCGGTCTCTCCTCTTTTTACTGGGAGCAGCTCAGGAGACTTCCAGGTCCCTCTGGACATGCTCAGACAACTCCTCCACATGGTGGGTCCTAACACTACACTGCCCTTACCCCCAAATTCCACTACCTCCGCTCCGGTCCGCCCCCGCCTTCCGCAGCCGCTCGCTTTTAAACTCAATTTTTACTGGTACCCGCTCTACAACGGCTCCGCTCCAGTGCGGAGACCTGAGGTGGGCAAACAAGCATGCGCGGGATTTTCGAGATCTTGCGATACAGTCCGAGCAATAAACGCGGAAGTTATATCCAAACTCCCGTTGTGTGGGAGAAGCATCGAAATGAACTTTTTAATCTGCCCATCATTTGTGTTGACAGATCAGCAGTGTTTGGATCAACAAAGTGTGACTCATTTGATAGTGGAAACTGTATTTATGGCTTACTTTTGTGCATTTAAACTTCAGCCACCATTGATAGTTGTTAAAAGTTGTTAAACCTGTGCATATGAAACAAAAAACGCCTTTTGTTTATCGATTTATTGTGAAAAACGGAAATTGTGCTTGCTCCTTTTCCTGTTGGGCCGTTGTGATTTCTGTCCATTTACTGCGGAGGTGCTCCGGCATCCGGCGAAAATAGGATCGATTCTATTTTTGCCGGACGCCGGAACAGAGGGCGGCGCACGGCGCCGCACTGCCGGTGCACGGCCGCAGTAGTGGAATTGCTCTGATTGACTACAACGGGACCGATTTTGCTGCGGAGTTCGTGTCGGAGCGGAGCGGAGGTAGTGGAATTTGGGGGTTAGTTACATGCTGACGGTTTTAAGCTAAAAACAAACATCTGGGTCATTTGTTTTGAGCAGGTTGAGCAATTTGTCTCTGAATCATTCCTGAAATCCATGGACAACACTTTGTCAGAACTTTTAGAGGTATGGCTTTTCGACAACAATATTTTTTATTTTTGACACATCCGGTTTATAGTTAAACTGCTGTTGCTTTCTTGGCAGATAAATCCTGGTTTCCATCTTTACTACAAAACCTTCAGTGATCCGCTGTATGTAGCCATATTTAAAATGCTGAGAGACACTTTGTACAATCTGAAAGGTGAGAAAAATTCTTTATATCTTTTTTACAATTATTTGAAAAAACATTAAAGTCCACAGCCTTCTGGTTTTCATTTTGTTAACGTCACTGCTCGTGCTTCAGATCTTCAGACTGACTATGTGAAGGAGGTCCATGACTTTGTTTTGGAGCAGTTCAGCAGCAGTCAGTCGGAGCTGCAGAGGATTCTTCATGATGTTGAGTATCTCCAGAGTGAATTGAGCCCACTCAAACTGCGCTGCCAGGCCAACGCTGCCTGTGTTGATCTTATGGTGTGGGCTGTAACAGAGGAACAGGGTGAGACTTGGATCTTTTGATCCAAATAGGAGATCCAACTAGGAGTAGAAATCTCACCATGAATTCACTGTGAAACTGTTCATTTTTCACCAGGAGCTGAGAACCTTTGCACCAAACTGTCAGAGAAGCTGCAGTCAAAAACATCCAGTAAAGTTATAATTGCCCACATGCCCCTCCTCATATGCTGCCTACAGGTAATGGTTACCATCGGAAAGAAAGGGGAATTTAACTTGAAGTTTATATTTTAAAGACCAAGTTTACCGAGAAACAGTTTTATATATATATATATATATATATATATATATATATATGTATATATATATGGCTGCGCAGTGGTTAGAGCTGTTGCCTTGCAGCGAGAAGGTCCTGGGTTGGATTCCTGGCCTGGGATCTTTCCGCATGGAGTTTGCATGTTCTCCCTGTGCATGCGTGGGTTCTTTCTGGGTACTCCGGCTTCCTCCCACAGTCCAAAAACATGACTGTTAGGTTAATTGGTCTGTCTAAATTGTCCTTAGGTGTGTGTGTGCATGATTGTTTGTCCTGTGTGTCTCTGTGTTGCCCTGCACCAAACTATAGCAGTATAGATGCAGAAACTACCGCTGTTAAGAGATGTGTTTAACTTTGAAAATGTGGGCGCAATTTTAATTGTCAAAAACTCCAGCGAACCCCCCCACCCACCCCCATGCCGCTTCAGGTGTATGACGTCATCAACGACTAGTCAAAATCGACTCGATTTTCATTACTTGACAGTCGACTTTAAAAAAAATTAAGTCGTGCAGCCCCTAGTATGTATGCATATATGTATGTATGGCCAGTCATATATATATATATATATATATATATATATATATATATATATATATATATATATATATGTATATATATATATATATATATATATATATATATATATATGATTGGTCACTTTGAAATTCACATGCAAGCTAAAAGTGAAAATAGTCTTCTACCCCTATTTCCTGCATTATCCAAAATAGACGAGGAAACGCTCGGATTGAGAGAGCCTGACAGATCTACGTCATACTGAAAATTAGCATTCATGAACCCACCCATCTTGGTCCGTGATGGGGAAGGCTGTTGTTGGTTTAGCATCCAGGAAACTTCAGAAAATGTGTCTGTTAGTAGGAGCTAACTGTTAGCATTAGCAACTCCACAACACAGCAGAACTCCTTTGTGTTATTTGTGAAGACAAATATTAATGTTTTTTACGTAGTCAGTGGTAGAGTTGCATTGCTGTTATCCAATCAGAGGCCAGATGTCAGAATATCAGGAAATAAGACACCAAATCCTGTTGCCTTCTGCTCCGCTCTCCTCTGGCTAACTTCTTTGGCCTGAAACAGGAGCGCCAGAGCTGAGATCAACTCAGTGGAATATGGATGGAAACAGGTTATGCTCTTATGTTTGTGCTCAGGGTTTGGGTCGCCTGTGTGAGCGCTTCCCTGTCGTTGCCCACTCTGTCACTATGTCTCTCAGAGACTTCCTGGTGGTGCCTTCTCCTGTTCTGGTGAAGTTGTACAAATATCACAGCCAGTCCACTCCAGGTAACAGCAGCATGAGCAGCCAGCTGCTTCTTCTTCTCTCCTTGATTTTGTCTTACATATTGTATTTTTCAGTAGCAGGTAGTGAGATAAAGATCCATGTAACCAACGAGCATTCCCAGTCAACACTCAGCACTAATTCAAACAAAAAAAGCCAACCCTCCATGTATGAACAGCTGCGGGACATCTCCATCGATAACATCTGCAGGTGAGTTTACACACACACCTGTGTTCTCTGGGTTTTGACCCTAGAAGTCAGACATGTTTGTGTCTTGATACAATCTGAGATTAATATTTTAAACGGACTTTATTCATTTGTCTTAGAGCTCATTTGCTTTACTCAAACACCCACGATCTCTACATGTCAGCAAGAAACACAAAAACAGCAGTTTTGAATTTATTTTGTTTTGAAAATTTGTGAACAACAGTGGGATAATAAGAGTATACACATGTGACCAGCAAAGTGTTTGTCTATTACTTAAGAAAAAGTTAAAAATAACACTTTTCTGTTAGTCTCTCTCCCTCACACACACACCCACGCACACACACACACACACACACACACACACGCCTTCTTTTTCCTCTTTTGGTAACAAAATTAAGTGTAAAACCGTTTTCAGCCTCCATCAGCTTGTCTTCCCCCAAAAATCCTCAGATTTATTCTTGTTATTTATTTATAAGATGTCCAGCAAAGTAAATAAAATCTATATCTTGTCTTGTGGGCTTTGCATGAAATGATTCTGCTTCTTGAAAACCCAGGATGTAAGAGCAGAAAACACATAATTCTAGTTTTGTTTAATGTGTTTTCCAGCTTTTAACTCTCGTGCATGGAAATGCATATCTGTTCTGACATGAATTAAAGGAAGTAACTCACAGAAAACCCAGTCCTGTAATCGCTGAAGCTTCCTTTATTATTAAATGAATGATAAATGATCCACACTTGTATAGCGCCTCTCAGAGTAAGGACTCCAAAGCGCTTTACACTACAGTGTATCATTCATCCATTTACACACACATTCATACACTGATGGTGATGAGCTACGATGTAGCCACAGCTGCCCTGGGGCGCACTGACATTAACACAGCCTTCCCTCCTGTTTTTGTTTGCAGGTGTCTGAAAGCTGGCCTCACCATGGACAGTGTCATTGTAGAAGCTTTTCTAGCCAGCCTGTCTAACCGTCTCTACATCTATCAAGAGAATGACAAGTAAGTCTGTTACAGAAAAGTGATCGTGCATTTGGAGAGTAAAATCGTCTAACATTGCCCCCACCTCCACCCGCCCAGAGATGCCCACCTGATCCCGGACCACACCATCAGGGCTTTGGGCCACATCGCTGTGGCCCTACGAGACACTCCCAGAGTGATGGAGCCCATCCTGCAGATCCTACAGCAGAAGTTCTGCCAGCCCCCCTCCCAGCTCGACGTCCTCATCATAGACCAGCTTGGCTGCATGGTCATCACAGGAAATGTGTGTTTTCACATCTTCTTTACTTGTCTTTTATTTTGTTTACATAAAAAAATACATGGAAACTGTAAAGGCAAACAAAAAAGTTAACTAGTGTTTTCTTTTGCGGTTTTAGCAATACATCTACCAGGAAGTGTGGAATCTGTTCCAGCAGATCAGTGTCAAGGCGAGCTCAATGGTTTACTCTACCAAAGACTACAAAGACCATGGGTACAGGTGAGCTCAACCTAGTTGGACAGATGTTTAATTAATGCTCAGGTGAACAGTTATTTACCACTTAAAGGTATGGAGGAGGATGTTTCTGAATTTCAGGAAAGAATTGTCCTCTCCACGTTTTGAAAAACGTGCGCAGAGTTCCCCTCGTGTGCGCTCTGGACTTGCAGCTGACTTCTCCTAACAGTAATCTGAAAGGAATTTCTCCTAATAGCATGCCGAACCTTAGCTTACATGTCGATCAGAAAACTGGCGACAGAGGCGTCTGTGGGTAGCCCAACCTTTGCTTTGCGCAGAAAGTGAAACTACCTAGCAACGAAGCACGTACGACGACGGCCTTGCATGAATGGTTCACCAGAATTATTTTCCCCAAAAGAACCTCAGAGTACTCATTAAGCTTGGTGCAGGTTTATTCCATAAGTGACAAATGTAGAGACAAATACCATTGCTTGTTTCTTTCTCTGTTCTCACTGAACCTGTTGTAATGATGTCCCTCCTTGTTGAGCAGACACTGTTCCTTGGCTGTAATAAATGCTCTGGGGAACATAGCAGCTAACCTCCAGGCTGAGCAGATGGTGGACGAGCTGCTGGTCAACCTGCTGGAGCTTTTTGTTCAGCTTGGTTTGGAGGGGAAGAGAGCCAGCGAGAGGGCCTCGGACAAAGGGCCAGCCTTGAAGGTACAGCTCAGAAGTACAGGTGATGATGGCCAGAGATAGTAGTATAATCTATGAACAACAGTTACAAATGAAGATTAAAAAATGTGACAGTTCAGTGTTGTCAATTTGTATATAAATCCATCATCTCACACAGTCTAGACCAGGGGTTTCCGACCTTTTGGAGTCTGTAAAAATAATAAAAATAAATTGAATGAATAAAGCTGAAGATATTTTAAAGGAAATAGAAGCTAAATGTGATGAAAACACAATTCTAAATAATTAGAATTGAACTAAAAACAGTAGCTCAGCAGCACGACAATGTTTGGGTTTTTGCAACTATGAAAAAGACACCGTGGTCAATTGAAAAATGCACAGCGAACCAATTAAAAATCAAGTTTGGAAACAAAACCAACTTGTTTCATCATAACTTAATGACATCAAATGGTCAGGGCTGCACTTAAAATATGTTTTCTACATTTGGTTTTATCATTGTAAATAATTAATATGACTTTTTTGTTAATCAGCATGCTTTTTTCTATATCGTCCAGCCCTACCTACCGGTGCTGATGACAGCATCACTGTTTTTAGATCAACTCTAAAATAAAGCGTACTGCTCTGTGGTCTACAGTCATGTGTTTGACTTAAAGAGTGAGGATGGTTCTGATGGGATTTTCCTACAATAACAACTTGACTAAAGTTCATACAAAATTTATGAAGTGTGTTAATCAGCAGACTTTGTATTACTGGGATCTTCAAAATATGCTCTGCGGACAATCTGAGTCACTCAGCCTTTAACACCAAGTGATTTCAACTTCACATTTTCTCTTTTGCATTTAAATGTTTCCTCACTTGAGATCAGTACAGAACAGCAGTTATGACTCTTTATTTTTGTCATTAAAACGAAAGAAAAATAATTTTGTTTGTTTCTGAGGTTCTCTTCAGTCTAATGGATCGTTGGTCTTTAACAGTCGGGCATTGTGTGAGATGTCCTTTTGCTTTAAACTTGTAGCTTTATATCTAAACCTGTGTTTCTCTCCAGGCATCCAGCAGTGCTGGAAACCTTGGTGTCCTCATCCCAGTGATAGCAGTGGTGAGTGATCCACTTCCTTCATCACACTTAGAAACAACAAATGTTAGGTAGCATCACTTCAACCGCAGCGGCTGTTCTTCGGTTTTTAGCTGACCAAGAGGTTACCACCGATCAAGGAAGCAAAGCCTCGCCTGCAGAAGCTGTTCAGGGACTTCTGGCTCTACTCTGTGGTCATGGGATTTGCAGTAGAAGGCTCAGGTTCATTTTATGTTTTCATTTCTTTCATTAGCCTTTTTCATTTAGGCATTTATGGATTTTATTTATGCAGAATTATAAGAAAATGAATTACAGTTAGAATATCTTCTTTCCCATGTTGCATTTAATCTTGTTTTCAGCTCACAATTACCTGAAGAAACGATAATGAAGCAAGATAACTCCATCTTTATGCATGTACAGTGTACTGCTACATGTTTTTATGTCTCATGAGCACCTTGAATCTGAAATCTGCTGCTGTGGGAACATTTAGGTCTGTGGCCAGAGGAGTGGTATGAAGGAGTTTGTGAGATCGCCACCAAATCGCCTCTACTGACGTTTCCTAGTGGAGAACCATTACGCTCAGAGCTGCAGTACAACTCTGCGCTGAAGAACGACACCGTCACTCCAGTATGAACAAATGCACACAGGCATAAACACACACACACTCTGAAGGCTTTCTGACTGGAGCTGCTGTATTTTAGGCAGAGCTGACTGAGCTGCGCAGCACCATCATCAACCTGCTGGATCCTCCTCCCGAGGTGACCGCCCTCATCAGCAAGCTGGACTTCGCCATGTCCACGTACCTGCTGTCTGTTTACAGACTCGAGTACATGAGGTGAGGCAGCACAGCTTCTACATGAAGCTTTATTCTTGGATTGTACATTTAACCATTTGTTGTGTCTTCTCTTCTCCCTTAGGATGCTGCATTCTCTGGACTCGGAGCGCTTTCAGGTCATGTTTCGGTACTTTGAAGACAGGGCGATACAGAAGGACAAATCTGGTAAGCTGAGACTATAAGTATATATATATATATATGTATATATATATATATATATATATATATATATATATATATATTTTTTTTTTTTTTAATGTTGTTTCTCTTACCCACTGATTATATGTATATTATTGCAGGCATGATGCAGTGTGTGATAACTGTAAGCGACAAGGTTTTTGAGGTCTTCCTTCAAATGATGGCTGAAAAAGTGAGTGGGATGTTTTGATGTTTTAAATCCTGTTTTGTGGGTTTTTGTGATTTTATTTTTTATTTTTTTTTATATTTTTACGTAGCCCATTGAAATCTGCAGCAATGGTTTTGGTTTGAATCCTGACATACGAATGTTGGTGTTTTTGACACCCACTTGGAAATACTTATAGGTTCACTTTTAGTCATCCTTGGTATGAGCAGAAGCACTGTGTACTTGTTAAAGTTCCAATGTATAAAATTCACAGAAATCATGGTACAAATTGTGACGCTTTAGCGCCATGCAGTTCAGAGTACATATTGCAGCCATGGTGGCTCACACAAAAATGCAACAACTTCCAGCCATCAGGGCCATTCTTTATACATAGCATGAGTTAGATTGTAGGGATGAGCCGGATACTCGTTTCAGACAAATATCAGGTACGGATAAAGCATTTTTGACAAATACGAGCATGAAACGAGTAAAACTAGTAAATATCTTAATCGTGCTGAAGGAAAATCCTCATTGGGTAACTGACTGTCTTCACGCTCTGTGATTGGCCAGTTACATGGAGCACCCGCCCCTCCCTACACACAAAACTCTGCAGCCGGGAGATCAGCTCTAGTGATGGGATTTATGGCTCTTTCATGGGAGCCGTTCATTAGTCGGTCATTTAACTGAAAGAGCCGTTCAAAAGACTTGCTCCTTTGAAGCCAGGGGGGGGGGGGGGATCAAGAGCAACGTTTTCCTGCGGTGTCTGTGAGGGCGCACGGGGTTGATTAGCGTTCCTCCCATAGACATGTATATAAACATGTGTTCATATACATGTCTACGGTTCCTCCTACGTCCGTCACAGCAATGGGTGGGGTTTGAGCGGGTGAGTTTGACCGACTTCCGGGGAGGTTTGTTAAGATGAACGGCTCTGCAGGGACTCGGCTCTCATCTTCAGCTCGCCTCTTTTTCGGTTTAATATTTAAAGTTACTTTTTTCGTAACGTACGAGGTGCATTTGAAAAGACAGAGCTGAAAACTGCTCGTGCTGCTGCTCTCTCTCTCTCTGTATTAATTAGGGTTGTGCATTGAGCCTCGATTGGAACCGGTTCCAACTGTTAGTTTTTCCCAGAATCGTTCAAAATTAATTTTTTTTTAGATTCCTAGAATGCCTTCGGAAGAGGAATCTGCAGCTGATCTCCGGGAAAAATAAACGTGGTCTGCAAATTGTGATCAACGCTTTTCAGAGCTCATCACGCTGCTGTGTGCAGCACCGAGTCCCCCCTCCCCCCACCCGGCGCCACGCGGCCAAATATAAACAAACGCGTCTGCCGAACTTTTACTCCGTGATGTAAACTTTAACTCCTGCAGCACAGAGGACACTTATTAAAATACTTCAACACGGTGGATTTAATAGTGACGACCTGGCAAATTTGACGTTTCTTTCAATTTCATTGTTTGTTACTGAAACTAACAAAGTACAGCAACGGTGTAGCAAGTCATTTCTTCCTCTCAGTTGAATTGGCGGACTCCAGGGCGCACTGCACTCCACTTTTTCCTTTAGGTTACAAAGTGCAAAACACGTAATGTGGAGCTCATTTGTCCCTAAATGGCTACTGTATTTCAAATTGGTGGATGACCATGGAGTGTAGGCCACAGTTTATGTATTTAAAAATGGAAAATTTCAAGCTGAGAGGAATATTTAGTATTGATGTTGTAGTGTAATGGTTTATGCTCTTTTATGAAAGATGAACCATCCTACATATTAATCCGGAATATTAATTTCAATAAATTAATAACCAAATTTTATAGAATTAAGAAGACTCAAAGGTTGTTTTCATCGATAAACTGACGATCATATCCGTGTGTCTGTGTTTCAGTTCAATGAAGAGACAAGTTTGAAATTTAAGAATTTTAATTCTTCAATTTAAACTAATGATTTGAAATGACAATCGTAGGAAAAATAATCAACATTGGCAACTTTGTTGGACAATCTTTAACAGTTGATATTTTAAGCTTGCACAAATAGACCTTGTGTTGGATGTGCTAAGATTTGAGAATGATGGAATTATGACTGCGTGCATGTATGTGTGAGATTGCTTCAGGGAGAGAAAAGGCGAATCTGAGTGAAAATTATGGTTTGAATTAAACTTAGTTCTTATTAGAAAAGATGCATCAGAACGCTATCTGGTCGTGTGCTGCCTCACCGTACGAGGATCCCCTTTGCAGACCCGGATCCCAGGAGGGTGTGTACTCCAGATGACACCTTGGCTGGCAGAGGAGACGAAGGTGTGCTGGCGATCCGGTCCAGAGTTGCTCCCCGGTACACGTTGTTGATGCGTTCGCAGATGCGCTTTCTCAAGTTTAAATTAACTCAGAAATCAAAGACTCTGGGACGAGTCTGCCTAAGCAGTTGCATTTCAGCTATTCGGGGGGGGGGGGGGAGAAAAGAGCCGGTGGGGCTCCGTTCCCCGTTAGCGTTTTTCACACGTCCTCTCTCTTTCGTTGTCAAACACCAACTGAATCAAGAACTGAAAACTTACCAAAAGCCTTTCTCTTCTCAAAGCAAATGTGTGCGTCAGCAAATGTGTTTTGAATTTACTGTGAGAGTGTGTGTGTGTGTGTGTGTGTGTGAGTGTTTGAGTGTGCGTGAAGGTCATTATAACATCTTCCAAACATTATTTAATTAAGTATTGATTCATTATAGTTCATTATGATTACCCAAAGCATAATAATCATTCATTTGATTAAAACACATTTATAATGAGCAAAATGATAATGGTGATTATTTAACATTTAAAATGAAGAAAAGGAAGTTTAAGACTTTGTTATGTTATGACTACATTTCATGAGAACACCATCTTCTGGCACTGCAGGTGGCAGATGTTATGGTTTGCAGCAGACTTGTTGACGGCTCCGGTCAGGGCCGGCTTTGTCAACAGGCGACACAGGCGGCCGCCTGGGGCGCCATCTGATGGATAGGGCGCAAATTTAAAAAAAAAAAAAAAAAAAAAAAAAAAGTTTATTAAATTCATGTTTGTAATATGAAATGCACTCTCTGCATACTCAAAATTCCCCTTTGAAATGACATGAAATTAAAACATCAATATTTAAATTCTAATGATCTGGCTGCATTTCGAGCTCCCGCCGGCTCCCGCTTGGGCCACCGCTCCGAAGCATTTGACCGTTAAGGTTGCCATAGTTACGTGTGTGGGTGGCACTGTGAAGGACATCCTGTTGTCGTCGCGTTTAAACGTTTGATATTTTACGAGGAAAAGAACACCTAAGCCATCGGGATCAGCATTCCGAAAGCGAAGGAAGGAAGAAGAATAAAAACGGGCGCAAAGCAGAGGTATGTAGACTTTATAAGTTTTGCAAAGGAACTTTTTGCGTTAGCATTGTAGCTAACTGCCTCTCCTGCCACGCACGGTCCACGGACGGACCCTCGCTAGCTGTTTACACACACAATACAGTATCTGTAACTTTAACCCATTCATTTTACTTTTGAATCGTCGTGTCCAGATGCAGTGAGACAATGTTGAGTCTCACTGTGATGATGAAGAATGTAATTTTTTACTGGTTTTTGGAGCTTGATTGCAGCCTTTTATGAACGTTGTTTCAAGTTTTAAGTACGCATACAATATGAATTTAATATTTGTATATCAGAAGAACGTTAGGTGTGGGTGTAGCAAATTTTCAACTTTGTCCGACACATCGGGCGGGCGGCACCGCCGCGGCCGAGGCGGTGACTCCCCCACTGCCGCCGGGTCCGGCGGGGAGTGAGAACTGCCTAAACACAGCATGACATCTTATACCGTCTCTTTCTTGTTTATGCTGCAGCGTCTTCATCCAGGCATCACGCAGCAGCAGAACATTTACTGAGCTACAATCTCAGCATCTAGAACCAGGTGAGTATGTTACTTGTTAGGCTATTTGTAATCAGCAGTAGAAACGGGCTTTTATCACATATATCGATATGCAAAATTAATTTATTTAAATCCACACCAGACACTTGTTTCTGGCACAATCAGTGCAGCATTGATTTAGCATTGAGAATATTAAATAATCTCAACCTACACATCTGAAATTGTCTCCTTAAGATGTTATTGTCTATTAGGCTGTAAATTTGTAAAAAAAGATGGATGTTAGTTTTTGTGACATAGTGAGTCATCTTCAAGGTATAAAGGTTTATGCCCTGAAGAAGGTGGTACCGAAACGCGTCGGTGTTTCCTTGTTTAATAAATGAAATCCTCAGAGTGCCTCAGATCACCGGTTCTTCTTCCTCATATTCTACAATTTATTTTATGCTGAAGAGCACCTGAGAGTGAGACATAAGTTTTTTCAAATATTCCCCACTTCCACCTGTTTTTGATAATTTTATTCATGTTTTCATAGAACAGATTAAAAAAGATCAATAAAATAAAAAGTCCAGTAATATTAAAAATAGTGAAAAGCATCACTGCACATGACTGAGGAATATTGAATGTGAAAGTGGCACTGTTCTTAATTCATGCATCAGAGGGTTAAGTTGCTTTGTGTGTGTGTGTTTATTTTCTCACAGAAGAAGAACCCAACACCAGCAGACTCAGTGCTCCAATCCAACAGCCTGAAGAGACACCATCATCAGCTTCAGCAGATGTGTGTGAACATGCATGAGCTGCTGGCCCCATGGATCCTGCTGACTGGCCACAGAAGTTGAACAAAATGGAAAGTAGAACTTTCTTTATGATGACACTTTGATATTTGAGTTTTGCTTTTGATTGCACAGTTTAATGTTGCTTTTGATTTTGCACCCCCCCCCCCCCCCATGACATTTGCACAACATTTTGAGTTGTCGGTTATTGTAATATTCCCAGGTTACTCATCTTTCAAGCTTACATTTATTCTTCAGGCTGTTGACTTTAAAGAGTTGCTGTGTGAATATTTAAAATAAAAAATTAGTAACAAAGGAATAACTGTGGAGTTGCTTTTTCCAATGTGTGGACTTGGGTTTGGGTGAGAGGCCGGGGGGGGGGGGGGGGGGGGCAAATGGGCACTCTCGCCTTGGGCACCAAATTACCCAGAGCCGGCCCTGGCTCCGGTGTTAATCTGTGGGTGAAAGTTCTGAGCGACCCAGCTCTTGACCCAGCCGGGCAAATGAAACCTTTGGCACAGAAAACCCATATTTCCTCACGTTACAATGTTGCTGAGAAACAATAATGAAAAAGGGCACGTTTGTGAACTGGATACACAGAATTTGAAGGTAAACAGGTATAACACACTGAGGCTTTAACAAACATTGAGAGTACAGATATGATTTGAAGCAGAACAATTTACAAAAAGCTGACCACAGCGTCTACAGTCAGCTGTAGAAACAAACATGAGCTCTTTCATTAAGCATCCTCGTAATTCACTGGTAAAACAAATTCTGACAAAATGTTTTTTTCCTGTCATAAACAGTTGATTAGCTGAATGTTGTGTTTGATTTAAAAATATTTTCTGGTAGAGTGAAGGAATATCCTTGTAAAAACTCAGCTGTTTGTGTTGCGCCACGTCAGGTCTGAAGAGGTTTCTTCAGTGTGACTTAGGTCAGATTTGTGCTCACATTTCTAAAGGAATGTTCTTCTCTCTAGTCCAGTCGGCAGTGTAAATGACCAACAGTTGCTGGACAAAATGAACCAAGATAAGAGTCTTTAATAGAGTTGAAGAGCTTCATATTGTGCTGCTGGAAATGGTATTTGCTGCTTTGCAAACTGGGTCATTCATGCAACAGCATAAACACTAAACTGGAGATAAACACCATGAGATTTTAGTTTGGCAGCAAGAAAAAAGTGTCATTTAAAATTTCAGATCTTTCAGGAAGCACACTGGCTAGCCAGGCAGTGTTTTTTTTTTTTTTTGGTTGCAACAAAAGACGATAAAATGTTTTGTTTTCAGTCAAAGACCAAGTCCCATGAAGAGGAGCTGGAACGCCATGCTCAGTTCCTCCTGGTCAACTTCAACCACATCCACAAGCGGATCCGCAGAGTGGCTGACAAATACCTGTCTGGTCTGGCTGAAACGTGAGGACAAGTTCACACCACTGACTTCTCTATATTGTGATAAATTGTGCTTTATCAGTTAGTCAACCCCCATCCCGTCTCTCCTCAGGTTCCCCCACCTGCTGTGGAGCGGCCGTGTGCTGAAGACCATGTTGGACATTCTGCAGACGCTCTCACTGTCCCTCAGTGCTGTAAGTGATGGATTTATTCATCAGAGTGACATCTGTCAGTGAATACCTGACTCCTATTATTTACTACAGGATATTCATAAAGACCAGCCTTATTATGACATCCCAGACACGCCGTACAGAATCACCGTCCCAGACACACATGAAGCCAGAGAGGTACGGTTCACTTCTTCAACAAAATGAAGTTGTTTTGTCACATCTCCCACAGGTGACCGAAACTTTCCTTTGCTTTCATCAAAAACAAATGTTACTACATAAATTACCGTTAAAATGCTAAAATAACCATTAGAAAGAAATGTCGTGCATTTATATGATACAAATAATAATAATAATAATAACCGAGGAACCCAGTGAAGGTATAATCACTGTGATGGATTATTCAGAAGGGTAATTGCAGAAGGAGTAGTTGTTTTGCATATCCTTTTCCAGGCTAGAGGAACATTTACTCCTCTGATTGGTTCTTCTGAGGGAAAAAGTCATTCATTTACATGTAAAACCACCATTAATAATATTAAATGTATTACATTAAGAATGTTTTTTGTCTTGTAGAGCATCGTGAAGGACTTTGCTGCACGATGTGGAGAAATCCTTAAAGAAGCTATGAAGTGGGCTCCATCTGTCACGAAATCCCACCTGCAGGTGACATCATCCAACATGTACTTCTGTATCCTGTTATGAAGCATAACAGCTGATACTTTTAGTTGCTAAGAGGCAAATGTGGTTTATATTCTAATACAATGTGTTTGTCTTCTTTCTGAATACAGTAAGCAGATTCAGCTCCACCCATAGAACATAAGTGTTTTATATTAAACACACATAAAACATGGCTCTAACTCCGGTATATTATCTCTGGTCTTTCAGGAGTACATTAACAAACATCAGAACTGGGTGTCAGGTCTCTCCCAGCACACCGGCCTGGCCATGGCTACTGAAAGCATTTTGCACTTTGCTGGTTACAACAGACAGAGCACCACTCTGGGCGTGAGTCACACACACCTGATATAGTAACAGCTGATTTATGGTCCAGTTTGATTGAAGAAGTGTAAAACAGTTATTTCAGCTTGATAAAGACTACTGTAAACTGTGATCTGAGATTTGAGGCAAAGTTATAATCAATGAAGAAAAAGTACAAGAATAGAGCCCTGTGGGATGCCACACTGGGATCATCTGTAAACGACCTTTTGATAAACAACCAAAGTAGATATGGTTACATATATAATAAAACAGTCTGTCTTCGCACTGAGTAACTCAGGTATGAAACCTGTTTGTTTTCTTTTAATTCTCTGTTAGTCCACTCAACTGACTGAGAGGCCAGCATGTGTAAAGAAGGACTACTCCAACTTCATGGCTTCCCTTAATCTACGGAACAGATACGCTGGAGAGGTAAACCCATTTAGTTCCAGTTAGGGATGTTCCGATCACAGATTTTTGCTCCCGATCACATTTCCTAGTCATTTGATTTTAAGAATCTGCCGATACCGCATCCTGATCCGATACTTTACAAATGCATTAAGAAAAAAGGAGAACATGCTAGAGTTGTCCTTTAAGTTTTGTAATTATTAATGTTTCTTTCTTTCATTAATTTTAAAGCCAACGTTTGCAACCACAAACAATAATCCAGTGTGATAAATATACTGCCAACTTGGCAGCATTGCTGTCTGTAGACTATTTCTTGGTTTCTTAGTGTATCTTTTTAGTGTCGTTGGCTAAGCACAATTGCAGCAGCCAACTGAGCAGGGTTGTTTTTTTAAGGTGGGGCATCAGAGTTGAACGCAGCACTACCTTTTCCTCCTGGTAAATGCCCAGTTTGCACATATTACACATGTTTATTACACTCCCTTTGCTGTTCATTTAAAAATACATCCAAATTATAGACATTTTCTCTCTCTTGGGGTAACTACTGTACAATGCTCTGTGTTAACTAACAGTTACATGTTATGGTGTGTGAATTCCCGGACTACCTTAAATATTTGGACTTACAGCTGTCTGTGTCTGTGAAACAGAGAATACTGATGTAGAGGAACGTGTTGATTTTAAAACTAAGCCATTGTTTTTTCATTATAAAATCTCTTTCTAAGGATGATTTTTAAAAGTAACGTTTGTTGTTTTATATGGTTAAATCTGTTTTTTTCCCCTCACCCATTCTGATTTCCTGAAAATTACGTGATCGGACAGTTCCAATTCCAACAAGTCTACTGTGTAGTTCTTTGTTTTTGTTATGTCATGAAGACTACAGACCCACGAATAATGAGAAACCAATGAAATATCAGACGATTCCATCAACCTATCTACTGATGGAAAAGGTGTCTCCATAAACTTTTGTTACAGGCATTGATTTTTTGTGCTTTTTAACCAGAGTCTGAGCACTCATCCTGTCACACGCAACAGTCATGATGTTTGTAAGCATCAAATTATTAATTATAGCTCACCACATTGAAAAATCTGTATCTGAGCACATAGCAGCAAAGGTAAAAACCATGAAGGAATGATTCAGCAGATGTCAACAGCAGTTAGAAAAACAGCAGAGCTATATTTTTGTGTTTAGTCAGTAAAATGCGCTATTTGTTCACACAGAGAGGGACTTAACGGTTGCACTGGAACCCACCATTGGGCATAGCTATAATTAAGATATAGCTAAGATTTTTGATCTTCGTAATAAATTTGAAGGCTGCAGCAGGATTTTTACAGATGAAATAGTTATGTAAATGTGTAATTCAATGCTTTATCCACTGATTTGTTGCTCTCTTTTACTCACAGTCAGTACCGATTGTGTTATTAATGGGCACAAAGAGTGTGGAAATGAACTTTTCATTTGAGCTAAACTGCACACATGGCTTGTGGACTTGCTTAGTGATCAATATTTATCTCCAGCTGCTCTGATTCTATTCCTAACATTCTTCTTTTGTTCCTGTAGGTTGCAGGTATGATCCACTTTGCCAAGGCGGTCCGGGGACAGTCCGATCTGAGTCGTCTGATGATCAAACAGATGGGAGAGGCTCTAGACTCTGCTCAGCCTGAAGCCTTCACTGAGGCCATGTTCAAACTGGCAGCGTTGCTCATCAGCAGCAAAGGTTTTGCATGTCTTCTCTGCTTTTCTCTTTTGAAGCTGATCCACGTGCTCACAGATGCTCCTGTTTTTAGATGTTACAATTTGTTTTAATTTTTTCAACATGATTCCTTATGCTTAGATTGGGACCCTCAGCTGCTGCACCACCTCTGCTGGTCACCCCTTAAAATGTTTACAGAGCATGGCATGGAAACAGCCATAGCCTGCTGGGAGTGGCTGCTGGCAGCACGTGCAGGAGTGGAAGTCCCGGTACACTGATGATTTTACTCATTCTTGTTTTGTCAGTGTGTTTTTGTCATACACACACACACACACACACACACACACACACACACACACACTCAGTCTCATTTTTGTTTCCTAGTTTATGCGAGAAATGGCAGGAGCATGGCAGATGACTGTGGAGCTGAAGATGGGCTTGTTCTCAGATGCTCAGGTGGAAGCTGACCCTCTGGCTGCATCAGAGGAAAGTCAGCCTGTCCCTTGCCCTCCGGATGTTACCCCTCACCACATCTGGATTGAGGTCGGATAATAATCATTGTTCTGGAGGTTATCACAGTTATCACATCTCTGTTTTGTTTAAACTCAAATGTTTTTTCCCCTAGTTTCTGGTCCAGAGGTTTGAGATAGCAAAGTATTCCAGTGTCGATCAGGTGGAGATATTTTGCAGTCTGTTGCAACGCTCTCTGTCTCTAGATGTTGGCGGGGCAAAGAGTAGTCTCAACCGTCATGTGGCTGCCATCGGACCTCGCTTCAGGTACCACACATCTTTCAAATGGGTTGTAAACCGTGGCTATGTAGCAGTACATTTATTTACACTGCACTGCAGAACCTACACAGATCTGCAAACGAACCAGCTTTTAAATGCAAACACAGTCATGGAACACTCACCCCTCCCATCAGGTATCTTTGCTTTCATCAGAACCAGTAACCCACACTGCCTGAGGAAACAAGAGAGTGCTAAACACTAGTCACCATTTTTAGGTCCAAACATCTTTTGTTTGTGACTTCAAATGATGAACAGAGGACCCAGGGAGGTGCAGTGATTCGACGAAACTGACAACAGGATTGTCCAATAGTTGCTTTCAGTCTGAATGGGACTGAATGCAGTGGTTGGGAGTTGTTGTTTTTTTAATATAGAGGTCATCTTCCCCAGCATCCTCCTTTCACACATCTCCTCAGCTGTATACAGTGGGCAACCCAAAACCAAGCTAGCGTTGTGAAGAGGCATGAAAGAAATGTTTTGAGCTAATTTGTTTCCAGATTTGCTATAATGGCTTTAATACAACTAAGGGATACTTAGCAACTTTTTCCTATTTTTAAATCATATTTCTGAGCCAGTATGTGCTAAAATGACCAGAATATTCCACTTGCAACTTCACAGTTGCCAGTCTGGTCTGTTGGAAAAATTGAACTGAGGTACCTGATGCTGCGATCTGGTTTCAGCATATTTCCTGCATGTTTAGATCATAAACACAGCTGATTTGTTTAATTTACTGATGAATCATTCCTGTAGACACTAAGGCTGAACAATTTATTATTAATTATATTGCAATGTTATAAAATGAGATTTTCTAGTTGCAAAGGATACTATTTGATTGGTCACGAGATCTGGGAAGGCCATGTGACTTGCGAGCACCTCAAACAAGGCAGGGAGAGAAGAAAATGCTGCAATTTAACCTTTTATTAAATGGCCTCAGGCTAGATTCCAACGCTGCACAAAGTTTGGTACCAAAGAGGTCTAGCACATCAGTTGTGGGGAATTATTATCGCTATAACAAAAGAAGATGCTGCGCAGCGTGAGGTATTGTGCAGAACCTGCCATGCTACTGTTGCTACATAACGAGGTAACACAACAAACCTTTATCAACAACTAAAAAAAACATCCCACCACCAGACATGAGAGTTGCATGGCTAAAATGCTAGCCACCAGTGCTACAACTTCCAGTAAACAAACTTTCAGCCGACGGAGATCCCTGACAGAGCTGTATAAGAATAATTTATGTATAATATGTTATTTTTTTCTTGCGTTAGCTGAAAAATATGAGAAAAGCCCCTTAAAAGAATAATTGGGAATTAAAATGTAATTGCAATATTTAAGAAAAAGAATTGCAATTAGATTATTTTCCTAAATTGTTCAGCCCCAGTAGACACTAAGGAAGGCTGGGAGATGTTTCAGCTGTTAGATCAAGGTGTTAAAAAGACAAACGCATCGCGTATAATTTGTTTCTACAAATGGACACTAGGGGGTGCTAAAAGCAAGACAAAACTGCCTAGTCTCCCTTTAATTAGGGATGCACCGATACCAGTATCGGTATTGGTAAAAGTTAATCGATATCAGGAACCAATACCAATGCAATTGCTTGAAAATGGCTTCACTGTAACTTGTTATTTCTGTTCGCCTAATGTTTTAGTTTTGTGATGATTTTTATTCATACATTTTACTTTTTATATAACTCACAGTCTTTTCCTGTTGAAAGCAGAGAAGAAAATAAAATCTGTATTCCAAATCATTTCATTTTTTTGTGTGGTAGAAGTATCGGTATTGGTAATCGGTATCGGCGAGTACTCAGATCCAAGTATCGGTTTGGAAAAGGGGATATTGTTGCATCCCTACCTTTAATCTTAATTTTCTTTTATTTATGTTGCTACAAATAATCTAAACTCCTCTACGGTTTGGCAACATGAACAGTAAGGAAAAGCTGGATGCAAGATTTATAAATTTATAAATGTGTCTAAGTGTGCCTGCCTGTGTTCTTGTTCAGCATCTTGGTCTGTGTTATAGGTTGCTGACTTTGGGCCTGGCTCTTCTCCACTTTGACGTTATTCCCAATGCAACTGTAAGAAATGTGCTCCGGGAGAAGATCTATTCCACAGCCTTCGATTACTTCAGGTGCCAATTCACACACTGTAAACTAAATAAAGTAACATCTTGCATTTCAACTAACAGCTGTATGAAAACTTCACAGTGAAATCTAAAAATACATTCACAAAGTCAAAGGACTTGCTTTATTTGGAGGAATTCGTATATCCAGCTGCCTTTCAGCCCAAAGTTTTAAACTGAGATAATCTTTTGTAGACATTATCGAGATATGATGAAGTTATTATTGTTTTGCTCGTAAATTATTGCAAGAATTTGTGTAATCTTTTATCTCTCAGATTATTTGCTGTGACTGACTTGCATCAAATGAATGTCTATTAAACTGACTGAGTCATAACAGAAAGTGCCATAGTCTCCCCCTCCCGTCAGGTCAAGAGTCTGGGTGTCATCCTCAACAGCTCACTTTCTTTTCAAGCTCACAGTAATAACATAATTCGGTCAGCATATCCATCTACGTTCCATAAACCGTCTTTGCCCCTCCCTTACCCCTCACACTGCCGCCATTCTCGTCCACAGCCTCGTCACCTCCCGTATTGACTATTGCAATTCACTTCTTCATGGTCTCCCCAACAAACTCCTTCATAAACTGCAACTGGTCCAGAATTCAGCAGCCCGTATTATCACCAGAACCCCTTCCTTTCACCACATCGCCCCGGTTCTCCAGCAGCTTCACTGGCTCCCAGTTAAATTCAGGTCCATCTTCAAAATTCTCCTCCATACCTTCAAAGCAATCCATAACCTCTCTCCTCCATATATCTCAGACCTTATAAGTATTCACACCCCGTCCCGTTCTCTCAGATCTTCTTCTTCCATCCATCTTGCGGTTCCTTCTGCCCGTCTCGCTACCATGGGGAGCAGAGCTTTCAGCCGCTCTGCTCCTCGTCTCTGGAACTCGCTTCCCCCAGACATCAGGAGCATCGACAGTTTTACCCTTTTCAAAACAAAACTCAAAACACACATGTTTAAATCTGCCTACAACCTCTGATTTTATTGAACTGTTTCTCTCTTTGTTTTTTTTCTTGTTTGGGTTTTATTATTGTTTTATTGTGTTTTATTAAGTGTTTTCTGTCTAGTGACCTTGGGTGTTCTGAAAGGCGCTTTTAAATAAAATTTATTATTATTATTATTATTATTATTATTATTATTATTATTATTATTATTATAACTAATTGTATATTGTCCAAAGTTGATGGTAGCTGACATGGCCATCTTGGGCTCCAGAAGCTATTTAGCTGCTGATGTACATCCACTTGTTACTTCTGAGACTTTCATTAAAATGTACATAGTGGTTCATGAAATATTTTACTAAAAACCACAGACACAGGCAAAAACATTATCGCTCACCTGTTGGTAGCAAGCAACAATAATACTGTCAAATAATATTGCAACATTTCTTATGTATAACAAAAAAGCATCATTCACAGATGCCTAAAGCATCTCAGAGGAGCCTTTAAACGATGTGAATGCTTATATGGTGCATCACAGTAATCTATCATAGAGTGTTTTAGAAATGTAAGTAATAAACTCACCACCACTGATGGTCTCAAATCCTAAAGCTTGGTTAGATCAGATGAAAACTTCTCCGCATAAATAACTAACTCAGCCTTTTATAATCTAGTAGTTCTCTGTGGTCTTGTTTCAGTGTTGCTCCGAAGTTTCCCACCCAGGGCGACAAGCATCTCCGTGAGGACATCTGCATTGTGACTCGCTTCTACGCCAGCATCCTGTCAGACAAGAAGTACCTGGCAGCGTACCAGTTGGTCACACCTGGTGAGCTTGGTACTACCCCAGTCCCGAGTACACTCTCTGCTGGGATATTTGGATCGCTTATTGTGTCCAGCACTACTCCGATTTCGATCTTAAGTAAGCGCAAAGTGGTGGAGATCCGGCTGCGCTGCAGCATGGACATTCTGTTACGTGTGTCAAATTTGGCACTGCTTATCCTCACAGTGCTGCCTCCGTGATAAACGTTTTCACCTAACTGTAACTTTTAAGAAAAACATTTTTTTTCTCTTCCTATTTCTTTTTTCTTTCCATTCTAATAATCTGTTGCTTATGTTTATTGCAGCTGTGAGGAAAAGCACAAATTTGTCAGCAGCGTCAAGATGCATGATAATTCATCAGCCCACTCATCTGCCCCTCCCCCCGCATTCCTCTATCGATCAGTTTTTGGTATCAAATAAAGAAACCACAATGTGTTTTTCTTCCACCTCGGAAAATCCTATCCTCCTCATTCCTGATGACCCAGTGAAAAGACATGGTCTCATTGTCATAAACATCAAAGCGCTTCAGTTAGAGGAGTTCTCAAATCACAGATCCTGGATCAGATTTATCCAAGAACTTCTGACCAAGTGTCAGTGGTCTGAGGCACCTTCTACCTCCATTTATCTCTATCTGGAATTCCCTGCTTTCAAATGCATGACCATCACAGCAGAAGAAGACTAAGTTAAACAAGTCATCACGCTCTTCAGACAAATCTTCGTCATTGATCATATAAATGTTTATCACTGTTGAGAAATCCTGTGAACAGTACTGATTCAGCTCTTTTAACAGAGGATTGGTTTGTTTATCTGAGCAGATAATCAGGACGCTTGCTTGAACAGTCTGTCGGTGATGAACGCTGCAGACCTGAGGAGCAACGTAGACTCCAGCGCTCGCTCCCAGCAGAGTGGTCAGGGGTGGATCAACACATACCCGCTATCTAGTGGCATGTCCACCGCGTCCAAGAAGTCAGGTACAGCATTGCTTATGCTCAAGAGTAGGGCTGGGCAATAAATAGAAAATGTATCGTTATATAGAAATTTCTGACTCTAACCAAGATCATTTTTCTCATGTGAATAAATTCTGTAATAAAAAATGAAAAGATGTGTGTAGGTTGGTGACATTCATGTCACTTTAAGAAGCTGCATGAGAGTCACATGACAACATGACTCAACCTAATACATGTGGCAGCCCCATCTAGTGGACAACTTTTGTTTTTGCGCATACATGTAGTTATGTTTATTTATCGTGTTCAAGGTGAACTCCTCAATATGCCGTGATATTGATTTTAGGTCATATCGCCCAGCCCTGCTCAAGAGAGAAACACGGTCTTCGCTTTTTATATCTGTATTCACCAATCTAAAAGGTCTAGCAATGCTCTAGCAGACACATGACAGGAGATGGTGTGCACAATCCTCTAAAGATCATCGTCACTCATATTTTTAAACACATTTGCAGAGGTGTTGATTAGGAATGAATGCCTTTTAAGTCATACTCCGCGGATGAAAAGCTCGGATGCGCCTGTTTCAGGAACTAGAAGTGAACTAGTTCAGAGCTGAGCACCAGACTGCAGGATTTGGAGTCTTATTTCCTGATATTTGGACATCTGGCCTCTGATTGGAGAACGGCAACACAACTCTACCAATGACTCCGTTTGCTCAGCATTGTTTATGTTTTATCTCCACAATCCTAAAGGAGTTCTGCTGTGTTGTGGAGTAGCTAATGTTAACAGTTAGCTTCTACTAGCTAAGACATGCTCTGCTGTCTCCTGGACGCTAAACCAATAACAGCCTTCCCTGTTGTGAGTCAAGATGGGTGAGTCCATAAATGTTAAAGAGCAAACTGCAGGATAGAGACTCCCATGAACCAATTTTTAGAGAAACATAATAGAAACTCGTTTGAAACATTTTTTTACACATACTTAAATAATTTAGGATTTTAGAGTCATTTTTGTGACGTTATTTTATTTTATTTTTTTTTTTTTGCCAAACTAAGTCACGTCCGCTGAGGGGGTCCTGTTAGCTTAATCCAGAGAAAACTATGGATTCTAATGCGGCTCTATCACAGAGGAAACTTTAATTGTTTATAATTCTACTTATGATGGACCAAAACCATAAAGTTACGCCCCAGAGAGCAGAGGCAAACCAAAGGGAGAAAGCAGAGAGATTGGAGAACAGCTGGTTAGCAGCAGTTGCGTTAACGATGCTAGCTTAAACTCGTGTGCTAACATCACGTTATTGTACCGATTACTATCATGTACCAGACAATGAAAATTGTATCGGTCAGTTAATTTTATATTAATACTACTGAGTGTCTGTCAGCTGTCTCATACTTGTTAATATCTGTTCATGTAACGTAGTTTAGCGGTTAGAGAGAGAGAGAGAGAGACGCCTGTGATCCGGTTCTGGAGCCCATGCGGGCTTCTGTGAGCTGGATCTGACCCAGACATCAGAGAGCCAGTCCAGCTGGTATTTTTAAAAGCTGCATATGATCCTTTGCTGATGGAGTAGGTTGCTGATGCTCCTAATCTTTTAAGATGCTGCGCTAAGAACTGGATTGGGTAGAGTCATGTGACTTTTTGTGGTCATGTGACTTTACCCCATCCAGTTTGTAACATGAAAGGAATGGCAATGAGGAAATGGAGATTGATTCAAATGTTGAAGCAGTAAGCGGGTGAAGCAGGTTGTGGATGGCAGCAGCGACCAAATCCAAAATGTTTCTGAAAGATTTTTGTGGTAACAGGCTTCTCCTCGACCATATCTATCACAGTCGTCGTTCCCTTTAACTGCCGCTGTACATGTAGTTTCTGAGTTATTGTCCATTTATCGTTATCGAGGTGAAACGATCTTTATTTTGAATTGAGGCCACATCGCCCAGCGCTAGCACACGCATAATAAATCTTGTGTTTCTTCTATTTTTTGTACATTGACTGTTGTATTGCTAGTCTATTCTTTACTATATTTGAAGAAGGTGTGTAAAACAAGCAACCTACCAATGAACCTAATCTACAATGTACCATTAGGGCATTGGACAAGCAGCCTGCCATAAAGACATAGTTTCTGTTTCCATATCTGCATCAATGAAATATGCTAAAGAAACAAGATGGCACATGGACTGGTTAAACGAGTGATCCACACCTTTAAGATTGTTGTATCTGTGTCCAGCATGACCAAGTTGAAACATATTTTATTTTGAGGATTGAGTAAAGACTTTTAAGACAAGATTAGCTTTTTATGTGTGTCGTATATAGGACTCTACATTAAAGGCTCTGGAAATGGATTATTATAGGCCTTTGTTTTTATTGTCAGTCCAAATAGATTGTACTATTTGTAAGACAGTGGTGTCCCATCCTTGTCCTCCAGGGCCGCTGTCCTGCATGCTTTAGACATATCTCTGCTCCAACCCACCTGATGTGGTTGAATTACTCGTCCAGCATGACAGAATTAACGGTTTAACTTTCTACATTTCTGTTTTTCCAAGGCACGTCCAAGAAGAGTAATAGAGGAACGCAACTTCATAAATACTACATGAAGCGCCGCACTCTGCTACTGGCATTGCTGGTGAGTCCAAAGAAAGCTTCTGATTATAAGTGTTTGTTATTTTCTTCTGTTTCTGACTCCTCTTCTGTTTTGTCAGGCCAGTGAGATCGAACGCCTGACAACATGGTACAACCCCCTCTCCACTCAGGAGCTGGCCATCGCCACAGAGCAGTCAGTGGAGACCAGCATCGCCAACTGGAGGTCCAAGTACATCAGTCTGACTGAGAAACAGTGGAAGGACAACGTCAATCTGGCCTGGAGTATTGCTCCTTACCTGGCTATGCAACTACCAGCACGGTGAGCTATCTGCATGAGACTGTACCACTTTCACTTTACGGGTTAATGTATCTTTGCCTTTTCTGTAGTTTTATGTAGTTGATGTTTTCTCAGATTCATTCAGTGTAGATAAGTAACTTATTACATAGACAGGATCTAGATGTTTGGAGTTTGCTGTAGTTTGTTCCAGAACCTAACTTGATACTGAAAGAACAAAATCATGTAGAGAAGAGAAATAGACAGCAAAAATAAAAGATCCAAAAAGCATGGACTAAAATTGAAAAGTATACCAGTCGTATAATCTCAATAAAACATCTTATTGCTTTGTGATTCACTTGTTGGTTTTCAGGTTTAAAAATGATGCCATTGTTGCTGAAGTGACTAGACTGGTCCGACTGGAACCTGGAGCGGTCAGCGACGTACCCGAAGCCGTCAAGGTGTGACCACTCAGGTCTGCAGCTTGAGAAATCTCTCATTTTGACTTTGTAGCTAAATCTTTGTCTCCTCTGTTCACCAGTTCCTGGTGACGTGGCATACCATTGATGCTGACTCTCCTGAGCTGAGCCACATCTTGTGTTGGGCTCCAGCCGACCCGCCCACCGGACTGTCCTACTTCAGCAGCATGTATCCTCCTCATCCCCTCACTGCTCAGTACGGGGTTAAAGTGCTGCGCTCCTTTCCTCCTGTAGGTCCCATACATGCAGCATCTCAGAGGAATGTCCTTGTTTTATTTTTCAGCATAAGTGAGTATCAATAAAAAATGCTTTTATCTTCCAAGGATGCCATCCTGTTCTACATCCCTCAGATTGTGCAAGCACTTCGTTACGATAAGGTGAACATAAAAAGCTTTGCGTTCTTCCCAACTTGTCTCAAGCCCTCATTAACCTCTCTCGTCCTGCTCAGATGGGTTATGTGAGAGAGTACATCCTGTGGGCGGCGCAGAAGTCTCAGCTTCTCGCTCACCAGTTCATCTGGAACATGAAGACCAACATCTACATGGATGAAGAGGGACACCAGAAAGACCGTAAGTGACCTTGTCGGAGTCAAACACAGTTTTGTCTAACAAACATGTCATAGTATTCTTTTTAAAAAGTACTTTTATATTGTTATTATAATTATTATTATATCAAATAAACAATGTAAATGTTCGATGGTTACAACAAGAGGAGTCGGAGGACTCCAAAGCACTTTACACTACATTACAAGACATCTTCAGACGGACTTCAATTTGTCTTGGTTTTTATTGTGATTCAAGCTGCGGTTGTTAACTTTTTTAACAAGCTGCTCTTAAAGGTGTCTGTCCCCGAGCAGTCTCTGGTGATCTGATCTCCAGCTCATAAAAGAGAGACCTGTATGACCTGAGAGAAGCAGCGCTCCAGTTTGCAGTCTCAGCCCAGTGTTTACTTTCATTTTCAATCCAGTTGCTCGGCCAGAGTGCGGCAGTAACTCCCTAATTCATCGTGACACCTCCCTCTGTTGCGCCAGGGCGCAATCGTCGTCTGGAAGACAGATAATTATCACAATATTACTACCAAGCGAGATGGAGCGAATGCCGCAAAATTCATGCATCGCCGTGCTAACACTGCGCATTCATGAGACACACCGTTGTGATAATATTACGCTGATTTACCAACACGATGTGTCTTATAAAAAGGGCTAATGTATTATTCATCCCTTCACATTCTGGTGGTACGCAGTTAGATTAGTGGATCACGTGCTCTCTACGTAGAGTATCAGCCAGGTGGTGTAGAGTTTCCCATCTAACAGGGTGCAGGATTCCATTTCCAAATGAACAGAACTCAGAATCGCTCTGATTCGTACTTTGGAAGGACAGAATACATTTGAAGAGGAATAAACTTCCTGAGAATAAAGAAATTTGCTCGATTTTTATTCTATGTGATTAGAGGTCCACCTCAAATGGTGAAGTTAGCAAGAAAGATAAACTGTCTGCTTGCACAATATCTGGTATGGACATGTCTAAAGAACATGAGCAAGAGTGTGGCAGCAGCTGTTATGCGTTAGTCACAAAAGTAAGACGAGGACGAGTGAATCTCCTTTCTGACTCTTTGCCAGACTTGTTTGTCTGTGTTAAAGTCGTCAACAAACACCTGTCGTATACACTCTCCTAAAGGATTATTAGGAATGCCTGTTCAACTTCTCCTTAATGCAATTATCTAATCAACCAATCACATGGCAGTCGCTTCAATGCAGTTAGGGGTGTGGTCCTGGTCAAGACAATCTCCTGAACTCCAAACTGAATGCCAGAATGGGAAAGAAAGGTGATTTAAGCTATTTTGAGCGTGGCATGGTTTTTGGTGCCAGACGGGCCGGTCTGAGTATTTCACAATCTGCTCAGTTACTGGGATGTTCACACACAAATATTTATAGGGATTACAAAGAATGGTGTGAAAAGGGAAAAACATCCAGTATGCGGTAGTTCTGTGGGCGAAAAAGCCTTGTTGATGCTAGAGGTCAGAGGAGAATGGGCCGACTGATTCAAGCTGATAGAAGAGCATCTTTGACTGAAATAACCACTCGTTACAACTGAGGAATGCAGCAAAGCATTTGTGAAGCCACAACACGCACAACCTTGAGGCAGATGGGCTACAACAGCAGAAGACCCTACCGGGTACCACTCATCTCAACTACAAATAGGAAAAAGAGGCTACAATTTGCACGAGCTCACCAAAATTGTACAGTTGAGGACTGGAAAAATGTTGCCTGGTCTGATGAGTCTCGATTTCTGTTGAGACATTCAAATGATAGAGTCAGAATTTGGCGTAACAGAATGAGAACATGGATCCATCATACCTTGTTATCACTGTGCAGGCTGGTGGTGGTGGTATCATGGTGTGGGGGATGTTTTCTTGGCACACTTTAGGCCTCTTAGTGCCAATTGGGCATCTTTAAAATGCCACGGGCTACCTGAGCATTATTTCTGACCATGTTCATCCCTTCATGACCACCATGTACCCATCCTCTGATGGCTAATTCCAGCAGGATAATGCACCATGTCATAAAGCTCCAATCATTTCAAAATTGTTTCTTGAACATGACAATGAGTTCACTGTACAACAATGGACCCCACAGTCACCATATCTCAACCCGATGGAGCATCTTTGGGATGTGGTGGAATGGGAGCTTCGTGCCCTGGATGTGCATCCCACAAATCTCCATCAACTGCAAGATGCTATCCTATCAATATGGGCCAACATTTCTAAAGAATGCTTTCAGCACCTTGTTGAATCAATGCCATGTAGAATAAAGGCAGTTCTGAAGGTGAAAGGGGGTCAAACACCTTATTAGTATGGTGTTCCTAATAATCCTTTAGGTGGGTGTAAACTAATTAATAAAACCTGTTTAAGAGTAAATTTTTGATAACAGTTAAAAGAAAATAATTAATTTAGTTCCCTCAAAAAAAGCATCTGTGGTTTGTTGCTTCTTAGAGCAAACTAGGTTTTTCCCGGCTCAGCCGCTGAGTTACTAAATTACACCTCACCTGTTTCTCTGACAGGCAGCCATCTTTGTTTTTCTCCTACAGCAGTGATCTAATACAGATGAGACTGCATGGGCTACAGAACATGAACATCTGAAAATAAACTAGTTATTTCCTCAAATGATCATTTCTAGGATGGATCTGATTTTTTATTTCACGTTAGCTGGAATCCTTGAAAAATAAGTTAAAAATGAAAGAGCTGTCTGAAATCCCAGCGATCCTGTTGGATTTTTCATTTACATTTTTTAACGTCATTATGTATTTTTGTTGCAGATTAATAACAGTCTATTGTTAATCAGCTGATAGATGAAATCCTGGTTTGACCAGACTTGTGTTTGAAACTAAACATTGTTTCGTTTAGAGTGTCATGTATGTACGAATGTTTAGATCATTTTGGACATTTGCTGTAACCATTAACTAGCATTATTCTGTGGAAAATGTCTGTACTTAAAGTTACAGTTACGTTTGATTTGTCCTCGCTGCACATGCCATGAAATAGATTTCTTTTGTATTCTTTGTCATGTTTGTCTCTAGTAACTGAGTTAGATTAACGCACTTCATTTCATATGTTGTTGTAAAAGAGACAAAATGTAACACTGATTGATGTTTGTTTCTGTACAGCTGACATTGGGGAGCTGTTGGAGCAGATGGTGGAGGAGATCATGGGCTCTCAGTTGGGTCCAGCCAAGGATTTCTACCAGAGAGAGTTTGACTTCTTCAACAAGATCACCAACGTGTCCGCCATCATCAAGTGAGAGCATAGCTTCTCAGCCTCCCCACTCTGCAGCACACAAAACCCTCATTTCATGTGTTTGTGCCTCAGGCCTGTTCCAAAGGGAGAGGAGAGAAAACGAGCCTGTCTCAAGGCTCTGTCTGACATCAAGGTGCAGCCAGGTATCTGCCCACTTTTGGACTTTTTTAACTGACTGCTATTGGAACAACCAGAGCTCCATTTGGGGATTAATACAGTCTGAATGTCTTCAGACAAAACATTCTGCAAACATTATATAACACTTTTGACATCTCTTCCAACAAGCTTTCCTCAGGTTTAGTACATACATTCAAACAAGGTTAAATAAAAACATGAAAGGGTGAGTCAGTTATGAAGTCCTGATTTCTTCACAAAAAATGACCCTAAATTATAATTTTACTAGTTTTCAATCCAGACTTCTCCGTGTTTTTATTGTGATGCTCCAACAAAAAGTAAACGTATTAAATTGAACAGTGTTAAATAAACACTGTGTCAATGTTTGTTCTATAAAACTTTCTGTCTCTCTGCTTCCTGTCTGAGGACAGCTCATGGTTTTTCATCCCATCTGTGTTTTTCAGGTTGTTACCTGCCAAGTAATCCAGAGGCCATAGTACTGGACATAGACTATAAGTCTGGAACTCCCATGCAGAGGTAATTATTCATGGTGGTTTTGTTTGATTAATCTGACTCTCTGTGTATTTTATAGCTGTGCTCATATGTCCCTAGTGCTGCTAAGGCGCCCTATCTGGCTAAATTTAAGGTGAAGCGCTGCGGGGTGAGTGAACTAGAGAGGGAGGGTCTTCGTTGTCCTTCAGACTCTCTGGAGGACGGAGAGGAGAATTCTGACGGCTCCTGCAGAGTCTGTTGGCAGGCGGCCATCTTTAAAGTGGGAGATGACTGCAGACAGGTGACCACATGTCTTTAATTGATTTGCTGTGAGTCAGGTGTGGATGAAAGTTGTTGATGACCCTGCTGTGTGGATCTCATTCCTCCAGGATATGCTGGCTCTGCAGATTATTGGGCTTTTTAAGAACATCTTCCAGCTGGTCGGTCTGGATCTGTTTGTCTTCCCCTACAGAGTGGTGGCCACTTCACCCGGGGTAAAACACTCTGCATGAAAATAGCCAGAGAAACTCACAGGAAAAAGTTTCAACACAATTTTGAAAACAGCTTTTAAAAGCTGAGGGAACCGACACACAAAACAAATCCGAGAGGCAGGCTGAAAGCATAAACCCACATGAAACAAAGCTGAACACATCAATGTGCTTGGCTGTCTGATTGTTGCTGTTTCTGTGGGCCAAAATGTATTCTTTGTTGCTTTTATCAAATTATGCTACTTTGAAAAGTTTTTGTTATCAGAACTTTATTTCTTATCAGATTTTATCTGCTGTCACTGACGTGGAAAATGACTGGATTTAGATTTTTATGCTAGGTGATCTGAGTCAGACTGCCACTCCCATCAAAAAATGTATGTGTCAGTTCCTGGAGGATAAAATACCCAATCCAGTTTACAGCGCCAGCAGTGCGTACAGGGGGCACCAAGCAATCAGGCTTATGAAAATAAAACAAAAGACAGATTATATTAGTTATAATATCAGCTACAGGACACCATGCACACACAACACCAGGGGAATCATTTAACTAGCATTAGTTCACACACACAAACCCATTTGTCTAATTCAAGTTGCTATGCCTCTCTCACGCTCACTCTGGTTGTGAGGCCGGGGGAGCGGTGCGCTTCACCTACTGCTGATGGGACAGGCAGGCCCAGTTCTCTCTCACAGAGCTGTGTCCTGGCATGCTTTTACTTAGAAATGCAGCTGCGTCGTCAGCCGATTTTAATGTTGTCTGTTTTCACTCAGCCACAGACTCGCTTGCCACTCTTTCTTTCTCAACGCAAGCCGGGCTTGCTACCGTGGTGACACGTCCGCTCTCCTAATGTTTTAACTCACCGCTCCACCAGAGTGTTTTTCCCGTTTACGTGCAGAGATGAGCCAAACCCCTCCTCAGTGTAACCAGGTCACTGGTACTGGAGCCCGGAGAGGCTTCAGTCCAAACGTATTTTTTCCTACTGGCTGATAGGAATTATAACAGACTCCAGCCATGTTTGCTTTCATAACTTCAATAACTTTGTGCTGATGACCCACTTGAACATAATCCTCTGTGTAGTGGATGCAACCATGTCATGGAATTAGCTTAACATGACAGATTTTTTTTTCTAGGGGGCATTTACAGAACAGCTGTTGTATAAGGATGAGGTGTTACATGTCACATTATTCTACTGGCAGATCAAAATGTCTGACCTTACTTTGTCTCGTTTCCTCAGTGTGGTGTGATTGAGTGCATCCCAGACTGTAAGTCAAGAGACCAGCTTGGGAGGCAGACTGACTTTGGGATGTATGATTACTTCCGAAACCAGTACGGAGATGAATCCACCCTCGCCTTCCAGAAGGTTACCCACTTGTGTTTTTTCTGCTCAGGATCATTTTGTGAAAGAATTCTTTAAAGCATTTAAATTTAAATGGCCTCATCACTGCCACATCTGTGAGCCCACAGGCACAAAGGGATATTAACACCATATTTTGTAACTTTTCCATAATTTGAAATCATTTTGAGCCAGTATGCACTAAAATTACCCTTAACAAGGTAATGAAATGTCACTCAGACCCCACCAGCCCTACTGCACTTGCAACTTCAGAGTGCCTGTTGAACGTAGTAAAGTGGAGCTAACATGCCTGGTGCTGCAGTCTGCTTCCAGCATGTTTCAGATCATGAACACAGCTAATTTGTTTGTTTTAGTGATGACACTAATGAAAGCTGGTGGGACGTTTCAGCTGTTAGATTAAGGTGTTAAAAACACGAATGCACAGCAAGGAGATGAGTTTCACTTTTGGTTTTACTAACTGGACACTAGGTGGTGCTAAAAGCAAACGAAGACTGCCTAGAATCCCTTTAAGATATGAACCAGTCCCAAACATCTCCTGACGTAAAGGTTTAAGGCTATTATTGTTTGGTACCAACTGACCCACACAGTTCCTGTTAGTTTCATCATTTCCCCCTAAAATAAACTCAGGTTTATTCCGTTTAGAAACTTTCTGAATACAAACATGTAACTCAAGACTAGACTTCATGCCATCTAATAGCTGCTGTTCTTTTTTTGTTTTCAGGCTCGGTACAACTTTATCCGCAGCATGGCCGCCTACAGCCTCCTGCTGTTCCTGCTGCAGATCAAAGACAGGCACAACGGCAACATCATGCTGGACAGCAAGGGACACCTCATCCACATTGGTGTGGTAGACTCTGTTCAGATTCACCTAGAACACTAGATTTCTGATTCAACCTGCTCCTGCTGAAGATGAGCCTCTGTGAGAAGGTTTTGTTTAATGGGGACTCTTTGGATTTACATCAGCTTTGCTGTCTCCAGATTTTGGCTTCATGTTTGAGAGCTCTCCTGGTGGAAACCTGGGCTGGGAGCCTGACATCAAGCTGACCGATGAGATGGTGATGATCATGGGAGGCAAAATGGAGGCTACGCCTTTTAAATGGTTCATGGAGATGTGTGTCAGAGGATATCTGGCTGTGAGGTGAGAAACAGCAGCGCACTGAAATGCTTCAAGTGTTTGGTGGGTAATGTTATCCCAGTTAGTGCCTTTGTAGAAGAAGGAACGGGTGAAGTGATGTGGATGTTAATTGTTGGTTTAATTTGATGTATTTGTTGTCTCTTTGTCTCATTAGACCTTACATGGATGCAGTGGTTTCTCTGGTGACCCTCATGCTGGACACAGGACTTCCGTGTTTCAGAGGACAAACCATAAAACTCCTTAAGTAAGATCAGCAAGGGGTGTGTGTGTGTGTGTGTGTGTGTGTGTGTGTGTGTGTGTGTGTGTGTGTGTGTGTGTGTGTGTGTGTGTGTGTGTGTGTGTGTGTGTGTGTGTGTGTGTGTGTGTGTGTGTGTGTGTGTGTGTGTGTGTGTGTCACACACTCATGAGCTGCAGCTTCATATCTGTCATGGCGGCTGTTTGTAAAAGACAAACTAATAAAGATTAGGACTTGGTGGAAGATTCAGAAAAGAGTGTGTAAATCTAAGACTGGAGTCTGACTGGGCTGCATCTGTTGGTGAACTTTCAGTTGAGGTCACACTGAATTGGTATGTATTTGTGACTATTTCCATATTTGTGGTCATGTAGGGCAAATCGTGTAACTGAATGGAAAATCCTGCAGTTCTACAACTGTTTCTTTCCTTTAAATTTGGCTACCAACGTTTTACCACATTTCTCACACTTTCTGACCCTCCAAAACCACACTCAGAAGGGTTCCAGATGTTTCAGAGATGTTTGTCATGCACGTGTTTTGAACATTTTAAATAGATTCCAGCAACACAACAGCAAACCTCTGACTTGCACGGGGAAATGGGCCTTTTCTTATTAATTTACCTTTTTTTTTATTGCACATAATTTCTTGGGTGTGAAACCCCCAAGAGAACCTAAATAAATACATTTTTAAAAAATCCTATATTTATTTTTTGATCATCCAGATCCTCATGTTACTCATTATGATGGCCTCTCAGCCCTTATGCTTGTCGGGGCTGTGAATCAGATCAGATCATGACACTCTTTATTAATATAATTAATTCTAAATCTTCTGATGAGCAAGTTTACAGCATGTTCTAATTCTGTACGTCTTGTGCGATGTGTTATAGATGAGGACCTTTGCAGAGAACCTAATTTAAGGGGGTTAAGGGTTTTCTTAAAATCTTTCTTTGATGTCTCCTCAGAGGGCGCTTTAATCCGCAGATGAGTGAGAAAGAAGCAGCAGCATTTATGATCAAAGTCATCCAGAGCTGTTTCCTCAGCAGCAGGTGAGACAAAGTCTCGGTTCTGCCTTCAGTTAGGAACTACTTTTTCCTCCTGCAGTTGGAGCACCAACAGAAAGATTCATCTTTGCTAGTTTTCTAAACCTTACATGTTTTGGTTTGTTTTTTAATTTTTACCTATTTCTTTTGTCAGTAATTTTTTTCCAGTAACATTAAACATAAAAAATGCCACAAAAACTAAGGATTATATTAAAACAAATTACCGAAAACAATTCAGGTCTTACATTAAAAACATTAAAAAGTATATTTTAACAGGCTGCTGTCATTGCAGAAATTTCACAGCAGGTCAAATCAACTCCTGCTGACCAGAAATGGGAACTTTTGGAATTTTTAAAGAGCAAGTTCACTGAGAAACCATTTTTTACTTATTATTTTTTAAAATACGATTGGTCACTCTGAGTTTCACAAGCATGCTGAACGTGAAAATACTCTTCTAGTCCTATTTCCTGCATTAGCCACTAATAGGAAATGAACGGGGAAATACTCAGATCAGACAAGCCAGTCAGCTCTACATCACACTGCAAATTAACATTCATGGACTCACCCATCTTGACTCTTGACAGGAAAGGCTGTTGTTGGTTTACTGTCCAGGAAGCAGTAGAGAACGTCTCGGCTAGTAGAACCTAACCATTAGCATTAGCAACTCCACCACACAGCAGAACTCCTTCAGGCTTGTGGTATTTGTGGAGATAAAAATGTCAGTGTTGCGGAGCAAATAGTTAGTGGTAGAGTTGTGTTTCTGTTAGCCAATCAGGGGAGAGATGTCTGAATATCAGGAAATAAAACTCCAAATTTTGCAGTCTTCCACTCCTTACTCCTTTGACTAACTTCTACTTCCTGAAAAAGGAGCATAAAAGCTTTTTTCCCCATAGAGGTCAACTCACATGGCATTCATTTATACAAGAGACCCCCGCACAGTGTTCAGAAAGTTCATTTTTAAAACCAACTAGTTCAGTTTGTAGTTAGAAAAAATGTTTGAATTAAGTTCACCGTTCCATAAACAAACTAGTTCATAGTTTTATATATATGTGTGTGTGTATTTGTATATGTATATATATATATATATATGTATATATATAATGTATAATGTTTAATGTAGACATACTTTTTCACATTTGATTTATAAATAAATCTACACTCAAAAGTTTGATGTTGTATTTTGTACTTTCATTTACTTGTTTATGCTTTTATTTTAATATTTCCTCTTTTTGGTGGGACTTTCGGTTTAAAGTGCTTAGCCAGGTGTGTGTTTTAGGAAGTTAAACATGTGTTTTTTTTTTTTTTTATTGATATGTGTTCTGTTTTGTTCCTACAGGAGCAAAACCTACGACATGCTGCAGTATTACCAGAACCAGATTCCTTACTGAGGCTCCTGAGCCGGACCTCTGCTGTAAACCCAAAAGTGATCCAACCAAGGACCTGACCAGCTGTTTCTGCTCCTCAGAGCCGGGCAGCAACATGGCACTTCAATGTTGACTCTTCACACTAAAAGCTGTCTGATTTTATAACGTACACCTGTGTTTAAGACTTTTACCAAAATTGAGACCTGAGTCACCCTTTAACTACTTTCTTGATGTGTTTTTTTAAATCAGCAAACACTAAAGATTTCTATAGCAGAAGGTCATAAAGGGAACCACATTTACTGTTTGTCGTTGCTGCTGTTATCGTTGTGTTGCTGTGCTGTTAACCTCTCTGATGCACTTTACAGAACAGTTTTCCATCAGCTCTGCCTGCCTGCGGTTGAGTCGTTACACATTAGAGAAAAACAATCCGAGCTGCAGTATTTTAGATTTAGATGTAGTCAGATAAAAGTATCAGTCAGCATTTACTCCTAACAGTAGTCTTTAGAGATGTGTTTAGAGAACGAGTGGTGTTTTTTTTCCTGTAAAGTAGATTATTTACTGTATCCAGATGACAGCTAGCTGTTTTCTGTCATTTGTTTCTAGGTTTACACGTGAACATCGTGAAAATTTAAACCCATTTAACCTGTTACACAAATGCTTCTCTATTTTTAATGGAAGTGCTTGTATTACTTTTGTAGAATCGTATTTATTGCTGTACCAGTGCATTCAGAACGAGTCTGTTCTTTTTAGTTCAGGAGCAAACTGGAGCTCCCACTGTCAAAACACCACTGATGATTTATCCTGAGGGATAAAATGATAAGACGGACAAAAAGGCAATAACAAAAACATGGCTACCTGAACATGAAATGAAATGAACGGTTAAAAATGCTCACACGCCATCAGTAAACACTGAATAAGGTCACTGATAAAAACGCGTACTGTCTGAGCTTTAATTAGTCGTGCTTTACCGGTCATGATGGTGAAACTGTTTCCCTGAATGCAGCATTAATGTGGCTGGTTGGTGGAGAACGTTTAAATAATCACAAGTTATTGTGGGAACAGGCAGCAGGCTGGACTAAACGAACCTTTTATTTTTCCCTTTTCCTCTTTGTTATTTTTACCTCTTTTTTTTAATATTTCGTGTGTTTGGTTAATTTAAAGTGTTTGCAATTTTCTATTCTTTTTGTTATTTTCCATTTTAAATATTTCCTTTCCAAAAGTTTTATTCTGCATTAGATTTATTTTATCAACTCTTAACAGTTATGTGTATTTCTGCCCCCTCTGTTTCTGTAGGCATTGCTGTACCTGTGTTTGTTTCCTGTCCAGTGAGCTGTGTCAGAATGTTTGTAAACATTCCTCGTGTCATCATTAGTGTTGCATCCACCTGAACCTGTTGTATTCCTGATAACAAACATCAAGATGATGATTAAAACCTTATAAGCCATGTATCCTGCCCTTGGTAGAAACAGCTGTAGTAATACTTGACAACAGTAAAAAACTAAATTTATGCAATATAATCATTTATATTATCTGTATTGATGCTGTATTTGTGTGTTGTACTGAACAAGTTGTCTACATCCTAGCTGTTGTGTGTATGCTGAAGCTGACTTCCTGTTGCTGTGCACCGACAGCTCAGCCCGAAGTGTTACTGCAGGATCTTTAACGTAAGCGGCTGCCGCAGCTGCAATCAGAGCAATATTTTTATTGAGATGGATGTTCTTGTTGTCTGCTTTTATCTGTTAACGATATGTGGTCCACTGTGTGTTTGTTTTCATAAGGAACAGCTGAGATTTAGACCATCTGAGAGCGGACAATCAGTCTGATCCTCATTTTTAAAAGATCTTCAGAAAGATTGAATCAAAATGGAAGCCCGTGTGGACATTACACTGATGATGAGAACGTTATCACTAGTTTCACTCTTAGAATGTAGTATTGGATGTCCTTATAAAAACATTCATAAAGACATGAGTTTGTTTTTGCTCAGTTTTATTCCGACATTGCCTCGTGATGAAATCTCAATATTTCACGTTAAATATTTTCACCAGTCAGTGGCCATTTTTTTTCTTTTTTTTTTAATCAACGTTACCTGCTAATTTGCTTAATCTGAACCTCCTTTGTAAACCTAATTAGGAAAAGTTAGTGTGATAGCATCTGGCTAAATGTGAAAGCGCTCTGCCAAGAAGTTCACTGGTTAGTTCCATCGACATATATATATTGGACAGTGGGTTTCCATAGTCTCCAATAACACATTTTTGAAGATAAATGGGTGGTGGCCACCACCGCCATTTTGACCGTCTCTCAGGTTCCGTCAAGCCCAGACAATTCCACAAAAGGGAAGAGAGGTGGAGCTGAGGGTGGGGCTGTAAGGCTGGGATCAACTGACGACACCCGGTCGAACTAGCTACAAGCTAACGTGGAGGTTGGAGCTAAGCTAATGGAGGTAGCAACCTAGCTACACCCGGAGTTAACTGTGCACAACACCAGAGCTTCTGAGTCAGAGCTGCGCCGGGCTGACCGCTGGGTAAAACCGGGTGGAACACAGAGGTCTACGAGAGCTCCACAAGCCGGCAGCCGCACAGCAGACAAGCGCCGCTGTGATCTGAGATGCACAGAGCTGCCGCTGGGGAGAACCGGGTGGAAAGGTTTTCATCCCAGAGCTCCACAAGTCGGCAGCCCGCGCAGCAGTCAGGAGGCGCGATCAGACAGATGTGCTGAGCTGCGGGGAGGGGAGAACCACAAGCCGGCAGCAGACAGAAGCTGCGATCAGACAGAGATGCGCCGAGCTGCGGGGAGGGGAGAACCGGGTGGAAAACATCAGTCTCCCGAGAGCTCCACAAGCCGATAGTCGGAACCCAGCTCCACCTAACTTGTTATATTTCAACCCATTTTCTAAAGTGCAGCGTTATGTTAAATGCACTGGGTTTTACCCTATTACATTTAAATTTCATGGTTAAACAGTACATGTTAAAATCTAAGCTCAGCTCGGCAGTGACCTAAAATACATGAATATATTTTAACTTACCGAAAAAAAATGAAGTGGAGACTCCTTGGACACTCTATTAGTGCAATTAATACCACATCAAGTCATTTTGTCCAACAATTGCACAAATAATATCCAAAACAGAATACACAAACACAGAGACTCAAAGTCCCTAAACAGTTTTCAGGCCAGACCGAGGCTCTACTGAGGCCTTTCCACGGAGCTAGCTCTGTGGTCACGTGGGTCTGATGCTCATTAATTATACAGAATTTTAGGCTTTTAATACACTTAAACAGAAGAGTGAGAAAGAAAATCACCCCCCTCAGAGTTGTCATGAGTGTAAACTAGATAATTTAAACCAAAAACATGTTTTGGTACCAGGCTGTAAACATGTTTATTTCTGCTGTGAAATTGGCATTTTTAACATGGGAGTCAATGAGGATTTGCTCGCTTCTGACACCAGCCCACAGCGGATGAGGGTGGAACTGCAATTTTTGGTACTTCCGGGTTGGCCTCAATTTTTGAGCCGCATTGTGGGGGCCTGGTTAGTTCAGCAGTTCTAAAACAATTTCACTGTTTCATATTTTTTGTGAATTTTAGGTCACGTGTTTGGTATTGAACAAGTGTGATTCCCTCCGGTTACTATGGCATTACAAAAGTTTAGATTACAACCCTATTCACTCATGTTTACTCTTTTCATTATTGTAGCCCAGTACACAAGCCCATGTATCATTTTCGTCTGGTTTTTATTGTTGGGTGATTAGAATTTGTTAGATTCATATATTCAAGCTTAATTTTTTAAATATACGTTTATTAAAACAATAGCAATAAATGAAGAAAAAAAATAAGATTCAATCCTTCCAAGGTCAACATGCTCTTCATAAAACACACTTTGTAATTTATTACTGGTAGAAATGAATGCTGATGGCTACAAATTATTTTTGCATTGAATAGTTCCATTCTAAATAAAAACTGAGGACCAAAACAGTGTATCCAATGTGTACGGGGTGCCATTTGTAAAGTCAAACAGTCATAATCTAACAGCAATATTTTTGGTTATTTAGCATATCATAAGAGAAAAAATTGAGAGTTCACTTTTTCAAAGTCATATATATTTTCACCATGTTATTCATACATTTATAAATGTTAAAGTTTCCAAATAAATATTTAGTTAGCAAGCTAAATATTTAATTTGTAGTTAAATATTTTCTTTGCAAACTAAATATTTAGGTCTGATCTAAATATTTAGTTTGCAAAATAAATATTTAACTACAAATTAAATATTTAGCTTGCTAACTAAATATTTATTTGGAAACTTTAACATTTATAAATGTATGAATAACATGGTGAAAATATGATTTCGAAAAAGTGAACTCCCAAATGTTTCTCTTATGATATGCTAAATAACCAAAAATATTGCTGTTAGATTATGACTGTTTGACTTTACAAATGGCACCCCATAAATGTGGTTTGACAATTGTTTTAATTATTTCCATATTTGAACATTTAATCCCCCCCCCCCCCCCCCCCTTCTAAAGTGAAAATTACATCCATGTCTCCATATCTTTTTGCAATCTTATTAGAATGTTTTTGCTTGTGTGTCCTTACAGATCTGTTGTATTCTATTTTATGTTTTATAGCTTAGTTATGAACCTTATAGTCATTTTTGAGTTTCTACCACGTTGGGTAAAAAAAAACTTGGTAGTTTTTTGTGTCTCTTCTTGTCTGTTTGTGCTGCTACCTTTAACGACCAAAATCAGTATATTACGGCACTGTGTGATGGTAATCTTGACTGTAGCTCGGGACGCAGAATGATTTAGTTCATATTCGGACTGCACCTGTTACAGGTGGGTTTTTGAATTTGACTTTGTTTTCAGTCATGTAAATGACTCACAACCCTGAACAGCGGTTTAGAAGTGTTGCAGAAGTTTCCCAACGCAGGTAAACGACTCCTCCGCGCGGTGACGCCATGGGGATGGGCAGGTCACGTGGTATTGTCTGAGGGAAACCTGTAGTCTAATGTTACTGATATGGACGAGAGAGAGGAGAGAAGGAAGTGAAGCCGAAAAGGTAAGCAGCAGTCTCCTGTTTGCCTCTCCACGCGCGTTTCAACCCGATGGGCTAGAGGAATTTTAACGCGGACTCCTTTGTTGTGGGAGTAAAAGTTTAAAAGTCAGCAGTTTACGTGACGCAGCGTTTATTTGACTGCGCCAAGTCCGAGTGAAGTTTACTACGCCGCCGCGCCTTTATTACCGAATAAAACCGGTAAACAGATACATTTATACGGTAATGCCCACTATTACACACAAATGCACGTTAAAGCCGACGTAATAGGTTAAACAAAGCAAACGTAAACCCTAGGTCTGATTTTCCTGTCGTCGCCTCTACTCCCAGGTTTATCAGGCCTCAGTGACTGATTATTCTGGAAGCAGAAGTAGATGTTGGTCTTTATTCAGCCTTGTGTTATTATTACATGATTAAATCATCTCCCTTATTAAAGCTGAAGCGGCTCCGTTTGGTGATACACTTCTGTGTCCACTAACTAACTAATGCAGCTAACAGTCCTATGAGCCGCTATCCGAGTGTGTCTTGAGGAGAGCTGTTCCGTTAAATCACTTATTAATAAAAGAACAGTGTTTTCCTGTATATCTACTTGTGAATGTGAAGAAACATATATACTGTTTTACATTTGGCTTCTAAAATAAGCCGGGCTGATTTAGAAATTAAAAATCATCAGAACTGGCAGAAATATTTATTATTTATAAAATTTAAATTCAAAACTATCTGTTATGTTTGAGGGAAAAACTCGTTTTTAGTTTGGTTTTGATTATTTTTAAATTTTAACTTTACTCATACAAAAACATTATTTGTTTATTGTTTAATTTACATTGTTAATCAACTACTTAAGTTTTTTAAGAAGTGGTTTTCCCAAAATCCATTTCTTGGTACAGCGCCTTCTGTGTTCTGCTCAGTGATTTGTGATCAGATATTTGGTAATGGCTGTGAAGTCTGTAAAATGAATTGGGTCGATAATTTATTCCTTAATACATGTAAATAATATTGTTTACGCCATTACAACTCACATATGTTCTAAGCTAGCAGAAAACTATTTTGAGTTTGCCAATTTCTAAGCTTTTGGTGTAAATTTTGTTAAAACTCCAAACATTTGTACACAAGAGGAACTTATTTGGTGTCTGACTACATATCATGACAAAGTTGATTTATTTCAGTAAGTAAGTAAAAAATGTGAAACTTGTATGTTAGGTTCGTTAATAACACAGACTGTTTTAGAACACCATGCTTCCTGCTGCTGACCAACTTTATGGAGATCCAGATTTAATTTTCAGGACTTGGCACCTGCACAAAGTTCTACAGCTACCAGTACCTGGTTTAAGGACCATGGTACCCGTGTTGTTTATTGGCCAGCAAACTCGCCTGACCTTAATAGAAATTTATGGGATATTGTGAAGAGGAAGATACAATACTCCAGACCCAACAGTTCAGAAGAGCTGAAGGCCACCATCAGAGCAACATGGACTCTCATAACACCTGAGCAGTGACCCTCCCCCTTCGGTGCAGTCGACCTTTATTATTTGGGTTTAAGGGCCCAGTCATTTGCTCCGCCCCCCCGCCTGTCTTTATTTTGTTCGCCAGTGTACTGAGTGCTGTACATGCTCATAGTTTTCAGTTGGCCACCATTTCTAAAATTCCTTCTTTTTTTTTTTTTTTTTTTGCATTGGTCTTAATTGTTATTCTAATTTCCTGAGATACAGAATTTGGGATTTTCATTTATCAGTTATAATCCAGATTTATAGACATAACCATTTAAATTAGGGTTGGGACTCAATTAAAATGTATCTAATTATTTAGAGGCTTTGTAACTAATTAATTAGATTAATTGCATTTTAATCGTTCATGAACATTTGCCACCAAACTATTTTTTTAATTAAAAATAATGAGGCAGAGAATCAAATGTTAGACATGGATATTATTTATGTAAACCCAAGCTCTTTATTTCGGAAAAAGCAATGCTTTTTAATTATTCAAATGTTATTGTGTTATATGAAACAAAACCCCAATCAACTACATTTCATAATTGCAAATAGAAAATACCTGCAAAGGGTTCCTGAGCCTTTAAATGGTGTCTCAGTTAAGTTGAATTACTGAAATAAATGGACTTTTGCACCATATTAGTTTCACTTTTGTGTATAATTGGGTGTTTTAAATTAGCATTTCATTTACTCAATCTAGTAAAAGCATATATTATCTATCAACAAAAATCCTTATAAATGACACTAGAACAGGCACAAATCTGATGGAGGACTTAAATTTACTAACTTGGGTCAGACTCACACAAGGAGGTGTTGAAGCTGGTAGGAATTAATGATCAAATTAATGATTTGATGTCATTCCTCACATTGGAAGTCCTGCTCTCTCATCAATAAGGTTATAGCTGCAGACCTGCAGATTCACACCTGCAGCAGCGAATCTGCAGGTCTCCAGCTCCGCGACCTGATCACATCTTCCTTGCTCCTCGCTGGCCCTGCATGTAAACATTCGCTCCTTTAGCTCCGATCGCAAAACGCATAGACAGTCACTTGTATTGAAAATGTTTTGTAATCCTACAAAATTGTTTAGAAAACTATATATGTGTAATGAATGAATCTAATATACAAGCTTCACTTTCTAAATGGAACTACTGAAATAAATCAACTTTGTCATGATATTCTAATTTTAAGACCAGCACCTGTATCGTTGGTGCAGATGTAATGTTGCATTTTGTGTGTTCTCTGTTATGCAGAGCATCTGACAGTTGGAGTTTAGTAGAATGCTTCAGTACTGTATAAACATAGGAATAATGTTTTGCATAAACAATGGTGTCTGAGGGACTGACTTTGTTTTACTGTAGAAATCAGCTGCTGTTAATCACAACCTGCTGCAGCCAAGTTGTCAGGATTACCCACAAAACGTCTAGAGATAGTAAGTACACCAACATGCCCTCACACGGATTCATGTTGTCATTATAAACTTGCACACCAACCTCTCTTTAAACGGGGCTATCTGGGTTTTTTCTAATTCAACTCAACTGTTTATCAAGGTAATGCCATAAAATGCAAGTGATAAGATCTCACAAGTCAGTAAACAAGAGTCATAAAGTGTAGTTTCTAGGCTTTAGGCACTTCTATGGCAAATTGAAATCTTAGGGTGTTCATAATGGTATGTTTAAGTTCCATCAAAAAGAGCAGAAAGCCAAAATTGTTCAGTTCAATCTTTGGTTCTCATCCTCGTCGATGGTATATTGTCTCTCATACAAACAGTCACACACTGCTTGGCTCCGGTTCAGAATTCTGCCTCAAAGTTTTTGACAGGTCGTGAACCGTCTGTACCTCATGTTAATATTTTACTATTCGTCTTCCGTTTGCACAGCCTTTGACGAGATTACTGCAAACATCAGAGCAAACGAGGAAGAGGAGAAAGAATCTGGTTAAAATAATGTTTTCTAAAAGACGCAAGACCTTCTCTGACATTTTCGACTGCCTGATTGAAACACGCACACAGGTGGAAGATAGTAGAGACAAAATACGCACCAACCCACACCGAACAACTCAGTGGAAACAAGACTTTTGTTTTGTAATACCTCCATCACCTCTGACCACTCAGGCCTTCATAAATGGTTGATTTGTAGAATTACTGTATAAAAATGCTGTTTTTACTATTGTTGATAGAAAGATGATGTACCGTTGCAGCTTTATAACATGTTAGTTTCTCAGGGCATGATGTTCACCTCGTTTTATGTCCATGTCTCTGTTTCTGCAGGCTATTCTCCAACACACTGAGCTTTCATACAAGGTTTGCATTCTGACCTGCAAGCCAATGTAAGTCGTGTTGAGTGACTGCGTGTGAAAGGTATTCAAGCACAGTTCATACATCTTTTTAACTTCTCCAGATTGAGTCAAAGAATTTGGCTGATTGGTTGTCAAGAATGTGTTTTTGTGCTGTGTGCAGCAGGCAATGGTAAGTCGAGCAATTCTGGGGATGTTGCACAACAATTACAACGGCAGCGTGGAAATTGATTCTCTGTATTTGGTTGCAGCACAAAAATGCATTCTTGACTCGGCTTGCATGGGTACTATCTTCACTCACGATGGCTTTGGCTGAAGGGTGTTTCCTGAGGTGACAGTAGGAACTGATGGGGTTAGTTGTGTTGACAACTTCATAACTGCTTGTTTGTAATGAGATTAATTTTCCTCATGATTTCTTCTTCACATCTGTGATGGCTTCAGTGTGGTGATTGCCAGGGCTTGGACTGCTGGTTGGGAATAAATGGAATAGAGAAAAAATAATTAGCAAAACATAGTAGTTTAGGAGGTCTGCATGTGGTTAAGATGTTCCACAAAGTTTGTGAAAGCACTGGAAAAAAGAACCAAAATGACTTCAAAGATGAAGTTAATAACTAATGTAGATAACATGCTAAAGAGATTTTAAAATAGCCACGAGAAAAATAACCTGACAGACTTTAAATGTCCTCTGTTGTTCAGTAGTGCAGGATGTGTAAATGGGCACAGTAACAATGTGATGGAATAATACCAGGGACAGCTAGCCAACTAATTATAAATATTTGAAGGGTTGTCTCTAGTTTGAGTCCAGGCTGATTGTTTATTTCACTCTTTAAAAAAAATTAACAACTAAATCAAAATAAAACACAAACACTTGAATGAAAAGGAGCAGATGGAAGAAAATCTTGTATATAATCTGCCCCACTCACACCAGTAGTTAAATCAATAATAAATAGTAATAAAAGTGTTTCACTAATAAGTTGTAACTGAAAGACAGCTCCGGACCAACATGCCAATGATTTACAGATACTAATTTACTGTTTTTCTAACGTCATCTCTATAATTCATGTGAAACGGGAAGAAACAAATGACAAAAAAAATATCAAGATTAAATATATTTTTTTACATTATAATCTTATTTTAACAGTCTTTTTAACATTGTAATTTATTTTACTTCTTTCATTTCTGACTCCAGATTGTCCCATAAATCGACTCCGTACACAGAAACGCTTCGCTCCAACACTTTGGTCCTGATTCTTGGTTTAATAAATATTTCACATCCTTTTAAATGATACTTAGTCTTTTTTATTATGTTGTTTGGATATTTCTTGGTAAAGATTTCTTATGAGCTTTATAGATCCATTAGAAAAATACTGTGATCTACTAGATTGCCAAATTTTAATATTATTAGCTTAGCAAACGATGCACTGGTTGGAGCTTGGTAACCACTTAGACTAATGATTCGTGTTGCTCTTTCTGGAGTAGTGTATGTTTTATATGTAGTTCCACAGATTTCAGTGCAATATAATCGACATAAAGCATTTTTATTTAAAGACTCCTTTACTTTATGTAGTACAGCAAAAGGTTTTGCTGTTTATAATTTTATACCATAAATACGTGGCTTCCAGATAATATTTTCATTAATGACTCCATAAACTTAATTTCCCTCACTCTCTCAATAGTGCTGTATGTCGGCTCACAAAAGCTGCTTGGATATGTTTTTACTTTTTATCAAAGAGGTTGGAAAATAAAGAAATGTTTTTCCATTTTAAGTTATTTTCTTTTGTCTGAATCAGAAAATAACAATAAAAGTTAGTGATTCTTTATCATCATGTTTTTTATAACTCATAATTGGTTATCTTTCTTTCAAGCGTCTAGTGTGTTTTGTGGATCAGATGAAAAAGCACATCTAAAATTACAAACTCCACAACATAAACAACTAGTACTCATGCAAAAATGTTTTTAAATCAATAAAAAAGCTGAGGAAGCAAACCGACTACAAACGCACTCCGGCTGGAGTAATTATTTCTTATTTGTAGACATTTTGTGTTATTCGCTGCCTCTTCTGCATTTTATGACAGCTTATTCATCTGCTTATTTTTAAAAGTATCTGGAAATTATTATTTATTTTTAGTCATTTCCAGAAACTTTATGTCTTGACTTTACATTTTGATGCAGTTTAAAACGAGATCTCATCTGTTTGTGCTTTAGGGACCATCACCATCCTCATGTCCTATGGTGGAGGCTTTTACGGACGCACTGAGCGTGTCCGCCAGGCGCCGCAGTATGACCAGGTTACCGAAGACTTCTTACCTCCACCAGACCCCTACGACCTGCAATCCCTGAGAGAACATCTAGCAAAGAGCGCCGACCCACTTCCTCCTCCGCCTTTGCCAGACCAGCCCCCCGTCGGCCCTGAATTAGATCCCAGCGGCAGCGAGGAAAACGCAGACCCTGAACAAGACCCTGCCATTGACATCAAACCAGTCCATCGCTTTATCCCTGACTCCTGGAAGGACTTCTTCAGAGGGAGCAACCGCAGCAGCAAGAAGGCGTGGTCTATGCCTGCATCCTCAAACAACAACAACAACAGCACCTCTGAGGGGGTACGCTGTTCCCCCCCGCATTCTCCCTCTCTTCCTGGATCTTACCGGGACCCCTATGGTGGCCCAGGCAGCAGCTACAACTCACACAAGGAGCTTCTGGAAGGACAGGACGTCCATGAGTCGGTGTCTGGGCGCACACACCACACAGGTCTAACATACAGCGAGAGGGTGGAGGAGTACCACCAGCGCTATGCCTACATGAAGTCGTGGGCTGGCCTGCTGAGGATTCTGGGCTGTGTGGAGCTGCTGCTTGGAGCAGCTGTATTCGCCTGTGTCTGCGCTTACATCCACAAGGACAATGAGTGGTACAACATGTTTGGGTACTCGTCTCCTGGAGGAGCATATGGATCAGGTATGTATGGCTCAGGATTAGGTGGGACTTACTACACTGGTCCCAAGACCCCGTTTGTGCTGGTGGTGGCGGGGCTGGCGTGGTTGGGGACTGTGATTCTACTGGTGCTGGGGATGACCATGTACTACCGTACCATCCTGCTGGACTCCAACTGGTGGCCCCTGACAGAGTTCATCATAAACCTGGCTCTGGCTGTGCTGTACATGGCAGCAGGTATGCAATCCCACCCTTCAGAATTTATCTTTAATCATTTTAATTTTATTTAATCTAAAGTTGTGAGCCAGGGTCGGTAATTGTTCAGTCTAATAAATTCTTCAACATACGTCTGTTATTAAAAAAACATATTTAGTCTTAAATTCTTACAAAACATTTTCGTTGGAATTTTTTCATTTAGTTTGACACTTTTATAATTTTCAGCTTGCAGGTCACTCATTGTAGATAACGTGCAACAGTCCAAGAGTATAGATTACACTTTTCATTGATATTTTTTATTCTTCCTTGTCTTCTTCATAGAATAACTCGATTTGCTATTGTTTAAATGAATAAATGAATGAATAAATGAATGGGCTGCATGGTGGCGCAGTGGTTAGCACTGTTGCCTCGCAGCACGAAGGTCGCAGGTTCAAAACTCGCCTTTCTGCGTGGAGTTGCGTGTTCTCCCCATGCATGTGTGGGTTTCCTCCGGGTACTCCGGTTTCCCCCACACATCACAACATGCCCTATAGGTTATAAAAAGAAAAAAAAACCTTGTACGTCGCTTTGGATAAAAGCGTCTGCGAAATGAATAAACATAAACATAAATGTATTTGAATTTATAAAAGTTGGACCAATTTTTGTTTCTATATCATGCTCAAGGTTTGCAAAGACATTTAAAACTTTGAATTTGAATATAACGAAGATAAATCTTTGAAGGAATTCAAACACCCAGCTGTCATCAGCTTAATAATAAGCTTAGCTTCTTTGTCACAGACAGTTTAGTCAGACTGTAAAGTCAAACCTTCTGCACATGCAGGTCACCTCAGGGCCACAGACTGTTCACATGTAGTCTGATGGTGGTCACATTTAAATTATGATGTTAACCATCACTAAAAATAGGTGATCTTAGGAAATAGCCTAATGCTGTTTGCTAAATGCAGTTTTGGTTAAATCTTTAAACAGGCCTCAAGCGTGATGGTATGCAAAATTGCAAGACCTTGCAAAATCACTTATCACCCATACTAAGTTGTCTGTTGCTTTAAGCTCTGACCACATCCAGTTTTACTTCATTGTCTAGTTAAAGCCACTTTATTTGGACCACTCTTGAGTCGGGTTGGCTCCAAAAGTTAATCAGCTGTAGAAATACATCTGATCATTACATTAATGTTTCAATGTGACAAAAACTTTGCAATTGGGAATTTTATTCTGCTCAAACAGCAGATACATGCCATAAAGTATTCCCAGGCTGCATATCTGGATGACAGTAAATCTGTTTAAGTTTAGATGAACTTTTTAAACAAATAAAAACGCGGATATGCCTTCTCTTCTGCAGCTATCGTCTATGTCCAAGACACCACCCGTGGGGGGCTCTGTTTTTATCCCGTCTTCAATAACGGCATCAATGGGTTGTTCTGCAGAACAGAAGCTGGTCAGACTGCTGCCATAATCTTTCTGTTCGTCACTATGGTGGTGTATCTGATCGGAGCTATTGTATGTCTCAAGCTGTGGAGACACGAAGCAGCGCGGCGGTATCGTGAACGGTACGGTCTGGAGGTGAGAGCTCAGCTATGTGTTTTTATTTTTGTCCCGTTTGCTGGGTTTGGTCCCAGGTTTCCTCTCCAGTTATCCTATGTCTAGAAGATTATTCCAGTAGGATCAGTACAGTTGTTATGAAAGATCTAAGCACGTACTTTGCACAGGGGTGGAGTCTGAATCTTTGTCCAAAATCTAAGTACCGTATTTTCTGGAGTATAAGTCGCTCCGGAGTATAAGTTGCACCAGCCATAAAATGTATAATGAAGAAGAAAAAAACATATATGTCGCATTTTGGGGGGAAAATTTATTATTTTTCTTACAAAATCTGAGACCAAGCGTTTCACATTGCAAGACAAGTACCGGTAACAATAACAGAATAAACAACCAGCTGTTGCATCAGCGGTATGCGCAGCAGCGCTCCACAGTCTCCAGCAGAGGATGGCGGTGTTTCAAACCCTCCCAGCGGGTGGGGAGAGCTCATTCCTGGGCCGGAGCCGGCCCGCAGCAGCGCGGTATACATAATTTGGTATATAAGTCGCAGGACGAGCCAGACTATGAAAAAAAGTGCAACTTATAGTCCGGAATATATGGTAGTGTTTTACTAGGGATGCACCGTAATGAAAATTCTTGGCCGAAAACTGAAAATGATAAAACCGAGGCCGAAAAACGAAACACCAAAATTAATTATTATGTCTATAATTAGAACCATAGCATTTATGGCTTCCATTAGTGGTACGACAAATCAAAAATCTCACAGACGGATCATATCATGGATCAGATAATTTTTTGGATCAGCAAAAATAAAAGAAAAAACAAATAGCTCTGCTCTCTCCCTTTATTTGTAAAACACATGGTGCAACATTTTCTGCTCAACTTGTAACTTGTTATAAAAGCAGGAGTTGCAGAGAGGTCCCATTGCTTATTAAATATTAGAATGGCTTGCCCTATAACGCACGCTCTCCCTTTGTGTTCAGCTTTCACTCATCTCCTCACCTTTCTGATGCACTGTTTATTTTTCTTTAATCCTCTTTAACAGATTTGTCCCCAAAAACATTTACAGGTCCCGTTTCACGCACCACCTCCTTTCACAGAGATCGGAGTTATGTGTGTACGGCGCTGCGCCGTCGGACTGGAGGCGCGTGTTAATTTTTGCCGTTTGTAACATCGTTATATTTTACAGGGAAGCCAAGATGCTCCCATACATGCGACTAAAACGACAAAGTTTTTTGAGCTCCTCTTCTCTTCCATGACCACCGCTGTGCGTTTCTTCTTTGGATTGAACAGGTAGTACCTCCATCCTCCACGTGATCGATCCGCGAACCACGTGCGTGCCAAACCGTAGAGAGTGATCCAAATGGATCACGGATCATTGATGAATGAATGTATGATTTCTATGAAGCACAGAGCAAGTAGCCACATGAGGGCGAAGCATGATGAAGCAAAAAGGGGATCACCTGACGGCCTACGTCGGCTGTGTTGTTTGGTGATTTAGGTTTTTCGATCAACAATGCACTTTTGGGTCAGTTTCGGTCGAAATTTTTCAGTGGCCAAATTTCCGCTGCATCCCTTGTTTTTACAGCCTTCTGAGTATTTTTAACATCTTAATGCTTAGATTTCTAAAAAAAACTAAACAAAAAAAATTAAATGTAAAGTGTGCTTGAGTGTAAACCTGTTTATTTGTGGAGATTTTTTTTGCATTTAAAGATACTGTATTTGTGCTTGCCCTTAAAAGAATAGAGGACCAGTTTGTTTCTTTATATCTTTTTTCTGCCCTTTGATGGTCTGGTGACCTGTCTAGGGTGTCAACCCGCCCTCCGCCATATGACTGCTGGAGATGGTCACCCTCCCTGTGACCACAGTGAGGATAAAGTGGTTCACATATGATGAATGGATGAATATCTTACTCTTTCATCATCTTTGATGTGTCCCAATTCAAACTTTAAACAAGTGAAAGAAAATGGCATCATAACAAATCCAGGCAGTGCCTGGATAAATTTTACTCTTTTTGTTAAATTACTGTTTGAAAAAAGTCAATTTTGGCCAGTTTCAGATTCTCACATGGCAGCAGCAGTTGCAACTTTACGTTCTAAAGCGTCAGCAGCAGTTTGTTTTACATCATAGTGTTGAATTTCATCATGTTTCCTATGTTAAACGCTATTTTGGCATGAATTGTGGATTTAAGACAACAGATGTTTTTATTTGTTTGATTTTACAGTGACAGCTAAAACAATCTTGCTTTTATTCATAAAGGTGCAGCCCTCTGAGATGCGAGCTGTGCAGTCATTGGTGAGTTCTCTGTGAGAAACTGAAACCCATGTTTTGACTTTTCATAACTTTGTTTGATCCAAAATTTCCCAATCTCATCAGATGGTCCCTGATTCTGCTTCAGCTCTCAAGAATCCAGAGCAGGTTCACGGTTCCTCTGTCATTCCCATCCAAGCTCCAACAAAAGCAGTTCCTGCAAAGTTTGTGCAGGGAGCGATACCATCAGGATACATCCCTAAGCCCGTCATTGTGCCTGATTACCTTGCGTAAGTACTGCCGAACATACAAAAGAAAAGACAAGGGGTAAAGGTAGTATTAAGGACTTCCTTTTTTATTCAGGTCTATCAGTTGTTACTGTTGCCCTTCCTCCTCATCGTGGAGCTGGCACGTTCCTGAGCAGGAAACTAATTACGTCTGGGCTTTTTAGAGAAATTCACCCTGATCGAGGATCAGTATATTTGATTACCAACAGTTTATGTAAAAACGTCTTTCACAAAAAAATGTTTGGCTCACACAGAATAGAACTAAATAAATTATATTTCACCATTTAATAATTCTGAATTAACTCTACAATTAAACGTTTTATGTTTGGAATTCTTCGCAAAAAGTTCTCATACGTACTCTTTTTCCAGAAAGCTAAGAAAATGTGAAATTCTGACTTAAAAACAAAGTTGCTCATTCAAAGTTTTTATTGCAGCCACTCTCAAATCCCCATAACTTAATGACCTGTTGTATTAAAATCTGGTTTAACTTTATCTGAGTGTCTGTTTTGTGGAAACCGATACTGTCACACCATCTTAATCCAGGGCTCTAGACTTACATTTTTTACTGGTTGCACTGGTAAGTCAAATTTTTTTTCTTCAGTGCACCAACATAAAAGTTAGGTTCACTCAATTGTTCCTCTATTGAATTTCGACTTATGAATGATTATCTCATCTGATGATTTTTGCTGCATCTGAAAAGCAGTGGAGAGAGGTCATTTATTTTAACACGTGTTTTATACATACCTTGTGCAGACGTTTCCTGCTTTTAATATCAACGAGCCCCGACTCAGAGCTGCTTGTAAGTGATTTATTATCTGATACATTCTTTACAAGACGAAGACAACATGGTTTTTTTATTTATAAATTACAGTTGAAAAGAAAACATTTAGGCGGTAAAAAAGAAAAGAAATAATTAACAAAACTGCTAAACTTTTTCCCAAAACCTATGTGTGAAATTTTTCAAAAGAGGTGCAATGTACCGTAAATCCTCTAATACAGGCCCGGGCCTGTATTTGACTCAAGCTCATCAAGCTCCAGGCCTTTATTGGAAGGAGGACCAGAATTAGAGGCAGGCCTCTATTTCTATTTGAGCAAAATGAACTAATGGTTCGCTGGAGTTTTTGACAATTAAAATTGCGCCCACATTTTCAAAGTTAAACACATTTCTTTTAACAACGATAGTTTCTGCTTCAGCCATCTCCCCCCTCCCCCTGCGCAGCGGCTGCAAACTCACTGATGCGCCTGCAGCCTCTCGGAGTTCCTGCTGCTCTTAACATTAAAATAATTATTTCATTTTCTGTTCCTCACTTCTGATGACCTTCAATGGTTGTTTGTTGCAACCACCAGGTACAAAAACTAACTTGTTTTTATTTGACTATTTTTCTGTCCTGCCTGTTTATTATCTTCCTGCATCTCCTCTCAATCCTAAAGAAAAACTGCTACCTGGGTTCATATATATTGACCTTATGAGTTACCTTTGAACTGCAGTTCTAAAAGATCTACCGACCGCAAAAACAGTGGAGCGCTCCCTGCTTGGCGGCCGTATCATACAGTCCGAGCAATAAATGCGGAAGTTAGATCCAAACACCCGTTGTGTGGGAGAAGCATCGAAATGAACTGTTTAATCTGCCCATCATTTGTGTTGAGAGATCAGCAGTGTTTGGATCAACAAAGGGCGACTACTTTGACAGTAGAAACTGTATTTATGGCTTATTTTTGTGCATTTAAAGTTCAGCCGCCATTGATAGTTGTTAAAAGTTGTTAAACCTGTGCATATGAAACAAAAAACGCCTTTTGTTTATCGATTTATTGTGAAAAAAGGAAGTTGTGCTTGCTCTTTTTCCTGTTGGGCCGTTGTGATTTCTGTCCATTGACTGCGGAGGTGCTCCGGCGAAAATAGGATCGATTCTGTTTTTGCCGGACGCCGGAACAGAGGGCGGCGCACGGCGCCGCACTGCCGGAGCACGGCCGCAGTAGTAGAATTGCTCTGATTGACTACAACGGGACCGATTTTGCTCCGGCGTTTATGTCGGAGCGGAGCGGAGGTAGTGGAATTTGCGTCGGAGGACAAGGTGATGCGCGCAGCGCCCCGCTCCACAGCATGCAGCAAAACGCATCAGGCGCAAATAAAAGACAGAAAACATTAAAGGAAATGAACTGACATGAACGATCGTGTGTTAAATTAGTTTTTGAGGTGGCGACACCTGATTGTGGCCGTGCTCAGGAGGCAGATCTACCGACCGCGAAAACAGCGGAGCTCTCCCTGCTTGGCGGCCGCATCAGTGATCTGTGAGTCGGAGGACAAGGTGATGTGCCCTGCTCCACAGCAGCGAAACACATCAGGCGCAAATAAAAGACCGAAAACATTAAAGGAAATGAACCGACATGAACGATCGCGTGTCGGTACCTATGCTCTGACACAGCGCGTTGCCCCCCTGAGCGCAGGAGCTTGTCACCTGCTGACAGCAGGCTGCTGTCTTTTCCGAGGGCTGCATCTTGCCGGTCATTATCACGTGACAGCGACTAGTCGACGACAGGCATAAAAAGTGAAGTATAGTGAAGTCGACTAGTTCATACAACCCCTACTGCTGCTCTCCAGAGTGTTCTGCAGCATAATCAGCACGTTCTCTTTGAACTTGATAGTGTAATGACCTGGCTGGGGTTGTAAGCCAGGTGCATTCTGGGTATTGTGTTATATGTGTTTCCTATCGTTCTGCTAGTTCCTATGTGCTGATTTGCGTGTTGTGTGAGTGTTATGTAAGCCACAGGGAAGGTGATGTGTGTTCTGTGGAGCGGGTTGAATTAGCATGGTTAACTGACACCGTGACTCTGTGTGGTAGGAGCGTGATAGAGGATCGTGTCTGTAGCGTTACAAAGCGTTAAAGAAAGAGCCTAATAAAGGTCTGTGTAAACCGCTACTGCATCCTGCTGATTGATTTGGGGACTATAACCCTGCCGCTGAGACGCTCGTATTTACTTGTTACTACATTCCACCCGGCCACAATAAGAGACCGGCCATTATTCACCTCCGCTGACTCCGACACCAGCCAAAATTGGAGACCCGGCCTTTAATTGAATACCGGCCTGTATTAGAGGATTTACGGTATTTCAGCTAAGTTGATTTGTGTGGGACGTCATTGACAGGCGCAATATCCCAAAGTCTGGCAGCCCGAGAAGATCTGGTACCTACACCGGTTGGCTCAGGATTTAACTTAAAAAAGAAAAAGTTGCAAATCATTATTTTCATTTTCTCCTCATCCACACTACTTCCCCCCGTTTACCTACTAGGGATGTAAGAAAATATCAATATGGCAATATATCGAGGTCATTCTTTCCTGCGATATTAAATCGATATTCAAAAGCTGCGTATCAAATTTTTGGAAGAATTTACATGCAAACATTTGTGTATTTTCTTTTCTTTTGGTGCAATTCAAACACTGACTGCTAGTAAGCAGCAGTGTGCAGTGGCTTTTGTTTCCACCACTGAATTGTAAATCCCTCTATGTGGTTTAGATACCTCATGTTAAACATGCCATGTATCAGTTTGAACTGTTTATTGAATTTTCCGGCAATAAATTCAGTCTAAAATAATCTCTAAAATCGTCTGATTGTATCGCAATATATGACGTGATATGTCGTATTGTCTCCCCTGTGTCGTGATGCGTATCGTATCGCCAACATTGCACCAGTATGCATCCCTACTTGAAAGTAAAGTAAGTGGGTTTGCATTCTGTAACCCTTCAGTCAAGATGCTGTTAATTCCTCAGAGGTGCAGTTATGGTCCTTCAAAATCCTTTCAGTTGTCTGCCCAGTTATTTGTCCGGCACATTTACCAACATCAAATAAGTCATCAACAATTTCTTGAAAATCTGATTGTGATACATGAAGGACTGCCTGCAAGCGAAGTAAGAGATTACCGTGTAGCCTAGCACACAAACGTAAACGAAGTGAAACCTTGAATCACTTTTTAATGTTGATAAATGGTATCCGTGTGTCCCTTGTACAGGAAGTACCCAGCAATCCGTTCTGATGAAGAGCGAGACCAGTACAGAGCTGTGTTTAATGACCAGTACGCAGAGTACAAAGAGCTCCACTCTGATGTGCAGGCCACCCTAAAGAAGTTTGATGAGATGGACGCCATGATGCGTGGTCTACCTCAGCACCCCAGCACCCAAATGGTGACTTATCCAACACATTCTTCACACCTCTCTGAATTATACATACTCATGTTCATTTTCGGACATCATACCTGTGCCTCCTTTCCCTTTACAACCTAAATGTTCTATTACTTCTGCCAGAATTAATGACTTTAAAGTTGCGGTTTACCAGAACTGCTTTTGTTACCTCCAATGTTTTTAGTTCTTGACTTGTTAGAGGCAGTTCCTCTTTGTGTTTTTTGTTGATAGTGTTGCTTGCACTCATTAAAGGGCCTGAAATAAGCAGTAGTTTTTAGTGTTGTTGATGAGAAGCACTATTATTTAACCTACAATAAAATACAACTTGGTTTAGGAGTTCTGAATTATATGGATGAGTGGGCTTTGTGATCAAAATCTATTTTGATCCTCTGATTTGGTATGAAGTTACAATATCCCCATAATTCTTTATTTTTATGAGGCAGTTCCATTTTAGCCACAGAAGAGAACCTCTGTTCCTGTTGGGCTCCCAGCCGCAGTGTAGTAGTGAGCAGCTCAGAAAGGTCACCACTGGAATAAGCATGAGTTATTGTTTAATTTCCCACTGATGCTATTAATGTTCTGATCACTGAATTGTGTTTAGCCGGAGCTTCGTCTGGCTTCTCTGTGAATGTATCCTCAGCACTGTAGTGTCTGTTTCTCCACTGAGTTCAGGTCAGGTGTCCGCCGTGTCCCACTGAACTGTTAATGAAACCGGTAGTTTTGTTTTCTGACGTGGTGAAACCGCATGCTGAAAGGAGCCTTTAGAGTTTGTCAGCTGACCAGTAAGGGATGCAGACAGCCGACACGGTTCAAACAGGATCATATATTCAAACTGTGGTGTTGATTCTCAGAAAATTCAGGCAAATGAGATTACAGATGTTACATAATAGTGAAATGTTTCAGACCAATACACAAACACACACCAGGCAGATATTGAACTCTGCTGCAGCTGTGTGTAAATCTGACCTCTGCTCCAGTATCGGTGTGGCAGTGTTTGAGTGGTGTGTGTTGTTTAGCAATAATATCCCATCCGGGTTTGGATTTGTTTAAATGTGTCTCGTTACTCCTGTCTGAAACTTCCTGTTTAAACTTCCTCTATCCACTCCACTGCCTCTCCACCCTCACATTCCTTATCTGCTCCATTCAGAGCACCTGATTTTCATATAGACTCTCATGAAGTCACCTGAGTTAAGTACCTCTCTCTTTGTATTTAGGAGGTGGAACGCATCAACAAAATCCTGCAGGACTACCAGAAGAAGAAAAATGTGAGCTTATTGTCTTGTATAGAAACACATTTGTTTACTGGTGTCACATCCTGTCCCAGAGTAGGTTCTTACTGTAGTATTTGGCTTGTACTTTGTCTGTCAGAAGAATCATCCACACAGGCCTTAGGCACAGAAATATAATAGGACCTTTGTTTTTGTGGAGAAAAACTCCGTGTTAAACCCGATAAAACAAATGGAAGTAGGAACAACAGCAGCTTCTCTACAAAGCCACACATTTACTGTAATGACATTCTCAGATCTATACTTAGATACTGAGCTGTAAAAATTATATAACTATCTACCTATGTACTTTTTACCCATATACAGAGACAGATGGCCGTTCCCCTTCCTGTTTACAGGCACTGCCATGTTGTATTTTTGCAACCAGAGTCTAAATACTCAGAATGTGATGCTGAAGGCTCACCCACTCCCCCACACACACGCATGGTGTTTTAAAGTATGATAAATACCCGCACTTGTACAGCACCTTTCAGAGCCAGAGGACTCAAAAGTGCTTTACACTACAGTGTATTATTCATCCATTCACACACACATTCACACACTGGTGGTGATGAGCTACAATGTAGCCACAGCTGACCTGCACCACCAGTTCCTCCAACCACCACCAGTGTGCGTTAATTAAAACTATATAAACTTCATGTTTGAACACGTGACAGCAGGGTAAGAACTACATGAATCAACAAGAATGGTCATCTGCAGAGAACTGGTCTCTAACGTATATTATTTTTTAGTCACCAAGTTAACTTGTTTAGTTAGAGGGGGTGGGGCCTACATCTTGTACTTCTGTCATTAGTTTAGGTTTCAGCTTTAATGTTATGTTTCTGTGTCTGGTTATTGTGGTGGTGATGCTTGGTACCAATTTGTCAACTCCCAATTTGATCATCGGTTCACTCAGCCGATCTGCAGGACTGTTAGGACTTCTGTCTACACATTACTAGATGAAGCTGTGAAAATATGATGCTGTTTGGTTTTCCAATGGCTGTCTTTATCATCCTGACATTATCATTTGAACTTGACAATTACGTTTGAAGAAGACCCCTGGACGGCGGCGCAGTGGTTAGAGCTGTTGCCTTGCAGCAAGAAGGTCCTGGGTTCGCTTCCCAGCCTGGGATATTTCTGCATGGAGTCTGCATGTTCTCCCTGTGCATGCGTGGGTTCTCTCCGGGTACTCCGGCTTCCTCCCACAGTCCAGAAACATGACTGTTAGGTTAATTGGTCTGTCTAAATTGTCCTAAAGGTTGGTTTATGCTTGACGCGTCCGCGAGGTCCGCACGGCTCCGTGCGGAAAAGTTGCGTCATTTTAACAACCACGCCCCTCCACCGCGTCTCCGCACGGCCCAAGATTTCCGCAACGCGCACCTCGGAAAATTTCTAACCACGCGGACGGTCGGACGCGGAAAAACATGGCGGACCGGCACGGCAGAGGTTCGTAAATACAGACATTTGTATGATTCAGCTCTCAGAGATCACCGTGATCAACATGTTGTTGATCATTCTGGGAGAGAAATAGTTCGCACTGTCGGAAAAGACGAGAACGCTGTTAAAAATGCTGAAATGCCATGTTGTAAACAGTGATTTCTACTTCTACTATGGTGTAGTGTTGGATGCATGCTGTAGAGCTCCATGCTGCCCCGTTCAGTTTGGGAGAATATTGGCTCACCGCAGAGACGAGCCGCACAAACCATAAACGCTGCGAGTTGTGAAGCGCGTTCCAGCCGCGAGCCGCATCACTGCGCGGAAAGTGAATGCGTCAAGCATAAACCAAGCTTTAGGTGTGTGTGTGTGTGTGTGTGTGTGTGTGTGTGTGTGTGTGTGTGTGTGTGTGTGTGTGTGTGTGTGTGTGTGTGTGTGTGTGTGTGTGTGTGTGTGTGTGTGTGTGTGTGTGTGTGTGTGTGTGTGTGCGTGCGTGCGTGCGTTGCGTTGCGTGCGTTGCGTGCGTGCGTGTGTTGCCCTGCGATGGACTGGCTCTCTGTCCAGGGTGTACCCCGCCTGATTGCCCATTTACCACTGGAGATAGGCACTAGCCCCCCCCCGCCACCCCACATGGACAAAGTGGGTTCAGACAATGGATGGATCGATGGAAGATCCCTGGACAAATGCACATGATGAATCATTTAATAATAACCATAATCCAAACATTAAAATCAAAAACACTGGTTCTCATAGGTAAGATGAAAAATAAGACTTGTAGATAGATGCAGAAGCAGTAACTCTTTTGGTTTCACCACCTTAGGACCCAACATTTCTGGAGAAGAAGGAGCGCTGTGAGTACCTGAAGAGCAAACTGTCACACATAAAGCAGAGGATACAGGAATATGATAAGGTCATGGAGTGGAATGATGGATACAGCTAGACCCAGAAGTGAAGCTGCACTAGTAGAAGAAAACAATGTTAATGTGGCTGCTGAAGCCCAGTCCAAACTAAAAAGGAGAATCTTCCTGCTGCCGAGTTTGTTTTGTATGTGTACAGCACTCTTCTGTGTGAATTCTGTCAGACTGTTTCTGTTTCCACGTTTTTAAAGCTCACAGGTGGAACAGACACAAGTACTTGTACTGTGTTGCTTCATATATTTATATCTGGTTAATTTAGTTTAGCAAACTGACAGGAAGTGGTCATCGTGGATCTGACAGTAACAATATCCCAAATCATCGGTCTTCAGAGCTTTCTGTCACCCCAAAGTTATCATCACCTCTAACTTGTTTATTTAGTATTTCCAGTTTTGCTGTGCTGTTATGCAAACACCATTAACTTTATATTATCTCGTTATACCTGCTGTTGATCAGGTGTTGGTCACCTAAAACAAACGTAGAACAATTAAGATGTAGAAATTTGGGATGCACCGATCAGGTTTTTTGCTGCCGATCACCGATACCAATATCAAAGAATGCTGATCACCGATACCGATCACGTGGATTGGCCAGAAATTTTCTACAACATTATAATGAGTGCTACAAACTACATAATCTAGAAATAAAGGAAATGTAACCTAATCTAAAATGGTCTGTATTAGGGTTGTCACGGTGAGAAAATTGAACCTCACGGTTATTGTGACCAAAATTACCACAGTTTTCGGTATTATCGTGGTATTTTTTTAAACGTGCTACATTTTCACACGATTAAATAAACCCTGTATGTCAGGAAATATTGTCCTCAGTTTGTGTCTAAATTTTGCCTAAAATGTGTTATTTTGTAATTATGTTGTTTATTTGTTTACATTTTTCCCCTTTAGTCTTTAAATTACCAATATTTGCCCATAACTTCTTATTTTATGTCTGTTTGATGTCATCGTTTTAAAAATATCAGATGTTACTAAGTACTCAAGTAGCCTTCTAATCAGATACTTTTTTACCCTTACTTGAGTAATAAACCCTATATCAGGAAAATATTTTCCTCGGTTTGTGTCCTTCCAGTGAGCTTTGCAGATGTGGGAAAATGTCATCAGGCAGTAATAATTGTTAAATTCATAATTATTCTCGGAGAGAGACCAACTCATATCTGCCCCTGGGAGCCCCGTAACGCATAGCGTAATTTCAACATGGGGGTGTCCGTGACACGGTTTATATGCAGGTAGCGGCGCTGCGGCTGCTTTATATAGCGACTCATTGCATTCTCCCTCAACCCAAATCCTCGGATCACGCATTTTAGCTAAAACGCTAACGTTAGCTTGCCTTGCGTTGACTGTAGAGTTGTGGGCGATGGTCACGCAGATGTGTCATGAGATTTGAAGCGTTGCTGCCTTTCACAGACACTTTTTCTGCACGTGCTGCAAACAGGATAGTCGCCTTCTATAAACTCCCTCGGCATTCTTCAAATATCTAATATATGCCCGTACTTCCCACTTTGTCTTCTTTGAGGGATAATAAATGTCCTCCTGAGCACTGCCGTCTCCTCCTTTGGCCATTATTTCAGCTTTAGCTTCAAGAAAGTTTTGGTTGTAAACAACAACACACGCATGTGCCGCCGGCAACTTCAGCGGATGATACGGTGGCTGGTAAGGGTCACTGCGCCTACACCGCAGCCACGCTAATCCACCGAGATAATGTAGTTTTTTAAAAAACAAGACGGTTATTAATATTGTCAACTTTTTTTTACCGGGGTTTACCGCTACACCGGTTATCGTGACAACCCTACCTGATCGGTCTGCTTTGGTCTATTTTGAAAACTCCGATCAAAACTCTGGACTACAAATGTGCTGATTCAGAGCTGATAACCAAGGATCTACATTTGCAATTTTTTTAAACCACAGCTGGCTGGATCCTAAATGAATTTCAGGTTTAGATTACAACTCATTATTCTGCTGGATGAACTGGTTTAGACAAATCGTTATGTTCATTCTGTGTACATCAATCTCTTTATGTTTGTGTGTGTAATTGTTTCAGAATTGGCTAAAGAGAAGTTAACTGAGAAATTACTGTGATTTAAAAAAATATGATTAGTCACTCTGAGTGCAACTCAATGTTGCAAAGCAAACAGTCAGTGGTAGAGTTGCGTTGGTGTTAGCCAATCTGAGGTGAGCTGTCAGAGTATCAGGAAATAAGACTCCTAATCCTGTCGACTTTCTCTCCTCTTCCGGCTAACTTGTAGTTCCTGAAACAGGAGAGAAAGAGCTTTTTTACCTACAGAGATCGACTCACATTCATTTACTGTAAATGTAATGAAAAAACAAGTGAACTTGGCCTTTCTTGTTGGTTGCTGATGAGATGTTGTTTCCTCAGAGCCATCCTAGCCATTTCCTCTTGAATTTAGTCTGTGGTTTAAAGTCACACACATAAATATGGGAATAAATAAATAAAATGTGGGAATAAAACACCCTGCTGTTGGTTTAAGTGGTCTAAATATGCAATTATTGATGTAAACTGTGATGTAAAACTAATTGTAGCTGAAACCTGTATAATTTCACTAAAGGCACTGTTGAGAAAAGTGAATGTTTGTGTTGGCCTTCATGTTTCATTGTTTTTGTTTACCTCCTGGTGACATTACTACCAGCAATCCTTTTGTCTTAAATGTTCAGCCTTATCTAAAACCACTGCTTTTATGGCACAACACTGTTGATGATGGCATTTATTTTAATTGCACAGTTTGTTTTTAATGAGTCTGTCCTATTCTGCAAGCTAAATGTTGTTTAGTAGTTTTAATCTGTGATGATTACGTTATGCTTTGTTCTACCATTTCACTACATTTTGTACCTGGATGTAATTTAAAGAATCTTATGTATATCTTTTTTCTGAATGACACTAAAACGTTTTAATAACAAAACATTTGTATGTATATAATCATGTAAACATGGATGTCTTTTTTTTCTGTCATTTTTAAGTGATCAACTGGTGCTCTCTGTGGTCACAATACAGGTGTGTGTGTGCAACATTTTACCTTTTTATCTGCATAGAGGACTGTTTTATTTGTCATTTCTTTGCCATAAAGAGAGATTACAAATGTAATATGTGTAGAAAACAGTGCATTTGAAAATGTTAAAACTGCCACTGGAATAATTTTAAAAATAAAATATTCTATCTCTTTGAATGTTTTTGTTCATGCTTTTATTTACATAAATCAGTCTGTTTGGTTACTTAGATGATCTTTATTACACAAGTTATAAACTACTAATTTGGTTAGTTGATTAGAACAAATTATGTATCTTTCTAGAATGAAAAGCCAGTGATTTTTATCTGGAGAGGCACTATATAAAAGATGGTTTTCTTTCTTGAATCCAAGCTGCATTATTTGGGAGGACCTTTAATATAAAAGTGGGATGTCGTTTTTGGATCTGAAAATGAATGCTGCTTACCTGCATTCTCTCTGTCAACCAGCAGGGGGAACTTCGTGGCATAGACAGCACGTGATCTGTGGTCACAGTAACCATTTTAACTGTTGATAGTGTGTTTGTGAAGTAAATGAAAAGTTTGAGCTTAATGGTTAAAGTGGTGGTTGTAGCTCAGATCTTTACAATGTGTTTCTGTTGAAGTCTTATAAACATTTTACCAGTGACCAATAGCTCATTGGAGAACCTCCGTTTGAAGAAAGAGATTTCTTTTGTTTTAATGTGAAAACCAACAAGTCGCTCTTTTAGTGTCCTAAAAGTGTACAGTTTCATAACTGTATTTAAATACTATGTTATAACTTTACATTTGTCACATTTTCATTTTTTTTATTCACACATAAAAAAATACATTTAAACAAGTAGTGTGAACAGGTTAGCCCAAAACAGCTACTCAAAGCTTATAATAATGAGGGAGCCTATTTTACACTAAGGTAATGTGAGAATTATTTTAACAAATACAAGTTACTAACATACATAGTTATCGTAAACATGGTCAAAATCATTTAAAAATTTTATTTGAAAGAAAAAAAATGTTTTTTATGGTTCTGCAATAATTGCAATGGAATTCCAATCTGCAGTAATACATCAACAGCTAATATCTGCTAGCTTGAAAATCTAGACGGGCAGTAGCCAAACCAAAATGATTTTGCTCTGCATTTCGGTCTGGCCACGCGCCATAGGAGCCTCAGCAGGTCTACCATTGGCCCGATCAGTCTAGTGTTATGCCAATCACAGTGCTCTGTTGGATTGGTGGGCAGGATGTTGCCGTGCCTTAACAAAAATGGCGACAGCTCATTTGCAATGACTGGTATCAACTTTGCCCTATTTAGTGAGTGGAGATGATTGTGGACTTCAGGAAAGTCACAGCCCCATCTCTCCCCCTCGTCCTGACGGACACCCCCGTCACCACTGTGGACTCCTTTCACTTCCTCAGAACCACCATCACACATGCCCTTAGGTGGGAGCCATCCATCAGCTCCCTGATCAAAAAGGCCCAGCAGAGGATGTACTTTTTGCGGCAGTTGAAAAAGGCCAAGCTGCTGACCCAGATGATGGTGCAGTTTTACACGGCCATCATTGAGTCCATCCTCACCTCCTCCATCGCTGTGTGGTACGCTGGAGCCACAGTGAGGGACAAACATAGACTGAAGCGCATTGTGCGCTCTGCTGAGAAGGTGATTGGCTGCAGCCTTCCATCTTTGGATCTCCCGAGTTTCACACTGCCCCACTCTGCTCCTGCCACTCACCTACCCGAACCTCGTTCTTAAGGATTGGACTAAAGAGACTGGACAGAGTTTCCAGATATTCACCTCGCCTTTTTGATGGTGCTCTTTTAAAAGTTTACCTTAGATATAATAAATTGTTTACTCACCGTATTCCCTGTGTTCTGAGTTGATAATGTCAGATGGCTAAAGCCCAACATGACAGAGGCCTCTCTTCTGAGCCAGCTCTGTAGTCACGTGGATGCTTATTAATAATTCAGAGTTGTAAGCATTAAATTCCACTTGAACAGAAGGGTTACAAAAAATTCACCCCCGTCAGAGTTGTCATTAATGTAAACTAGATCTATTAAACCTAACCAGGCTGTAAACATTTTATTTTTTGCTGTGAAATGGGCATTTTCAACATGGGAGTCAATGAGGATTTGCTCACTTCTGCTGCTAGACCCTAGTGGATGAGGGTGGAACTGCAATTTTTGCCACTGGTTTGCTTCAAATTTGCTGCAGAATTCTGAGGGCTTGCTTGTGTGTGTGTGTGTGTGTGTGTGTGTGTGTGTGTGTGTGTGTGTGTGTGTGTGTGTGTGTGTGTGTGTGTGTGTGTGTGTGTGTGTGTGTGTGTGTGTGTGTGTTCCTACAGCAAAATAAAGGTGATTTTACCTGAATAAAAGCCTAGGTTGCACAAGGTAACATTTTCTCTTCGCAAAGTAAAGGTGCTCGTCAGGAGGGGGCAGAGGTCAAGCCCACCATCCAGTTCCGTGAGTCAGGGCCTTGAGACTTAACACCTAGAGCTAGCCCGGTGGCCTGACTCACAACACTGACGACTGGAAACCTTTTATATTGTTGCAACTACAACCTCCACACACTAGATGCCACTTTTTTGTTTGTGTTACATATTCAACCTTTAAATCCTTTATTTAGAAAAAGGATATATTTCTGTCTTCTTTGACAGTGTATGGCAGACTGCGCTGTTGACTGACATCGTTATGTCACATTATTTGTTGTCTAATAGGGACAGTTTGAAAGACAACCATAGATTCAGCCCCATGACTGAGTTCTCTCTATGGGTCATGGCCAGAATATACGTTCAGATATATGGATGGCTTGCCAGGCTATATTTCTGCTGCAAACAAAAGACTTTTATGAAAACAACCATGTTCTAACTTCAAGCTGGTGGTGGGATTTTTTAAATAAAGTATGCAGGAAGTGCAGTGAAATTTTTATGATTAGAGTTATTTTAAGACAGAATTAATCTCTTTTTCTCCAAACTGAGGTCATTTAAAGCTGTGTGCAACCATTTTCAGTTCAGTTTCATGAAATTTGTGAGGTTTTTAATATCAAAGTAACTTTAAATCTTTATTTTACTTCATTAATAAAACTCTCGTGCGTTTAGATTATTTAAATCACCTACTTTTTTCAATGAACTTTACAAAAATAAAAAATGCACTTTTTTGCCTCTCTAACATGTCACATTTTGTCCCTCTCAGACTTCCGTACATGGCTTTCCATACATAGTATTAGTACAACTTAGTTCAAGTTGTAAATTGTGTGCTCAAACGTTCCCCACTGTGGGATCAATAAAGTCTATTCTATTATATTCTTTCATTTCTACCTACAGTGTACCTGACGCAGGTATGAACTTCCGGTTTTGTTACTCGAAATGACACCTGGGCATGGGGGCGTGGCTACACGGAGCCAGAGCCAGTCTAGGTGTGGCTCTTGTTTATCTGCTGCTGCAGACACTTGGAGAGAGTTTCAGTGGTGGAGACGAACGCGAGTTTTCGGTCACGTAAAGGTGAGGATCTCAGTTGGAAGGAGTCCGCAGGTAACAGCGTTTAAAACATTCGTTCGTTTTCAATAGATGTAACAAACCCAGATGCGTTTCGGCTCCAGGTTTATTAGAAGCAGGGCTGCGGAGGTAGTGAACATTTTGTAATGAAATTGCCATTTTTAAAATGATTATTTTTAATTGTGTTGTAGTGTTAACACTGGGTATAGAAACTGTTTTTATGTTTGAAAATTTGCTGAAACAGGTCGAATAATTAATTTGGTTGTCAGTAGATGGATATTTAATTCAGTAGTTGATATTTGACCCAAAATAACTATATTGATTTACTTTTAGTTGTGGTTACTTTTATTGAACAGTGAAACTTGAGTAAGGAAAAGAGATCTAACAGCAGAAACGTGTTTTTGTAGGATCATCACCAGGGGAGCGAGCAGAGATGTCTTCCAGACCCAAAGGGAGTCCTCCTCCCTATGAGGAGGACCAAGGATAGTGAGTTTCTTCATTTTACTTTATTCTGTTCTTTTGTTGCTAAATATCTTTTCTGACATCAAATCCTGGCACTACTGACAACTTGTCTCATATTCTATTCTCAGTAAGATGGTTTGTATTCAGCAATATAATCATAAGTAATGGGCCTTAGCATTCCAGGAAGTGATCCATGCCTCCTTCCTGTGGTGTTTTGCTACATCTGCAGATAAACAATAATGAAATCCACGTGGTCACAGATTTATATTGTTTTTTTCCCCTCTTTACAGTAATGGTCCTCCTGAGCCAGCCTACTCTTTCTACCCAGATGATGAGTTCCAGCACTTCTACCGCTGGTCGTCCCCCCCAGGCATCCTTAAAATCATGGGTGTCATTGTCATCTTGTTGTGCGTTGCCATATTTGCCTGCGTTGCCTCTACACTAGCGTGGGACAGTCAGGGAGCCATGGCTGGGTATGGTGGGTATGGCGGGTACAGCGGTGGATACAGCGGTGGGTACAGCAGCTTTGGAGGCGGGGGTTATGGAGTTGCAAACAATTATGGCTACGGCTCGCTTGGAGGAAATTATAATGACCCCCGTACAGGCAAAGGATTCATTATTGCAATGGCGGCCATCATCTTCATCTTCACCCTGGGCACCTTCATCATCATTGTGTCTCACCAGGGCCTATCAGAAAGCAGGAGGTTTTACCTGGCTGTTATTATCATCTGTGCCATTCTAGCTCTGTTTATGCTTATTGCTACGATAGTGTACCTGATGGCAATAAACCCCACTGCCCAGGCTACTGGCTCCATTTACGGCAACCAGATAGCCGGTCTGTGCGCTCAGTACCAACAGCCCCAGCTCTCAGGAGCGTTTGTGAACCAGTACCTGTACCACTACTGTGTGGTAGAGCCACAAGAGGTGAGTACACATGCCTATGCACCTGTATTTGAAGCTTTAGGTGTGTTCTGCCTGTAACTTAAAGGTTTCTTCCTCTCTGCAGGCCATCGCTGTGGTGTTTGGCTTCCTGGTGACCGGCGCTCTGATCATCATGCTCGTCTTTGCGCTCAAGACTCGCCAGAAAATTCAGAGCTACGGCAAGAGCAACATCTTATGGAAGAAAGTAAAGGTCATAGATGATATGTCACCACCTGAGGATGTGGAAGCATGGGTGAGTTACATAAAATAAAAGTTTTACTTAATTTAAACGGCATGAAAGATAAGCATGAGATGTTACCAAAGGGAACTGGGAGTAGAGAGAGAGAGAAGACATGTGGTCATTGGTCAGAGATAAGATGTTGGATTGGTAGATGAGCTTCTATTAAAGCTGCTGTAGCAAATCTACAGAACAAGCTAGATTTTAAACATAAACACGGTCACGATACATTCACCCCTCCCCTCGGGCATCTTCCCTGAGATGCTTCCACCAGAAACCCACATTTCAAGAGAAAACGAGAGAGTGCTAAACATCCGTCGCCATTTTCTAGGTCCAAACGTTCTTTTATTGTCTGTTACTTCAATCTGTGTTTTTCCTTTTGGGACTCTGGTAGTTTGTCCTAAAGTTGAGGTGGTAGCAGTCGGCTGTTTCTCCTTCTCTGATGTTATTGAGCGGAGAAGTTGCTAAATACATGAGTGTGTAATGAATGGAGGACCCAGGGAAGTGCGGCAGTTCGGCGAGACGGACAACCGGATGGACCAATAGTTGCTTTCAATCCTAAACAAACAAATGTGATAGAACCACCTCATTAAATATTTTTGGTTTGTTTTTTTATCTCCACAATATAGTTTTATAGCTATACGATATTAGAAGGTTGTTGAGGCATGAAAAAATGTTTTTAACTAATTTGCTTTCCAAGTTTTCCATTGCAGCTTTAATGTTAATGAGCCTGATAGAGATTTGGTCAAACAGCTCAAATGTGTGCTCAGTAGAACCATCAACTGCACAGATGAGTGCTGATGTGCGTTGTAGTGATAGTCTGCATCGGAGGAACACACAACCGCACACAAAGCTCCTCCTCTGCCACCTCCTTTTGTAGATGGAGCTGGTCCACTGTTCCTTTTTCACTCAATGAAAACCCCAGAATGATGTGGGATATAGGACTTTTACCAAATTATTTCACATTTCAAAGATTTTTTACAAGTTTTATACGGAATTAGAAATGTCTCATCTGCAAATTTATTTAATCAAAACTCATTAAAAGCACTGTTTCTTCAGTCTGCTGAGTTTTAGAAGATTATGAAGTGAAATCATTTTTGAGGAGGGTAATAAAGGAGTGGTTTATCACCTTTACCCTCAACAGTTTGATAAACTGAAATCAACAATCTGTTTAAAACGTTTGAGAGTGGTTTCCCTTTTGTTTGGGTCTACTATACCAACCATTGAAAGTTTTTTTTTCCTGAAATCTGATGTTTTGTTGATCTCCTTATTATTTTTTAATTATTATCAGTTGAGTTTACTCAACCGAAAAATGTAGCTGTCTCAGACCGTTTTCATGGGCATATTTAACATCTGCTGAGTTGATTTGAACTGAGACCTGATTCTGGCCATTTGTTGTTTTGTGTTTTAAACCAAATGTCAACATGTTTTCTCACAAACTCTACATATAGCAGCTGATTTAGAACCAAAACAAAATTTGTTTCTTATTTTAATGCTTTAAATAAAAATTTTAAATTCAGCCTGAAAATGCTCAGAAACCCCTTGATGAAACCGTGAGCTGTTCCTAAAGCTCATCTGAGCAGAGGGAAGTCTAAAGTAGTGAAACCGGTTTGGTGACAGTCTTGTTTACAACCCAGCAGTGAACTTGGTTTCAAGGCGTGGCTCACTCACAGACAAGTTTCAGTCACACTCAAACACACTCCAGTTGTAAAACATGGACCAATGTCTGTCACATATCAGATTTGATATTTAGTGCTGACTCGTGGTTTCTGATGGTGTTTCTGGAGCGCGCTTCAGTGAGTAGCATCAAGTCGGTGAGTCATGATGTTGCAAGTCATGGTGACATTCAGAACTGTCAAATCTTTGCATCTGAGTTCCCTTCAGAGACCAAAAGTAAACAAAAACAAACCAGAAGATCTGGTTGGACTGCTGCTCTGATCTACAGAACATACCAGTCAGCACATAAATGAGATGGAAACAGCAACATGATCCCGGGGCTAAACTGGATTTTACCCTGCTGCTGTTTGTGAGAACCTTCCAGGAACTGCTGAGGTGTCTCTGCAGAAATGTACTGCTTGTGGGTTTAGCTGTTAGCAGGGTGCAGCTCAGGGACAGGGGACATGTCCCTGCAGGTGTGACATTCCAGAGATTGAATCCATTTATGGAAACAAGGCTCCTTCAGAGTATAAATGAATCCACAAACGCACAATTCAGTTCGGTCTTCTGTTCACCAACAAGAAGAATCAAAACTTTGAGGGTTTAGAGATGGTGTCGTCATATATAAATAAGATTAAAATTAAACTGATGCCAAAAAGTTTTCCTGAAAGTAATTTATTGTTGAGTGATGACGCAGTTGGAGCTGGTCTGGTAAAAAGTCTCAAGTGTAAGCTCCCTTTTGGCACTGAAAACGTGCGACGTGATGTTTAGCTCACCACCTGTATACCTGGCGTGTTTGCGTTTGCTAATGTCGATTAACTGTGGCAGCCATCTTAAATGGGGTTGCATTCAAAAGTTTTAAACATGAATCTAACATTTACTTCCTGATTGTTTCATTGAAATCCCTCCAGTGGTTTGTTGATGTGTATATTTTTATTTCATTTTTATTATATATTGTTAAATTTTTTTTATTGTGCTTGCTTGCACCTTGTGGTTTTATTTTGAAATAATTTTTTAGGAAGCAGATAATTATGATCTAACTATAATATATGTAAATCAGAGCTGATTAAAAGGGCTCTTAGATTTTAGTAAATTATTTTTTTGAAGTAAGGGGTATTTTTGTGGCAACAAGGTTTTATATAGACAAAGTTTTAGACCTGACCAGTGTAAATTAGACCAAAGTTTCTTCTGAGCTATATTTATGTTTGCATACATTTTACCTGCAGGTGAACAATGTGTCGGCTGCACCTGAAGAGATGCCGATTTCAGACTACCCAGAGAAGCTGAGAGGCTCCAGGAGCTACCTGGATGATGACAGCACCAACTATGAAAAACCACCTTTAAGCTACACTCCACAGTGAGTCTACGGAGACCACAGACTGCATCAAATACCAGAATAATTTAGGCATATAAGTTAGCATTTAGGGCAAAGGGAAATGCATTTAAATTGACTCATTAGTTTGGCTGTTATGCTGCAGTAGCTTAGATGAGATTCATTTTAACGTAGGGCTGGGCGATATCACCTAAAATCAATATCACGATATATTGAGGATTTCACCTCAATAATGATAAATGGACGATAACTACAGGTGTGCGCATAAACAAAAGTTGTCCACTAGATGGGGCTGTCACGTGTGTTAAATTGAGTCACATTGGCCGTGTTCGAGTTGAGCAGCGCCTCGCCTGGAAAACAGACGAGAGCAGACGGATGTAGCAGGGGGAGTGGCTGAAGCCGGCGTTTAAGTCGGACAGATTTCCCTACATGTGTAGCTTGCGGGTGACGATGGATGAAGATATCGCGTTAGCGTTCACACTTGTTTAATTTTCAATTTTAATTCTGGTGCCTGTTAGCAGCTGAAACACATCCTCACGTGCTTGTGGATATCATGTATTGTATATGGAGACCTGACTGTAATAAGTACAGTAAAGGGTATCAGCTACAGGTTTAGTATGTTCATATGAAACGTGACAGAAGAACACAAAACACATTTCTCTTTATGGCCATCCTCTAGGTTTTGCAGCCGGTGGAGATCAACTACAGTGACTTACTCCAAAATCTGCGGTCGCCTTGATCTCACGAGGTTATCGTAGCCTACGTAGGCATGACGTCAGAGCAAGTCGGACACAAAGCAAGCACTGCGCGCCGATCACCGGTGATCTAATCTGCGCAGAACTGGCTTATCTCGAACACGGACATTACGTGACTTAAGGTGGTGCATCTTCTTAAAGGGACGTGAATGTAGCCAGCCTGCATAAATCTTTTAATTTTTTTATTATCAAATTTATTGACATGGGAAAATGTACTTGATAAGAGTCAGAAATTTCAATAACGATACATTTTCGATTTATTGCCCAGCCCTACTCACTAGTATAAAATCTGTGCATGTTTCTACGATTAAAGTGGTGAAGTGTTCACTAACTCCTGTTCTGAGTGCAGTTTCCCGTTACCGTGCTGGGCAGCTGCAGAAAAATCAATTCTACATTTTAGTAGATCTATAAATAATTCCTGCTTTTTCTGTTTCATAACATCAAATAGAAGCTTTAATTCTGCAATATTTTTGACTGTGTGAAAAGAGAAGTGATGTATGTAAACAGGAGAGATGACAGGCATGTGTCATGATTACCCACAACATTTAAACTACGTCCCATCCTGATGAGAGAACCCGGTAACAAACCGATCCGGTTAAAGAAAGCAGAAGTTATTGTTTGTTTTTTGTTTTTCACTTCCTCTAAGAGGAAGGGCTCAGTGAAGTTAAAATTCATCAAACATCATTTTCCTCCTGCATGCTGGAACCCGTGGTAAATAACACTAATTTATCCTGCAGACCTGTAGCGGAAGCTCTGCCTCTACAAAACGTGGTTCCTTACAGCGGCGGCTCGGATATCATGAGTTCAGCTGGACGGCCCAAGAAGAAGCGTCCAGGACGTCCTCGTCGCACAGATGGACAGGATTACGACACAGACTACAACTCCTCCGGGGACGAGCTGGACGACAATGACTTTGACAGGTAAAAAAACCTTTTCATTCATACTTCTGATAGACAGTCTGTCTCATTATCCTGTTTCTTCCTGTCTTTTTCTCTGTCTTCAGTGAATATCCCCCGATAGCAAACGAGCAGGAACGCAACAACTACAAGCGTGAGTTTGACCGCGACCACCAGGAGTACAAGGACCTGCAGGCAGAGATGGACGTCATCAACAAAAACCTATCTGACGTGGACAGAGAGCTGGATCAGCTGGAGGAGGGAAGTCCACAGTACCTGGTGAGAGACAAATTAGACCTTCACGTCATCTGAAACGTGCTGATTAAATCAAAGAATGAAAACCGGCAGCAGGTTCTCAGGAGTTTGTAATAAATCTCTAGCCTAGTGAACTAGACCAAATTCTTGCTTTGCAAAGTTTGGTCTAGGAACGCTCCACTGAAACCTCTGCAGCCCCTAACAGCATTCTGGCTGGCCAATCACAGCTCTCTAGAGGGGTTTCAAACACATAAAGAGCTGTGATTGGTCCATAATGGTGGGCCAATCATAGTGCTCTATCTGTTTAGTGAACAAATCACAGAGCTTTATCTGCTTTGTGGGCCAATCAGGGCACTCTACATGCCTGGTGGGTGGGATGATGCAACAGAGTGAAACAAGAGTATGTCACATTCATTGTCCAGTAGCATGCGGAGATCATTTGAAAGACAACGGTAGAACCCGCCCCACAACCGAGAGTCGTCAATGGAGCGTTGCCAGACTAAATAATACATTTATTTAGTCTGGCTTGCCAGGCTAATAAATCTCAGATCTTCTTGAGAACAGATCTTAATGACTTCCTCTCATTAAAAATGTTAGGGTGTAATGGTGACATCACAAGGCAGAGTTTCTAACTTTGATCATTGTTTAGGTCAAATTTGGGAAAAAAGTAACAAAATCTCACACAATGTTAGGATAGAGAGCAATCTCCGCTGTGTTGTAGCTAGGGATGCACAATATATCAGCATCAATATCGGTATCGGCAGATGTTAGTCATTTTTTACATATCGGTATCGGTCTGATAAATAAAACTGGACCGATATTAACAGCCAATATTTTTTTTCAAACTCCCATTTGTTTATCGGTTTCAGAGGGTGAGGGGGTGGAGTGTATTTGTTTAGTCATGTGACAGTGATTGTAATCATCTCAGAAGCGCAAATGTGTGTGGTGTGTGTGTACATAATAATGTAAATTCAGCTTTAATAAGTCTCATTCTATACAAAATCTGCTGCTTTTAGAAGCATTAATGTCAGTATATCGGTTATCAGCCATAACAGTGATGGTAATATCGGTATCTGCCCAAAAATTTCATATCGGTGCATCACTAGTTGTAGCCATTTTTTTTTCTTCAGTAAATTTGATTAGCCCTGGCAGCCATCTTGAATTGAGCTGACTCTGTAGATGCACCTTTTTTATAATTTTTTTTTAACCTTTTGGACCAGAGGTGCTTCAGACAGCAGCTCTCAGCTGGTGGATGTTGGTGAAAATGAAGATGGAGCTAAAAGATGGTGACATCAGATGGTAGATTTAGGATCTGGATCCGCTGGCTGGATAACCAGCCAGATTTATATTAACGGTGGTTTTTACAGCCTGTACAGGGCATACTATGTAACTTTTAAATGTATTTTTAATTTGTTTTCTTGAGGCAGTATGTGCTAAAATGATCCTTTACAAGGTTAATGAAATGCCACTCAGACCCCACCACCCCCTGTGGCCAGAATACCATACTTGCAACTTCAGAGTGCATGTTAGAGATCATGAATATAGCTAATTTGTTTAATTTAGTAATGAACCACTCCTGTAGACACTCAGATGAATGCACAGTGAGGAGATATGCTTCACTTTTGCTTTGACCACATAACAACGGACATTAGGGGTGCTGAAAGCAAACAAAGCTGCCAAGTGTACCTTAAAATGAGACTGTAGTGACTAAGGTTCATGTTCTTCCCAATAGGATGCCATGGATGAATACAACAGGATAAAGGACATTAAAAAGGTTTGTGGTGTTTTTATGTACATCCCCTTACCCAGGGTCAGCATGGTCCAACATCTGAAAAAGGCCCAGTGGTATGCTGAACCTTTAGATGTTGGGGTATCTGGTTGGTTTTTAATAACCACAAATCATTTCAATATCAGAATCACAATTACTCAACAGGATTACTTTATTATTTCATCATGATTATATTCTTACTTCCTATATTTGCTCATCTCTTTTACCTTTTTTTTGCACCAAGTACTGTAGCAATTTCCTAATGTTGTGATTTTTTGCACATATGGCAATAAAGCCTTCTGATTAGAGTTCATTTTAAGTTTGCAGACGCTGATTTACGCCAGCAGGTGACAGAGTTCAGCTGTTTAATGTTAATTAAGATCATGAAAGTGTAAATGATCAATAGATCTGTCTGCTATATTATACTATAAAATGTTTGAGATTGTTTAGGATGAGACGTAAATAGTACTGTAATGTTCTCTGCTCTGAACCTGCGTTTGTTCCCACAGTCTCCAAATTATCTGGTGAAGAAGCGCAGGTGTAAATACCTGAAGCAAAAACTGAACCACATCAAGAAGATGGTTGCTGATTTCGACCGTCGGACCTGAGAGTGTGTGTTTTAGGATCAACGTGTCTTTCGGCTCAGTCAGGTTAACGCTCGTGGAAGGTCCGCAGACCCTAAAGGACGAAGCTACAGTAATTTACAGCAGGCGTCTGGAGGTTCATCCAGGCTGGTGCTCTTTTAGCCCTGCTGAATCAATCACTGTTCTTATGCCATTGTTTGTATTATGAGTGAATATTTATATTTATATTACCTAATGTGATCTAAATACAGTTTCTGCAAAACAGAAATACAAGAAAAGCACATAGCTTGCAGTTTTTAATCATGTTTTTGACAGTGAATCTGCTTTAACCGACTTTTATTCCTTATTTTCTTTGTAATATAAGCATGTAAATACTTGGGATCAATTGCAGTTTTTAGTGGTCACATGTTTTTTTTTCCCTGTAGGACAGACTGTTTGATATGATTGTACATTCAATGCAGTGCGATGATTTTGGCACAGCTTCGTGCTGCATTTTTTAAATTGTAATAAAATCATTTATTGAAAACGTTTAAAGCTCAGCGACATACATTGTATAGATTTGCAGATGATACGCACGCACACACTCACGCATGCACACGCACGCCAAAGTTCTTCCACAGTGTGGATCAGTTCACATTGCTTTCTTTTTGTTACCACTAGGAGGCGCAACTGTCATGTGTTTTCTGATTTGGCACCTGGTGACTTTAAAGCTGCTGGAGCTGAGATTCAAGCATTACATCAATAAATCACAAGTAATCTGCAAAATGCTGCTCTTGGAAAGGAACCCACAGATTTGTACAGCTGCTGAACACCTTTAAGCTGATAGTTTAGATTTTAATCTTGTTTTATTGCTGCGGATAGAAGCTGAGATATGATCACTTAAAACGACAGCACAGTCAAGTTATCAACCAGTTTGCTCATGAAGAACAGTAAACGGTTAAAGATGGGACTTCTCAGGTCCTTGTTCGATATCAAACGGGTTTCAGACTAAAACATGTTAGATTTGTCAGTAAGGAGATGAAATTAATGCTCACAGTGTTTCATGTCATGGGTGTGGAAACATCTTTAGCAGGTTTTTCTCAGCTTGAAACTGCAATTTTAGTTTTTGTTTGATTTTGATCTTTTTAAGTGATCGAAACTGCAGCATAATTTTTTAAAAAGGCTAATAAATTTGGTCTGGAGAACAACAGTCTGATCTCAGTTCTACTTTACTAGAAGTGGTTTTGAAAAACTAAATCTTCCAGTTGTGCTTCAACTGTTTTCATATCACAGTGCACGAGTTTTGTTCTACTCATCTTCACAATTCTGCTTCAGGTCATTTAGGTTTGCGGATATTTGTTCCTGCTCAACTCCAGTGTTTCACTCAGGTGGACATCTGGACTGTGGTTGGACCAGTACAGCTCCCTGATCCTTGCTTCTGTTTTGAATCTTTGTTCTGTTACATGACCCAGTTTGGCCCAATCAGCTGTCACACAGCGTGTAACCCTGATCATCAGCCCTCCACCACAGTGCTGATAGCTGGTAGAAACAGTTTCTGCTGATATTCTGTTTGACTTTCTCCAAACTTGGAGCTGTGCATTATGGGTAAACATAAATAGGTTTCATCTGTCATAAGAACATTCTTCCAAAAGTCTTGTTTCATTCCCTAAGCTGTGCTTCCATGTTTGTTTGTTTTTTTGCCAGAGATGTTTTTTCCTGCAAACCTAAACAATCCATACTTGTTCAGACATTTTCTGATTGTCCTGTTATGAACTTTAACCTCTAACCTGCTAACTGAGGCGAGTGTGAAGTGAAGTTCTTATGTGGTGGCAGAGGCGTTAAGTGCCCACCCATCGGAGGGTTGCTGGTTTGGGCCCTGCTCAGTCAATCACAGTTGATAATGTTGATGATGTCTTTCCTTCCTGGGTGTCATGTTGACACACGTGCATACTCCAGACCGACATAACTGCTTCTAGAAGGTGAGTACACATCTGATCAGCATTCCTGATACTTTATCATAACATCTGTCATTGTTCTTTTGATTGGATTTAAATCATTTTGGAAGCTGATAAAAACACATTTACTCTGAGCTGAAAAGAAAACCCCAGAACTGAAAGAGGGTGAACTCTTATCACCATGACAACGCTCTGAAGATGCGACACTACCACTAATGTGTTCCAACTTTTTAACTACAATTTCCAGTATTTTTTTTCCAGCATCTTTGGTTTTTACACTATGATTTTCACCACACAGACCACACATCACACGATGATAGGAGTCACGCTGAACATTTCCTCTTCCCCAGCTGCATCTCAGGCTGTGGATTTGAACTGTTCGGTCTGTATGGAGTGTCTCCTCAGCAGCAGCCTTCTGCTCGGCTCTTTGGGGTGTCCAGGTGGAGCCGAAGGAAGGAAACTCCTATGGCCAAGCTCTTTCTCCAAGAAGCCGTTTCCATTTCCAGAGCAGCTGTTAACAACATTGAGAATGGGATTGTTGGTTAAAGGTGGCAGCGATCTGGGCCGGGCCTGGAGGCCGTGGTCCAGTAAGAATGTTCCAGAGCCTCTGCGCTCATACAGAGATGGGACTCTCCTGTTCTGGCCCACCAGAGTGTCCCTGGAGCCCAGTGTGCTGGAGCAGCGCAGCGGGGCTAATTTCTTACTCTCTGCTGGTACTTTGGTTCTCTGTTCTTCTGCAGCTAGTTGTGGGTCGGACCCGTAGATGTCTGCACCCTGGTGCATCTGATTGACACTGTGAAGGCTTGTAGAAGTGATGCTGTGAAAGGGTGTACCAAGGATTTTACCTCTAGAAAGCATGGAGGCAGTGGCGACTGAATCGGCTCGATGAACTTCAGAATGCAGATTAGGGTGGGAGGCAGAGTGGAGCGACAGGAGACCCGATGAGAGAATCGTTTGGTCTGCATGTTCGGTGCAGTCATTTTTGCTGTCTTCTTCTATACCTCCATCTTTTACTAATCTTCCTTCGTAACATCTGAAGCTTCTGAAGTGACTGCTGCTGTCCTCGTTGGGTTCGGGAACTCTAAAGGAAAGGTCCTCAGTCTCGTTCAGGGCTGCCTGAGGCTGCTGAGTCAGCAGAGATGCTGGGATCTTTAGCCAGGGCTCAGAGTTCAACCGCATCAGAGGCTGCTGGGGTCCATTGGAAACTGCCTGTCCGAGCCCACGAAACCGTGACGGGGAGCACGGATGGGAGCTCACGCCACCGATCTGTCCTTCTTTAAAAGAAAAGGCTGGCTTGGGGGGGCACAGGGAGGTGGAGGACTGGGGGGAGGTGATGAGCTGTATTTCAGAAGGAGATGAGGGAGCTGTTGGGGTGATTGTCTCTGACTGATCAACACGATTAATGGGAGGTATGCTGAGGTGCTGCTTGGCTGAAAGGTTTCCGGTTGGAAATTTGTCAGTGGTGATGATGATCACCTCTTTCCCCTTGGCCTTGCAAGTGTCAAGCAGAAGCTTCAGCACCTTCAGGTCTCCAGCCATGACTGCATAGACCAACGCTGATGTCCCTGACTGGTCCTCCAAACTGATGTCTGCTCCACTTGCAAGGAGCAACGCCACCACCTCTGGGCCGGCCTGCTCCAGGCAGGCATGCATCAGTGCAGAGCGACCTTCCTTATCCTGAATGTTGGGATCTGCTCCTTTCTCCAGCAGAAATTGGACCAGCTTTGCCCGACTTGTGCTCTGGGAGTCGGTGTGCTTGGTCCTGCAGGCCACCATTAGCGGTGTCTGGCCTTGGCTGTCACTCTCGTTGATGTAAGCCCCACCCTCCAAGAGCAGCCGCGTGAGCCTCAGTCTTCGAAGGAAAACTGCCCTCAGCAAAGGGTTTCCCGAATCCATAGCTACACCAGGATTACAGACTTCTGCCTCCATCCCTCACAGTCACAGCTGATAGTTTTCACAATATGTTGTAGGAAAGATTTCTGTAAAAAAAATTATCGACAAATAAATAAATAAATTAGGGAATCGTGCATAACAAATCATCTTCACTAGCAAAACCCAGAACAAAAAACCCCCAAGTGAAACTATTATTATTTACAGGACACTAAACATTATCACTGTCGATGGGTCATCGTTATATGAACAAAGTAATTTGGGATTAGAAAGAGCAGAGCCTGGGATTAGCTTGTCTTTATTTCTGCAGACAGCATCTGCAATGGCAGCCCCTTTCTATCAGCCTTTGTGCTGTTTGTCCTTGCAGTCAGACTAGGTAAGATGGTAGTTACCCATGACTCAGACGGTAACAAACACATTTCTGCATGAGTCTCAGAATCTGATGCTCTGCATTACAGCCACTGTGGGTTCTTTGTGGAACTGCCTAAAGAATGGATGTCATTTAGAGGTTTTTGGTTGATTGTTGGGTGTGTGTGAACAATGGCTGGCTATTGTATGTCTGTTTAAAATATTGCATTACCCAAACTACAGTTGTCGTCACAACAAAAACAGTCTGAACCAGGACTGGCCATACTAGGACCATGCTAACAACCACCCTGTCACATTAGGCTCACGTAGAGAGATCCTCCTGATGACAGAGACATGGTTCCAGTGGCCCAATAGAAATATCAAGGAAACCTGTGGCTGATGTTTAGAGAGTGCTGAGGTCACATCTAAAGAGAACACAGGTCAAATGCAAGAGCACAACATCATCATGACTTCCTTCAGGCTGGAGGAGGTTTTCTGAAATTGACACAATCCGGTCTTGTTCTAATGGTTCATTGAGGTCAGGGACATGATGGTGGAGTCTGAACTCTCCGAGGTTGTCATCAAGAATAAAAGGCAATTAAAATGAGCTTGTAAAAATGTTTTTTAAAGCAGGAAGTGTAATAATGTAAAAATGCTTGATTCAACTTCAGTAATAAGTTATAAGAAGCTAAAGCCAAAACTCAAACACAAGTCAGAATCATAACCAAACCCTACAGGCTTAAAATATTACATACAAACTAATAATGATCATTCATTGCTGATTTCAGATTAATACATAAAACCTAATACCATTTATCGTGAATGTAGATCTTCTTCACTTTGTCATTGTGCCAAGTTTTTAAAATAATAATTCAATTTGAATATGTTATTTACAAATTCCACAGTCACATCTCAATTTCTGCTGTTGTGAAAAACAAAAATCTTTAGTTCTAGATTTTTATTCCTGATCGTCAACCTGCATTCCACATCAGCCACAAGTTCTATTAGCATGTGGCTGTCACATAAAAATTGATCATCTTTAATACAAGCTTCTCTTTTATTTTGATAGAGTTACATCATTTCCTGTTTAGGCTTAGGCATTAAAGCTCAGTTCAGAGACAGAAGTGATGAAACATATCTTTTATTGTCATAAAAGACCTGAAGTTTTACACCAGTACTGTTGTTGTTCATCAGTTAAACCAGGGTCTGAGCCCATGTCCTGTAATCCTGCTGTTGCTGTATGCTCTTCATGCTGGCAGCCAGACTAAACACCACCTGCACTGTGCTTAGCAGAAAAGGTGGAGGTGGTCCAGCTTTAATCACACTGCTTTTTATTTAATCATCACTTAAATCTTTCCTTTGCTGTTGCTTGGTTGCACAAGTCAGCAGCTCATTAAAGCGCAGACAGGCACTGTACTGTAATGGCTCCAATTGTTTTCTCCAAGGGTTACCAGGAGTCTGGCGTGGAGGCAAACTCTACACTCCAGAGTAAAGTCTCGCCTCAGTGGCAGAGCCAGACCAGATGTTCGCCTGATGCTGACTGAGCCCAGAACATAGAGCGTAAAGAGCTCCTACTTATATTTTAAACATAAATATGTGTATAGGGTACTTTTTAAGGGGTTAAATTAGCTGTAAGAGTAAAATATAGACCCAGTACAATCTACTGATTATCAGTCAACCACCTGCTTTTCCTGATCTACTAAAATAATCTGAATATGTTTAGATGCAGGTGTTCTGCTGAGTGTGTTTTGGCACAAAATAACAACCAATTTACCTCTTATTAATCTCAAAACTTCTCACTGGATGCACCTGTATTAGCACGAATAAATCAGCTGGAGAAGAAAGTAGCTTCAGACAGCAGAATTTGAAGCCTAATTTCCTGATATTTGTACATCTCGCATCTGATTGGCTAACAGCATGACTCTACCACTGCCTGCTCTGCAACACTGATGCTTTATCTGCACGAATAACACAAACCTGGAGGAGTTCTGCTGTGTGGTGAAGTTGCTAATGCTAACAGTTATCTCCTACTAGCAGAGATGTTCTCTGCTGTTTTCTGGACGCTAAATCAACAACAGCCTTCCCCGTCATGAGCCAAGATGAGTGAGTCCATGAATGTTAAGTGACAGTGTGACGTAGATCTGTCAGGATTTTCTCATCCTAGAGTTTCCCCGTCTGTTTTCTATCAGAAGCAAATGCAGGAGATAGGTGTAGGAGACTATTTCATGTTCAGCCTGCGTGACAAACTCATAACAGATTATAATCAGAAATTATCATTTAAAAATGTTTTTTCTGTGTTCCACACCTTCACAGTGGATCAGAAATCCTGATTAAGTTATAAAGAAACAATTTTCACACTTAAAAACTGGAGATTACCGAAGGCAGACGATTTGTACACTTTCTCTGCAGTTGGATTCTCCCCAGGATTCTCCGGATTCAAAAGGAAAACATCCAGGGGTGAATCATAAAACACTAAAGATGCTACAAAAACTGGGAGGTCACCTAAAGTTGTATTTAATAATATGCTTTATTATAAAAACTGGTGGTTTTAACTTGATCCTGTCTTGTTCAAGCCCCCACATTGTGGCTCTAAAATTGAGTCAAACCCGGAAGTACCAAAAATTGCAGTTCCACCCTCATCCGCTGGGGGCTGGTGTCAGAAGCGAGCAAATCCTCATTGACTCCCATGTTAAAAATACCAGTTTCACAGCAGAAATAAACATGTTTACAGCCTGGTACCAAAACATGTTTTTGGTTTATATGATCTAGTTTACACTCATGACAACTCTGAGGGGGGTGAATTTTTTTCTCACTCTTCTGTTTAAGTGTATTAAAAGCCTAAAATTCTGTATAATTAATGAGCATCAGACCCACGTGACCACAGAGCTAGCTCCGTGGAAAGGCCTCAGTAGAGCCTCGGTCTGGCTTGGAAACTGCTCCGGGATTTTGAGTCTCTGTGTGTGTGTGTATTCTTGTTTGGATGGTATTTGTGCAATTGTTGGACAAAATGACTTGCTGTGGCATTAATTGCACTAATAGAGCATCCAAGGAGTCTCCACTTCATTTTTTTCAGTAAGTAAAATTATATTTATATATTTTAGGTCACTGCCGAGCTGAGCTTAGATTTTAACATGTACTGTTTAACCATGAAATTTAAATGTAATAGGGTAAAACCCAGTGCATTTAACATAATGCTGCACTTTAGAAAATGGGTTGAAATATAACATGTTGGTGGAGCTGGGTTCTGACTATCGGCTTGTGGCGCTCTCGGGAGACCTCTGTTTTCCACCCGGTTCTCCCCTCCCCGCAGCTCGGCACATCTCTGTCTGATCCCGGCTTCTGTGTGCTGTGCGGCTGCCGGCTTGTGGAGGTCACCGAGACCTCTGTGTTCCACCCGGTTTTACCCAGCGGTCAGCCCGGCGTATCTCTGACTCAGAAGCTCTGGTGTTGTGCACAGTTAACTCCGGTTGTAGCTAGGTTGCTACCTCTGTTAGCTTAGCTCCCACCTCCGCATTAGCTTTGGGTTAGCTTCAGGTTAGCTTGTAGCTAGTTCAACCGGGTGTCGTCAGTCGATCCCAGCCTTACAGCCCCACCCTCAGCTCCTCATCTCTTCCCTTTTTGGAATTGTCTGGGCTTGACGGAACCTGTGACACGGTCAAAATGGCGGTGGTGGCCACCTCCCATTTGGCCTCAAAAAAGTGATATTGGAGCCTATGGAAATTAATTGTCCAGTATATATGTTGATGGTCTTGTTACAGATGTATTTCATACAAATGTGGTTCATTTGACCTTACTAGCTACTTGGTGTGTTTCAGGAGAGAGCTGGAAAAATGTTTATGTAATCTTTATGTTTGTCAGAATAATCATAGTTGTTTCATATGTGTTGGTCAAAACCAAACATGAACATAAGGGCTGCAAAAGTCTTGAGTCATCCCACACTTCTAGTTTCTGTTAGAAGTCAGGAAAGTTTTATTTAATTGAATTTTTCCTTAGTTTTAATAGTTCTTGGCAATAAAACGTCTACCATTAAAAGCCTGATTTGAAGTGGGTAACTTAAAATGTCCAGAATGACACAAAACCCTCCTGTTGGTGTTGACGCTTGTTCTGAGCTGGTTGACCATTCTCACAGTAATAAGGAAAGAAAAATAAACGCATATTAGCTATTTTTACACTTTATTAATTTGACACTTTAATGAGCCTCAGGGGGGTAAGGAAGAGGGATACGCTGCTCCTCCTCCTCATCACAATGCTCACATGTTGTGGATTGGCATCCCATTCCTTTACCAGGACTTTTAAAAGGATAACCAGCGTGGTCGTGCTGGTTACTCCAACACATGCAGCAAGTCCAAGCTGTCTAAGAGCTGCCGGTCGTGTACCTGTCATGCTGTAACTGGAACACACCTGGCAGCTCTTGGAACAAAAGTGAATATCAAGATGAGAAAGATGCAGAGGATTATAGGACATGTTCCTGCTGCCACCACTCCTGTATGGTTGTGTTGCTCATTCCAGGTATAAATAATCCTCAGGTGACAAATCAGGCTTAAAGATGTATTCCCTCAAAACACAGTAGCAAGAAAGAAACAATGAGACAAATACACATTATTGTAATCTATTACAGAGGCTGAGATGAAGAAACATGAAGAGAAACTGATCCAGACCACTTCATTTTAGAGTCCTGACTACAACTTTCAGGGCTCTCCATGGTCACGCTCCTCCCTATGTTACTGAACTGTTAAAGCCTTATGCTCCAACCCGAGCCCTCAGGTCCACACACCAGAACCTTCTAGAAGTTCCAAAAACCAGATATAAAAGTCGAGGTGATGCTCCTTCCAGACTGCTGCACCCCGACTTTGGAATGATCTTCCTTTACCCTTATGCAGCGTTGACAGTCTGGACACTTTTAAAAAAACAGCTAAAGACCCTTTTATTTAAAGCTGCTTTTACATAAACCTTTTATTTTCTTATTTTTAACTCAAATTTGTAATCATCTTTCATCTGTTTTATGATATTTTACTTTGTCTTTCTGATTTAAAGGTATTTCTGTTTTAAGATCATTATGATTTAATGACTTTATGATTTGTTTATTTTGTTTAGAATTATGTGAAGCACTTTGTGACTCTCTGTGATGAGTGCTATAGGAAAACAATTTATTTACTTTGAAAATTTACAAGAAGGTTTGGAAGGAGAATGTATATAAAAATAGCTTCTGTACCAAAACATTCTCACACCCGAAGCGGCTGAAACTGACGAAGCGTGATGCGTTGGGAGCCCCGCTGGAGCCCCAACGCATCGGGAGGCGACGCTCTATGCCAGAGCGTCGGTTTCCAACGCCCGTGGTAAAGCAGAGATTTCACTGACATTTAACCTCTAACCTCTAGAGATTTAACCTTCCCCTCGCCCCCATCTTAACCTTGACCCAGTTTCTTTTTCTAAATTTCCCCTTAACCGTGTTTTAGAGGAACGATACAACAAGAAACAAAGTTTTGCATGCGCAAGTGGGTTAAGGTAAGGATGGGGGTGAGGGGAAGGTTAAATAGCAAGAGGATAAAGGTCACAATTTGCTAAAATCTCAGTTTTACCGCGGCCGTCAGAAAGCGACGCTCTGGCACAGCGCGTCGCTCCCCAACGCATCGGGAACAAACGCTTGGTTACCTTTCGTCAGTTTCAGCCGCTATGGGTGTGAGAATGTGCTGTCTGTGCACAGCTGTACACAAACTTAAGTTTTACAGTGTAGATGGTTTTAAAGTTAGTGGAAGATGCGTGTCATGATCAAATTGCCATCAGGGAGGGTAGGCATTGGCTTGGGGCACCCAAGGCCAACAAACTTAGAAGTGAGGAGCATGACAGTGAAAAGTGTCACAGTGAAATTGTTATGAAAAGCACTGGAAGCCAGTTTCATGGTGGAAGTTTTAACTTGAATGAGTAGGTGTGCTAATGAGGGCTGCATTCCACTTCTGCAGCTGTACATTCTGCCAACAACTTTAACATCATGTAAATGGATTGCGTCCGTCATCGACACACCTGCTGCGACATTAGTTTATAGACACTTGATTGCAGATTATTTGCACCTGAGTTGCAGTAAACTGTTTAAAAGTAAACTTTTCACTATGACACTGTCCCTGGATCCCACTGATCAGATTTTTGTTTTAGCTGTATGGATCAAGGATATAACATTCATATTTTACCCGACCCTCCTTAGATCAGCACTCATCCTGCCTAAAAACTCCCTGACCAGTCCCGAGTGTGTATCAGAAACCATAAAACGCTACACAACGTGCTTAAGAGCTCCATCTTCCCCTCCTAACCTGAACAGCATATGCTTCCATCTGAAGTTATTTCCCATGTTTGTGTGACAGATCATTCTAAAAACAACAAAATGAAGTTGCAAACTTGAAGAATAATTGCTGCTGTGTGTGTGTCCCACTCACCAGGCTTGGGTTAGTCAGGAGCAGTCCTCTCCTGCAGACATTTACTCTCCCGTTGCAGAGTGGCGACTGAAGCGATGATGCATGTGTGTGTCACAGTAAGTGAAAGGAAGCCGCAGCAGCAGTCAAGGTTTTACAGATTCTATTTGCTCCTCGGATAAAGAAAGAGTTGAGAGATGGAAGGCTTGTTGTCAGGCAGGTCTGAGAGATGGCTAATCCATCACCGCAGCAGCATTAGCAGCAGAAGGAGAGACACAGAGGCAGAACAGGAAAGGTTCAGAGATGAACGCACAAGGTGAAGCGCTATAGCAACCCGCCACTGCAGCATCTCTGGTTTGTCTTTTCATCACAGCTGTTCTAATTCAGCAGAGCTTTATTAATGGCAGAACTCGCTGCGCAGGACATGCAGAAAGGAACATAATTTCATCCACCTCATCAATGACATCTCCATGACAACCATCAAGGAGGCCGAATGACGGCACTTGTAATTGTGCTGGAGGAACTGTTCTGTGTGTGAATGTGTGTGTGTGGGGGAGTGTGTATGCACCTGTTTGAGAAACACAACCTGAGTGTTCACTTTAATCTTACAGATTTCAAAGCAGAACAAGAATGCTTGACTGCTGGAGTTATCACAATACATAGAGACACGGCCCTCCTATTCCCACACGGTGGGGTGGAGAGGGTGAGGGTTAGTGTCCTTCAAAAATGATCACTTCACTATTGTAACGTCCAGCAATGGTCAGTTTTTAGTTACAGTTTGACCGTTCAACATCTGGTCAAAAAGGAAACACAAGACTGCATGTGTTCCCTTTAAATCAGCCTGCCTTCATCCCATCAGCTGGAGCTCAGAGTCTCTGCAGTTCTGAACACATGATAACGAATTGTCAACAACAATGTTCTCTCCTCAAGGTCCATCCCTATTGCCCTACAGGATTCTTCATGCTTAACACTCGCAGCTCGGATCAGTTGCCAAATCAAAGAATGATTTCCTAAATTAAACATGAACTTCTAAAACTTATAAGCTAGATAATCATTAAATAAATGTTTGTTTATTGCTACTTATAATAATGATAATATAATGAAATGCTTCATTAATCTGGGCTCAATGATTGAAGTTTAAAATGAATGTTATGTTACGATTACAGTGACTGAAATATGTTTCAGCATGTTTACGTGACAAGATCATCACCATGTGCACTCACACAAGAACAAAGTAAGGTTAAGTTAAACGCGTGACACATAGATAGTCCTTTACCCAGATCAGAGCCTCTGGATCAAAGAAGGCATGTTTCTGAGATTCTTGGTAATATTCCTCAAACTTGTCAACCTCTGGTTGGCTACTCAAATCATAACATGAGAACATTAAAACTGGATCACTCTGGTGATTCATGAGTTCTAGAGAACACTTCAGACCGGCCATCTGAAGTAAAACCCTCTTTAACCATCAAAGCTTTTGACACGTCGTCAAAACCTTTTTGCACATGAGAAGCTGATACCGCAACAGTTCCTGCAGAACAAGCTGATATTGTTTAGACTCCTTAAGAGTCCCAGAAGCGCGGTTCCATCCATCTGTCGTGACTCGAGACATCTCTGGACTGAAGAGTCGGTGCCACGGTATTCTACAGCCCTTCAGTGCCAGAGGTCATCCGACCTCTCTGACCTTCGGCTCCACCAAGAGGGTCTCCGAAAATGGGTGAAGTAGACCCACAGATAGCGTCTGATGTGCTTTTGATATTAATCAACTCCATAGCTTAACACAAACCTAATTCTTTTACATCCAGAACTCAGCTCTCCCAGATACAGAAGTTCTGACTAACACCGCACTCACACATAGGTTCATACATCATATCTAGTTCCATCCATCACAGTAAAATGTTGGTGAACTTGTCCTGTTCTAATTGTTGGTAAAATAAATTCTTACTTTTATAAACCTGACTCTTTTCTGAATCAAAACGAAGTGTGTACAATCCCTTAATAAACAAAGAGTCCTAGAATCTTCTGATAAACACACAAAGACCAAGCAGGTTGATATTCTATATTTAGATAGAGTATCACAGCTTATTGGTCATAAGTAAAGGTAATATATATTGAGCTCTTAAAGCACTCAATTTCCTAAACCCTACACTATTTTATACAAATTCTTATGCAAACGTCTTGAGCGACCTATTATTAGGTTGACATGCACAAACTGAGGGCCCTTAATGGTTTGTTTTACTTTCCTGTCATGAATTTCAATGTACTTTTCCTCCTTCAGCTTTAGGTTAATCCATGAAACACAAACTTCAGAATGTTTGTGTCAATCAGGAATGGTGTGCCATGAATTCTGGCAGCAGGAGCTATAGAAGAGCTGTAGAGAAGACAGAATTTGGAAAAGGTTTAAAGTGATTCCAGATATTCCAGTCCTCCTCATCTCAGACCGATTTGATTATAAACCATTTAAAGTTTAACCAGGTCACAGAAAGTTGGATTTAACAAGACAGAACATATCTTAATGATTTTTTCATAGTTTCAGTTTAATTTTTTTTAACATCTTATAAAACTGTTGTGATATTGTCACACCCACTACATATTTAAGTTTCTGAGCTTTACACAACAAACGTGCACAATAGTTTTTTTTATTCCTGTACTTCTGATTCATTCAGACATAAAACACTGATATTAGTTGTCGTCTTTTATCCAGTGAGTTTCTCGTTACTAAAGGATGTTTTCTTCCAAATCCTCAAAGCGTGCAGAGTGACCACTCTATAGGCTAATACATTTAATCTCTGATAAAAAAAAGTGTATGATTTTACCATAAATCATAACTATGGAAGCCCTGAGATACAAATGAAAATAAATAAAAAATATTTTTTTGGTATGTTTTCAAGGTTTTTTTTTGCGCAGCCCAGAGAGACAAATGGAAAAATGTTTTCTCTTTTGTAAATTGTCTAAGTGTGTATTCAATTCAATTCAATTCGAAGATACTTTATTAATCCCAGAGGGAAAATAGAGTTTCAGCACTCAATTCTGAGATCAGACATACATAGGCAAAGACACATGACAAGGATTGGTGACTGTGGTCATTCGCAACTCAAGTCGCGCTACCTTAATAGAGATCAGAGGGGTTTACATGACCACCAATAGAAATGGATGAGATAGGTTTGTGGGCGTGGCCTATTTTCTGAAATAGCACCCCCTTGGACCATTAAAACTGTCAGCTCCAAGCCATGCTTTGACTGAGGATTAAGAAATTAGGTACACTAATGTAGTGTCTCAGGACCTACAAAAAAGTCTCTTGGAGCCAAGCGCAAAGTCACACAGGAAGTCGGCCATTTTGGTCCAAGTATTCAATTTAGTGGTTTTTGCACACGTTGTTTGGAGAGTGATGCCCCGTCGCCCTTTTCACCAATCACCTTCACACTTCTGCTATATACTCTTAAGACATAGGGGGAAAAATTCAAATGTCAGATTTTTCAAAAGTTGAAAGGTGTGGGTGTGGCTAAGCCTCAAACTTTGACCTTTCGCCATTACATTACTTGACGTAATAACTCCTATGTGCATGATCAGATCCATATCAAACTTTGTCTGTGTGATCACTGACTACATCTCAAGACAGTGACAATGTGGACAGCTGACATCACCTAAGTCCCGCCCCCTGACAACAGGAAGTCGATTGTTTTATGGTTAAATGCCCATATTTGTCCCCTCTATTTTAATTAACATGACACTAAGGTCATGCACTGACTTCATGATGCTGTAATGACCATTCAGTTCTGAACGGTGTATAATATCACCACAGCGCCCCCTACATACCTTTAAAACTGTAATAACTCGTACAGACGAGGTCTCAACTGCACCAAACTTGCTATATATACAGGCCATATGTGTCATCACACAAAGGCACCCAACACAATTCTGTGGTCATTGGTTGATATTGCTTTAGCTCCGCCCCTTGACAGATGTTAGGCCCTGAATAACACATGCATGATGCACTTCACACCAAACTGTTGTCAACCTACAAACTGCTTCTCGGAATATTTCCTAAATTTGGGACAGTGCCCCCTAGATACAATAAAACCTTTGTAACTTCTGCAACAAAGCTCTAAACTATATCAAACATGGTGGGAGTCATCACACAACTGCAATCAACACATGTATGTGATCACTCAGTCAAATCACTTTAACTCCGCCCACTTACAGCCTTTTGGCTCTATGATGACCCATGCAACGTTTGATTGATGCCAAATTAACAGAAACTCATCTTTGATGACCAAAGATGACCTCTATGGGATTTAGTTGTAAATGGTCACAGCGCCCCCTAGATGGGTTCAAATTTTATCAACTTCTAAAGACAAGGCCAGAATGGCATTATACTTGGCTTGTGTCATCAAGTGACTGCACCAAACACATTGATGTGGTTGTTGGTTCAAATCCCTTTAGCTCTGCCCCTTTCAGCTCTTTGGCTCTAGAAAGCACAAACAACGTATGATTGATGCCAAACTACTACAAAACTATCTTTGACTGCCTAAGAGGACCTCAATGGGGTTTTTATGTAATTGGTCACAGCGCCCCCTAAATAAGATTAAGAGTTAATTACTTCCTAATACAAGGTCAGAATGGCATTAAACTTGGCTTGTGTCATCACGTGACTGCACCAAACACATTGATGTGGTTGTTGGTTCAAACCCCTGTAGCTCCACCCCCTTTTGGCTGTCTGGCTCTAGTTAACACACAATGTCTGATTGATGCCAAAATAACAGAAAACCATCTTTGTCAACCAAAGCTGACCTCAATGGGATTTTTCTGTAGTTGGTCACAGTGCCCCCTACATAACTTTAACCTTCAATAACTTTTAAAAATGTGGTCAGAATAGCATTAAACTTGGTCTGTGTCATCACACCACCAGTATGGTAAAGATAGAGTATCCCCTAGTGGTTAGATGTGTAATTTAATGGTGGGCTCAGAGAAGATGCTGAGTCAGGGTGAGGTGCAGACGAGGAGACCGTTCGCGGTTTCTGGTGTCGGGGTGGTCGATGTTTATGTTCAGTGGACGTGCCCGGGTGCACTAGAGTGCCGGCCAGGCCGGAGCGGCGCAGAGCTGTGAGGGCCGAACGACGCTGCTTGCAGCTTTAATATTTACTTTCTAATCTTTCTTCATCTTCTCAGTGGCTGAGTGGTAGAGTGCCTGCCCTGGATCTGGGAGATTGGGGTTTAAATCCCAGTCAGTTTACAACGGGACCCAATGCCTCCCTGCTTGACACTCAGCTTTAAGGGGTTAGATTGGGGGTTAAACACCCAAATAGTTCCCGAGCACAGCCGCAGCTGCAGCTCACTACGCGGATTGGTCAAATGCAGAGACGAATTTCACCTGTGTGCGATGACTAATGGGACTTTAACTTTAAAGACACAGTGACTTTTTTAACCCTCCCACTGTCTTTATGGGTGACCCCGCGAGGAAAGTTGACTATTGAGCAGGGTTGATGGTTTATCCCTTGTGTCCTTGTGGCAGGAGTGAGGAGTGAGCACCACCTCACCCCTGCCACGTGGACCTCAAGGGATAAACCATCAATCCTGCTCAATAGTCAACTTTCCTCGTGGGGTCACCCATAAAGACAGTGGGAGGGTTAAATGCCTTTTTCAATATTCCCTTATATTAACAATTCACGTCCTTGTACACGATCATTTTCAGGCATCTGACTGGGTTTACAGTTACAGAACTGAGCAAATAACTACATATTAGCTGTATTTTAAATGTTTTTTTCACTACAAAGTGTCACAAAGACACATTTCGTACCTTTTACCTGCAAAACATTTAAAAGCAGTTTTACATCAAAATATTCTTACTTTTGATTGATATCAGCTGAAAAACTATATAAAAAAGCAGTTATGTGATTTTGCGAGTACAAAAGGCAATAATAAAAGAACTATCCATCAAAAATCTGTCGCAGTAATGGATCAACTGAAGGAATAATCATAGTTCTTTTGGCAGGATTTGTGTCTCAAGGACTCTCTGTTCTGGCTGTTTTCTTACGTAGCTGCTTTTTAATATTGCTAATTGTCTTTTTTTATTTTTATTTTTCAAGAACAAATTCACACTAATTAGACATGTGAGTTTTATCTACGCTGTAAAGACCATCTGGTCTTTGTTACTGATGCAGGAAGAATATGTTCACCCACACAACTAGTTTTAGTAGTTCAGACCATTTGAAGTTGGGTTATATGAAGATTATGAACAATTGACATTGTTAGTCTTCTACACAGTTCTTTGAACAACCTCAGTTTGTAGAAACAGGTTTTAGAAGTGAGTGAAGCTAATACCAACGTGGATTAACTGTTATCTTTAAACAGCTAGTCCCAAAGATTACCTTGAATAAAAACATTTTACCTTCACCTAACTGTCTGCCTTGCTCTAAACTGTCATTTAAACAAAAATATTCCAGAAATATGAAGTTTTTTTTATTTTTTAGAAAAGTTCTGTTATTATTGTGGCGAGGTGGAGAAACAAGGGCCTGAGTGGGACTTGATCCCCCAGATTCCTGGGTGAGAGTCACGAGTATTAACCAGTTAGCCAAAGGGATTTCTTGGGGCCAAGTGGTGCGCATAATCAATTGGGATACAGTAACAGGACGTTCACCCTGTCACATGACATTTTTTGGATTTGTATTATTGTAGAAGAGAAGCTAACGGGCTCCACTGTGATTAGCTGTCAGCTGATCAGCTCTGATTAAAACAACGGGTAAGATAATGGTGATAACGATTTATTCTCATTTCTCAAAAACTCATTATACTTTAATCTGAAATGTCACTTTAACAAGTCTTGGATTTAAACTTATTAATGTCAACTTTTTGTAGTTTTTTATAAAAAAAAGATTGAAAATGAAGAGCTTTACAGAACCAGACGTGTCCTTAAAATTATAGGTGAGCCTGCTTTAGAGGAGCAGCAGTGTCATCTGGTGGTGAAACTGCAGACAGCTAAAAGTCTCATGCCAGTGTACAAGCCCCTATCAATATTAGTGTTTTAAAAACCAAGGTGATCAGGAGACATATTTCTGAGTCAGCATTTTAAATCCAATCCGCATCTTTATTAAGCCTTTCAGTTAGTTTTGCATCCTCCTTCTAGCAAATAATTTATTTATTTTTTCCCGTGTCCTGTCCGGCTGTAAAGCATTCAGAATTGATGTCTGAGTGCTGAAGACAAGCCTTACAGTTTTACTCTCATAGGTGGAGCAGTATAGCTTCTGCTATAATGCAACGTCTGATACCAAAACTTTATTAGGAATGTTTTCGGTTGTTTTTAAGCCCAACGGACTCAGGTTAGGGTTAGGGTTAGGGTCAGAAATGAAAGAAAAAAGGGGGAGAATAAAGAAAGATGTTCACAAAAGTAAACAATAAAGGATGTAGAAGAATCTGCTTCTAGACCTGGAGAAAAAGAGAAAAAATGGGGACACACAAAATTACAACTCAACAAAAACATCACTGCCAACTGCATGAGGATGTATGACAGTAACATTTTATGATGAAAAGCACACATAATAATTCATAGTGTTTTTAGGGCCAACCACAGCCTTAGGTTATGTGTTTAAAATGCCCAAGTCCATATCTGTGAGAGCACCATGTGAAACCAAAGTGTCTCTACAGGTGTTCAATAGGGCCACAGACCCAGGAGATGGAGGAGCAAGTATACAGATGTTTTATTCAATAAAACACCTCTTCCTTGAACCTGGTAAAGTTATAACAGGTATTCATTAGCAGTTACTTTCATTTGTCCACCAGCTAAAGATTCATTTAGTTTAACCCACAACCACAGTTATCAGAGGCATTTTCCTGGTTTCTTAGGAAGTAGAAACCAATGATATTTAAAACTGAAACAACCTCACATTGCACTGAGGGGTTTGAGGACTATTTACTGGCTCTTTATGAGTTATCTGGTGATTTATCCAGATAAATATGCAGACTCAGAGAATGTGGAATGACTCAGTACAAAAGGTCAAGGGAAGGCTTTGACCTGCACCTTGTTGATATGTGGGGATTTTATTTTCTTCTAGACATTTTTACTGACAATAATTAACAATTACATTTCATGATCATTGTTAAAATAAAACAACTGGATGACATGTTTTTTGTTTTGAAAGTAATTACATAGAAGAAGGCAACAGGGTTGAAGAGAACAGAGGAATCAGATGGAGAATGGGAGAAGAAGGGTGATTAGTAGATGACAAACAGTTGGATGAGGAGAAGGTGTGAGTGAGCTGAACATGGGCAGCTGAAGAAAAACAAAGCACACACATCATACAGGTTGTCTTTCAATGCAGTCATATAAAACGAATGTATCACCTGTACATTTATTGACAAGGGTCTTTAATTGTGGTGTTTGTAACTGGTGTTCTATGTTACAGATGAATCTGAGGAACGGATGTTTAATTTCCAATGCCCTTTTTGAGATTGTCATAGGAGAAACACACACAGGCTATCTCCTCTATTTCAGACTTTTCTCCTCGCTCCATCAGACATGCAAACCATCCATCATCAAGGTAAGCCAGGTCTGAGTACCCACTGGGCCCAGGGTTAAGGATCCAGGGCTTCCTCCATGCATTTTGATCCTTTGGAGATTTGTTCAGATACACGCCTAAATCAACCCTTTTGGACTTGCTGGTTGGATGGGAGTAAAGCAGCCACTCACCCTGAGCTGGACCAGCCCCCTCAGGTTGAGCTGGAAAGGAGACAACACTCCCCTGACATCCATATCCAGTTTCAACAAGGGCAGAATTTAAAAGAATAAAACTCTTTCCATCATCTTCACTAACCCCTTCTACACGACAACCTCCCCCACTACGAGCATTGCAGTAGACAAACCTGTTGCCCTCAACGTCACAAAACTCTGCCATTTCACATTCAAGCGACTCGTCTCCCATCATGTCTCCAAGGCTGAAATTCTCTCCATCGTCACTGTAAACGCTGAAGGCTTTGGGAGGAGGACAACAGCTTCTGGTCTTTTTAGCTGGACAAGCCTGACATGATGAGCACTGGGCATATGCATAAGCAGGAACAATCAGTCTGCCGCTCTCAGTCTGAAGACCACGGCCCGGCCCGGCCCGACAGCAAACGTGGACCAGGTTTTAATCTCAGGCAAGTGTTCAGTCAGATAAGTGACTGTGCTCCAGCTGTTCCCACCATCAGCGCTTGTCATGTAGTAGAGGCGAGTCTTATTGACTCCTGACCTGATCTGCTTTTGCTCTGAAACCTTTCCTTCAACGCCGATGAAAAAAAGAAAGATTGTGTTGCTTTTCTTTTCGTAGACTGGACAAGGGTTCATCGGACGATATCCGCCCTCCAAAGTTTCCTTCGCCACCACACGTTTGGGTTCAGACCACTTCAAAGGAAACACACACACACACACACACACACACACACACACACACACACACACACACACACACACACACACACACACACACACACACACACACACACACACACACACACACACACACACACACACACACACACACACACACACACACACACACACACACACACACACACACACACACACACACACACACACACACAAAGCTTCATACTCAGGATGAAAAGGTGTTTCTGGACAAAATCGCAGTTGCTACAGAAACTTACCAAAACATTAACAGAGTTTCCTTCCTTCATCACCGTTCCTTTTCTCATGACAAGCGCCACAGAGCTGGAGTCATCTGAATCTGACCGTTTCTCTGCAAAAGCCAGAAGAGTTTTAGTGTTTTTGTCACACAGAAGAGCAGGAATCCTGTACACTCCTTCCTCCCCTTCCGTGTTGGAAGGAAAGACCCTTCTGTTTCCTGGTTCCCGGTTAAATGAAAAACAGCTCTCCATGTTCAAAAGCAGCGTTACAAGACTTAAAAAGAAAAGTACTTTTCTTTCTTTTGCCTGCGTGTTAAGTATTGTAGAAGGTCTGCGGCTGCCGTTTAAGAACGAAAACCTGAGCGTGAGGGAATGGGTGTTACTAAAGTAATGAACTTCCTTTTTAAAACGAGGAGGAGTTATCAAGATAAACAAGACAAGATTTGATGATTTGTGTATTTTTTCATGCAAGTAAGGTGGATTCTGGGAGTTTGAGTATGAATAGAGCAGAAGTAGTTTTGTATCAGCTGTTTCAGCTCTGTACCGTTTCCAAATAAAAAAAGGGAACGAAGGAAACATGAGCATGGGCTGAAGCTGTAACATTTAACCTCATGTTGTTCCAATGACGCGAGGAGCTTTGTGACTCCGCACGGATTAAATGTCTAAATAAACGAACCCAAAATAGGATTTTATTATTTTAAAACCCCTTATGATATTTATGATTTAAGCAATTCTTTATCATTCAACACTATAGCAAGAAAGCCAATGTTCAAGAAATGTCAAGTAAGATTTAACACAAGGTCAAATTTAAATGTTTTAAACTTATTTGTTTCTGGCTGAGCTCTTTACTTTTAAGAAAATTCTGAATTGTGTATTTTACATAAATTTGTACATGAAGTCCACGCACCAGTCCTTCTATGACTCAGAGATATGCTCATGCTTTTACGTTAAATAGTTTAGAAAATTCCTTTTAGTTTGAGCCATAATATTCCATTTTTGTTGGAGCAAATTTTAAATAGTCCTCCATTACAAACCTGCACAACACTAAATTTGTGAAATGCAAGATTTTAGGGGAAGAGCCTTTCACCTCTATGATTAGTTAGAAGGGTTCTCCTATGATTGACTACTTCATTTGGCCATGTTACTCCACCCAGGTAAGGATAACTTGGATAACTGCTCTGGTCCCATAGATCACAGCAGCGTTTGACTCTATCGATCATACTATTCTCATTTCTCGTTTAGAGAATGTTGTTGGGATTCGTGACTCAGCACTAAACTGCTTCAGACCTTTCTTGTCAAGCAGAGGTTTGTCTGTTGTTGTTGTTGACACCTACTCATTCAGAGCCAGCCCCCCTTTTGATGTACCCCAAGGATTTATTCTTGGCCCTATACTGTTTTTTCACTTTGCACGTTGCCATTTGGAAACTTAAAAGGTATAAATGATCTTTCCATTGCTACGCTGATGACATACAACTGTATCTACCAGTAAAGTCCAGTACCAGTGAGACAATATCTTCCCTGTCACTGTGTGCATGACATACAGTTGTGGTTGTCAACATTTCTTACACCTCAATGACAAAACTGAATGTATTTTTATTTTCCTCATTAAACATGCAGAACATCACACTGTCACACTTTAGCCCCAAGTTTTAAACGTCAGGTCAGAAATTTTGGAGTCATTTTCGATAACGGCATGAAGTTGACGCGTAAATTGATTCGGTTATCAATACTAGCTTCTTCCAGAACTACTGAAACGCTTTAGATACAGGTTCACCCCAAAAACATCTTCCTGGGTTGCAACTAGTTCAAAACGCAGCAGCACATCTGCTACCAACACCCCTTTGCAGCAACACATCCAGTTCTCTCATCCTGTCATTGGTTTCCTATTAGATTTAGAACTGAGTTCAAGATTATGTTTGTGCTCAAAGGTATTCATGGGCTCGCCTCTTCTTACATCTGTGACAGTCTCTTGTTGCAAACACATAACAGAGAAACAAGGCTTTCCATGTCCATTTTATTTACATGTTCCAATATCTAAATTCAGACAGTGGGGTGATTGTTCATTCTTTGTGGCAGCTTCAAAGATGTGAAACAAACTACCACTTGGCCTGTGCATGACATCTGGTGTTACTTTTCACGCATGCACACATGAAACTCCGTTCATTCTTTCCAGTAGGCCTTTCAAAAGATAAAATGGCTAATAAAACTCTGAGGTAGAGCAGGATCAAGGTAAACACAGTTGCCTTGTGCTGCAGCTTTATCAAACACTGCAGGTTAAATAAAACTAAATATTAAACAATGAACAGTATCAGCCAACCTTACCAGTAAATGAACCCGTGTCAGCACCCATCTGCAGCTTCTTCTCTCCTTTCAGAGACTAAAATCAGGATAAACTCAGCCAAACATACGTTGCTGAATTATTGGGTCTAAGATGAAAGGAGACAGAGCCTTTTCCTCTGTAGCTCTTCTGCTAGTGAGATCAGTGGACTAGGAAGTCAGCTCAGGACTTATAGAATAGACTTTGTTGATCCCACAGTGGGGAAATTCATTTGTTACAGCAGCACATGCACATAGAGAATAATTCAAAGAAAAATAATAAAAAAAACAGCTTCATTTATCACTTCAGTGTCAAATTTGAGAATCATTCTTTATTTTCTCTGATATATAGGACGAAACAACAGTTTGATATAGAAGTTAAACAAACACCACACACACACACACACAAACATCTGCCTCCATGCTGCCATTACTTCTCTCTGTCTCTCACATGCCCCCCCCCCCATACACACACACAAAACATCTGCCTCCATGCTCCCATTACTTCTCTCTGTCTCTCACATGGGCCCCCCCCCCCACACACACACACACACACAAGCACACTGCTGAAGTACAACATATGTTTGTGCTTTCAGGCTGAATGGGAGTTTCAACACAAACACCCATCTGCTGATGCGTGTCATTATAAAAATAGAACCTTCTGCATTCACCCTCTGAGGGAGAGGTTCTTCAATGAAATAGGATGGAATGACAACTCCAGGTTGGGAAGAGGTAGAGGAGATTAAGTGTTGATTTACCAGTCGATCTACGTTCCAACCCTCATCTATGGTCATGAGATTTAGGGCATGACAAAAAGAACAAAATTGCAAAGAGAATCAGAGGGGTTATATTTCTATGATGGGCTGGGGTCCTACCAGATAGGTGGAGACAAGGAATTAGGCTTCTTTGTTAGGGCACCCAGACCTGGATAGTCAACAACAAGGCCCAGATGGTCCATTTCACTTTGGAACAATTAGTTTAGGTTTTAATATTTCTAAATGGGTGAATATGCATTTGTGGATTCAAAGAAGTGTACCTGTGGAAGCCCATTCCTGCCACTCTGATAAAAACAAAAACATTTTTAGATAGTATAATATTTTTATATTAGATTTTAGACATGATATTTTTAAAATCAGATTGGCAGGAATGGGCTTCCACATTAAGTTAGTCAAATATACAAGACTGTTATTTTTATACATTTTCTTTAAATTCTGACTGAATATTAATGAGCTAAGCCTCTCAGAGAAGAAATTGAAACAGTCACCTGCTGGTTCCGTCAACCTGTCAAAGAGTCATCACTGTTGACCCAACCACATCCACTCACCTTCAGTCTCGTTCACGCGCGCTATGTACCTGCGCACTCGGGCTCTGGGAATGCGCTCCTGCGAGCGGACCTGTCTCTTTAAGTGCGCATAAAAGCCGATTACAGCTGATCTGTGTGATTCTGTTTTCACCGTCTGTTCCCGCAGCGTTTGTGTGTTGCATCATGCCTGCTTGTTTATTTATTTATTTTTTAATATAATTTTTTTCTTTAGTATTTGTTGACTTTTCTTCATGCTTTGAGGAAAAAACCAGCCGGAACTCTTCGGTAAAGTTTCAGCATCCACACACGACTCTGGAGAGTTTGCGTGTTTATGTCTCAGCAAACCTCGAGCTGGAGGGAGACGCTCGCAGCGCAGCGGACGCGCCAACTTTTTAGACCATGGTAAGCCTGGATTACCTTTCCAACAGACGGAGACATTAACCGCTTTCTCTCTGGCTTCAGTCCGCTATAAATAGCAGCATCAGTTGCCACATCTCTGGAGATGCGCTGCGATGCGATGATCTCCGTTTGAAGTTTAAATAAACTCTGGGCATAAAATGCAGAAGAGCGTGCGGTACAACGAGGGCCACGCGCTCTATCTGTCAGTGGCGGCGCGTAAAGACGGCTCCAAGCGCGGATACCTGAGCAAAAAGAGCACGGAGAACAGCCGCTGGACTGAGAAGTACTTCGCCCTGTATCAGAACCTGCTCTTCTACTTTGAGAACGAGCAGAGCGCGAGGCCCTCTGGGATTTACCTGATGGAGGGGTGTACGTGCGAGCGGACACCTGCGCCAAAGGTGTCCGCCGTCGGTAAGGAGCCCATGGAGAAGCAGCAGGTCAGTGATGGGGTTGAGAGCAGAACCCAGTTTCCTCTGTTTCCTCCAGACCTTATGAATTTTACAGTTATGATTGTTTATAAAAGAGAGCTGATTGTAAAGAAATTATATCAATGAATGAATGCATCCAACCTTCCAATGAGAATGTTAAATATACGTAAAAACAATCTAAACATGGAAGGTAAATTTTAAGAATATCAGTAAAGCTAAATAAATAGAAAAACACGAGAAAAATCTTAAGTTAAACCTAAATAATGTGCGGATAAAATAAACGTATAAAGTTAATTAACCCTTAAAATTTAAAATACCTCCTCAATATATAGACTCATAAATATGTAGAAAAAACAAATTCAAAATTTATAACATCAAACCCACATTTCTACATTAATATATAATTGCATTTGAAAATGCTATTTAAATACATACAGTTAAATATAAATATAAAGTTGTACTGAAATGTTAAAACTTTGATATGTGGTTGGGCTTTTGACAAACTATTTTGCTATCATGCATATTCAGACTGCCACAGTGGACTAACAGGGTGAAGAGATCCTCTGTTTAATGCTTCAAAGTACTATTGATGGTATGCCTGAGTTTTTTCAACCCATTGCTTGTTTATTCATGTGATTATAATTATACATTTAGTTCAATGCTTCATTTCTAAAGTAAACATACAGTCAGCAGAAATTTGCAGCTTCAGATTTGAATGCATATGTGTCAGAGGTATGTATAATTAAATCTTTATGTGGTTGTCATTAAGGTTCAACTTTACAACATCAAACAGACTATACAAGATCTGATTTGTTTGGAGATGCATCTTAATGTAACAATGTTGAATTTGAGGAGAACGCATCAACTATTAACTTGTGTCATTTTTAAGTCATTCATTCATTTATTTAAAAGGAACAGTGCTCACTGAATATATATTCAAACAATAATGGATGTAAATATGCCAGAATGTATGAATGTTAATTTACATCCACAGGCATTAGGGAGGTCACATAAATCATTATAGAACAAGGCAGTGAATCACAAGAGCCTAGTTCTCATGGCACAAAAGCACCATCATACCATGGGTGTTTCTCAGTGTCAAGGCGCCTGGCCTTGCCAGGCGATGTCTTGCGAGGCTGGCATCTTACTTACAAGGACACTGTCTTTCCTTGATCAAAGAAAACGGTTAAATGGAACAGACTTACATCACGTAACTGCGGCTTCCATAGCGGTCAAGTAACGTCACGTGACACGTGAAATATTTAATTTGATCTTTCCGGTATAAAAGGATCATTTTCTTTCTTTCTTTAACATATAATGCAGCTTTGAAACTCATTACTAAGCAGTTTCACTCTAGGTCACACCTTCCTGCATCTAATCATCTAATCAACACGACTCCCACACAATTGAGGTTAATGACTTCAATGACGCCCCAGGGTGTAGGGAGGAAGGGTATTCATAAGTAGCTTCTGTTAGTTAAGCAACAACAGACAGCTACAGCTTATGAGCTTGACTCTCTCATATTACAGTCAGAATTGATAAAACTCCTCGGATGAGAAGCGAAACATCTTCAAGAAACCAAAGAAGTCCAGTCGCCTTTTTTTGGATGGATGAAGCTTACTTCTTGTTTGTTCATAGATGCTTGATCTCTCTGAATCAACATCTAAACATAGTGGTTGCTGTTTTGGTTTTGGATTTTTTTTAATATAGCAAACTTGAACAAAGATAACAAGTTTGAAGATACTTTTGGATGAGTTCATCATGCTGGCTTGAATCTCACAGGTTTGCTTCATACTAACAAATGTCTGTGTGTGTGTGTGTGTGTGTGTGTGTGTGTGTGTGTGTGTAACATGATGGAAGTGGTTACTTTTACTGAAGGATCAACAAGATGTGATTTTCCATATAAATAATAATGATAATACATTTTATTTCAACAGCGCCTTTCTCAACACTCAAGGACACTTTACAGACAGAGATAAAATACACAACAATAAAAGATAGAACAGCATAAAACAAACAGACAGATTGGAGCAAAGAGAGTAACTAATGGAATGCTAGATGGAACAGGTGGGTTTTGAGTCTGGTTTTAAAGAGAGTGAGGGAGTCAATGTTACGAAGATCAGGAGGGAGTGAGTTCCAGAGCTGGGGAGCAGAGCGACTGAAGGCCCTGCCCATAATGACCAGACGGAAAGGTGGGACAGAGAGGTGGATGGAGGAGGAGGACCTGAGGGAACAGGTGGAGATTGAAGGATGAAGGAGGTCTGAGAGGTACGGGGGAGCTAGGTTATGGATGGCTTTGAATGTATATAGCAGAATTTTGAATTGGATTCTGGAAGTGACTGGGAGCCAGTGGAGCTGCTGAAGAACAGGGTGATGTGGTGGAAGGAGGGAGTTCTAGTATTGATGCGGGCTGCCGAGTTCTGGAGAAGTTGGAGTTTACGGAGGGATTTGTGAGGAAGACCGAAGAGAAGAGAGTTGCAGTAGTGAATATGGAAAGTGATGAGGCTGTGGACAAGGATGACGACCGAATGAGTAGTGAGGTAGGGGCGTAGGCGGTTAATGTTACGTAGATGGAAGTAGGCAGACCGGGTAATATGAATTATCAGTCTGATTGGTCTTTGAATCTTTTAAACTTAGGTTTTTTTGGACTACCAGGAAAACACAGACTTCATATTTAATTCAGGCAGATTCTAGAATATAGTTCATAAAAATGAATTTAATTCTATATTTCTGAACTAATGATGACACAGAACAAATTATGACAAGTGATGTTTAACGATGTTACTGAGACAATGAGTGAAACGTTGGAATGTAAACTAAGATGTTATGTAGTAAAACCTTATTAAGTATCTGAGAGGTCTTGTGATGTCTGGGTTGTAAAATCAGTCTGACTGTATGGTTTGACAAGCTGTCACTTATTCATAAAACCATCCAACGCCATTGTGCAGATCTACGATACGCGTGTTGGAGGCTCTGGGTGACCAGAGGAAAGGCAGCCAGGTTGGTGATGTCACCGGATGGATAGGATCCTGGAATCTCAAAGGTCGTAGTTCCCTTTGAATTCAATTATCATGGTGCTGCTTGCAAGTGTTGCAAAGAGGCTTTGACCTTGGTCAAAAGAGGATGGTTCTATGTGCTTTGCTTACCCCGTTGGCCAATCCGGGAAGCTGGCTGAGAACTGGTTAGTTCAGGAAGTGAACAACAAATTATAAACTGTTGTTTACAAATTTAGACAGATCTGAATTTGACAAGTTGAAAGGGCATTACCAAAATACCTCAGACATCCCTCCTTCACTCAGACACATAGGGAGGTTATATTTTTTAATGTGGTTAATTTCTCATTACTGTGAAGCGTTCAACATTATTAAACACTTCGGATTTAAACGTATTTTCCATTCAACCAAAAATATGATTATATAAACTTATAGATTGAAAGAAATCCTTTTATGAGACCAACTAAGAGTAATTTTATTCAGAGAGACAAAATCTCCTCTTCTGCGCGGGACCGTGGGTTTGCAGCTCAGATGAGGGAGTCAAGAGAAGGACTTTGATTTGGCTCCCTTCTTGGTAACAAGGTCATAGAGCAATTTTTCTGGTTTGGAGACCAGACAGTTAAGATGTGGCATGCAATGATCCAGGCTGATGAAACAGCCTGGACTGTTCTGTGTGATGACCTCTGACCTTACAGTGGACAAATAACCAAATTGTTGGCCTTTAGTACGCTACAACGTATATGTGACATTTGAAAATGCACCACGAGAAGGCATTGCCTGGCAGAGCGGGAGGGCAGGTCTGTGGTTGTGAGTGACATGAAATGCTGGAATGTCATACGGTACAATTAGACACTCATTTATGCAGTTTATCAGCAAAAAAGTTGATAATGGGGTACCTTGCTTTTTAAACACCAGAAATCAACACCAGTTCACATTATTCTGCTAAGTTTGATTAAAGTCCATCTTCTTGCCAATACCAAGTGTCTGACTGCTTCCCTTTCACACTTATAAACAGATGTATCACTAAATGAATGCTGACAAAGAGGACAGCGCTGCAAATCCATCGTCCCTGCAGAGACCATCTGACAGTAAAGCCACAGCCGCCCACCTGGCTGGACTGTAGCTGCAGTTTTCTCCCTTAGCAGAAGCTGTAGACCACCAGCAGCACTTGGTGTTGCGTTACATTATGGAGACGCTTCTTCAGACAGCAAGTGTCAGAACATTTTGATGTTCAGCTCTTGTAGAAGGAGAAGAAAAGCTGCTTTCATGCATAGAGAGAATGTCAGATTATTGTCTGTCAGAGACTAGTGAAAAATTAACTTTTAGTCTAAAATTATATTCTGGAAAACGCATATGGAACATGTAGACTTTGTTTTAGTAGATGCAGCAGCCTGTGCTGTCATGGATCAAGGGCTTCCAGACTGAGAAGAACAAACTTAATGATGCAGCTCTTATTGTTTGATCTTCATCTAATAAGGAGCACTATGAGGTTTTAACAGCAGCTGTATCTAATCCAGCTGTTTTTGATGGATGCAACATTTTCATCAGACAAAATATCAGACAACATAAAAGCTCTCGCGCAATTGATAACTCAGCTCTTTTGATGTCCACTTTGTTTGCTGACACTCTGGTAGCATCTTTGTTATTCTTACTGTATTTTTTGCTGTTATTAGTACTCTATTCCATTAGCATGGCTGTGATCGGTGATGAGCTAAAATAACACCTATGTTCTAGATACAGGTCCAACACATACAGTTTTGTTTGTTGACAAAAATGGCATTTGATTGTTTTTTTGACCCTGTAAATAAATGATGCGTCACTCAGACTTGGTGTTCCATTTGAGACATTTAACATATTTGCAATTAAATAAAGAAGAACCTAATTAACAACGGTTCTAATTATGCTTTTTCTATACTTAAAATACGTTAGCAGATTAAGGATAAATTTGTAAATGTAGTCAGATAAACACCTCCCAGGCTGGGAGTTGAACCTGGACTTTCTTGCTGCAAGGTATCA